ACAGTTCTTCTTCTTTTTCCAAAATATATGCTATTATAAATTTTTTTTACAAATTAAACTAAGTATAATCGGTCATACACTCTTGATTGTAGTATATATTTCCTGTGACCTCAAAAAAAAAAGTATATATTTTATATACATATATATAGGGATAGGTTATTGTGCCTACTCCTATTTTACCTACTTTTGCCTACCCCTTTCGTTACCGTTCGATTACCATCTCATCCAACGATCCATATTTGTGATATAAAATAAACCTTTTTTTCCCTTTTTTTTCTTCTCACTTTCTTCCATACCTTTTCTCTCTCCTCCCCTTTCTCTCTTCCTCTGCCATATACTTAAATTTTTTTCCCTTCTGCCGTCGTGGACCTCAATCTCCTGACAAATTGTTCGATTCTAATGATATTTTTAATCCTTATAAAAAATAGGTATATGGCAGAGGAAGAGAAAAAGGGGAGGAGAGAGAAAGGGTATGAGAGAAAGTGAGAAGAAAAAAAGGGAAAAAAAGTTTATTTTATATCACAAATATGGATCGTTGGATGAGATGGTAATCGAACGGTAACGAAAGGGGTAGGCAAAAGTAGGTAAAATAGGAGTAGGCACAATAACCTATCGCTATATATATATATATATATATATATATATATATATATGAAAAGCAATTTCTTATGTTATCGTAAAACAGTAACTCTTTCCTGCACAAACAAACATGGGAAGGAGAGAGAAAAAGAGAAGTTAGAGAAAATTAAAAGAATGGGACCCACGAGCATTTTTGTGAGGGCATGAGATCGTCACTGTTTGACAGTAACATAAGATATTGTTTTCATATATATATATATATATATATATATATATATATATATATATATATATATATATATATAAGGGTCAGGATCATTTTACACCAGTGTAAGTTACACTTTCAATCTTGACCATCGATCCCACCAGTGTAAGTTACACAAGTGGATCAATGATTAAGATTGAATGTAAGACTTCTAACTCATACACTGGTGTAAGAATATCCTGTCCCTATATATAATATAATATAAAATATTTCTGCAATCACTTTAGATAAGCTTATCTACAGCTACCTATTTATAACTATGTTCTTCAGGGAGAACATAGTTATAACGTTAAAGTTACTTTTTTTTCTCTCTCCACGTCAGCAGACAGGATCTGAAAAGTAAATGAGGAAAGAAAAAAAAAAAGTAACATTTGATGTTATAACTATGTTCTCCCGGAAAAAGATAGTTATAAAGGGTAGCTGTAAATAAACTTATCTAAAGTGGCTACAGAAGTGTTTACCCTATATATATATATATATATATAGAAAATATATACTTTTTTTTTGGAGGTTACAGGAAATATATACTACAATCAAGAGTGTATGACCGATTATACTTAGTGTAATTTGTAAAAAAAATTTATTGTGCCTACTCCTATTTTACCTACTTTTGCCTACCCCTTTCGTTACCGTTCGATTACCATCTCATCCAACGATCCATATTTGTGATATAAAATAAATCTTTTTTTCCCTTTTTTTCTTCTCACTTTCTTCCATACCTTTTCTCTCTCCTCCCCTTTCTCTCTTCCTCTGCCATATACCTAATTTTTTTTCCCTTCTGCCTTCGTGGACCTCAATCTCCTGACAAATTGTTTGATTCTAATGATATTTTTAATCCTTATAAAAAATAGGTATATGGCAGAGGAAGAGAAAAAGGGGAGGAGAGAGAAAAGGTATGAGAGAGAGTGAGAAGAAAAAAAAGGGAAAAAAGGTTTATTTTATATCACAAATATGGATCGTTGGATGAGATGGTAATCGAACGGTAACGAAAGGAGTAGGCAAAAGTAGGTAAAATAGGAGTAGGCACAATAACCTATCGCATATATATATATATATATATATATATATATATATATATATATTAAGTTTCAGCAATGTCCGCATTTCTATAAAACACCAACCGAGAGATATGCGAATCAACAATGCTGTGGAAAACGCTCTATTAGCTGTATCCCTTGATTTACGATGCGCCCATGCCATATTAATTACAACTTTAATAATGAAAAATCTGCCTATGTGTCTACAATCTAAATACTATATTTTTTTAGTCCTTCAAACGTTGAAATTGATGATGACATATTATGAAAAACAATTTTAATTCAAATGCAGCAAAGTTTCTTTAAAATTTACTTAATTTCAAACTTCAGGTTAGTAAATTACTTAGGACAGGTTATTTTTACACTGATATAATTAAGAATATGAAATTTTATATTCAATATTGATATATAATTGATCTATTTCTATTTAACAACTCATATATTTAATAAATCAGAAGTCAGAATCATTAAATATAAATAAAATTAATATTTCAACAATAAAGATTTAAAATATAATTAACACTGATATAAAATAATCTGACCAAATTACCGTAGCTCAACTTTAGCTTATTATTTTCTAGGATCAAACTTATACAATCAAAATATATATTAGATTCTACTGTGTGGAGTGACGTAATAATAGGTAAATTGTATTTTTAAAAATTAAGCATATATAACGATAAACAAAATCTACTATTGGAAACAATATTTCTTCTGAAAAGACTTTAACTAAATTGCTTTTGATAAAAACTAATAATAATTTCAGTTCACACCAAAAAATTTGTAAAGATATCCCCAATAACCAAAAAGTATGTTTGCTTGCTGCAGGGTAGGTATGCGTACGAGTCAGAGAGAGACTAACAATTTGGTGAATGGACGAGCAAAAGATTGAGGAGATATTTGACTATTGAAGAGATATTCAACTTAGAAAGCGTCTGCAATAGGTTTTGGTATCCTAAACTACATGTAAAAGTTATTTATAGTAGCTTAGAAAATTATATGTTTTTTGCAAAGGAGAACGATGAAGTATACGAAACTTATTTCATGAAACGAAACAACAAAACAGCGATGCTGTATCTGCAACTTGTAAGGTAGTTTATTTCTTATTTTCTAAAATTTAACAAAAACAATAAAGTTGATGCGCTCAATACTTTAGAGACCATTCATTATAAATAGCACTGTTGTTATGCGAAATACTTTCATCAATTAAAAATATTTTAATATAAATTATGAAATGATTTATCCTTGTAACTTTTTATAGAATTTGATATTTTTAAGAAGCTTTTTCACTAAAAATATTTTAAAAGTATAAAATAAATTAATTCAAACATACTTCTGAACTTGTAAAATACAGTAAAAGAAATTATACAAGTATTTTAATAAATTGATTTTGTTCGTTTCTGACAATATTTTAATAAAATTCTAATACATATATTTAAACACAATTTGATATTTACATATATACAAGTTGCCAAATTAGAGACTAATAAAAACAAATTATTTTAATACATAATTTTTATTTTTTTATAGCATAAAAATTTGTATAATTCTTATTTCCATTTTTTATTAAATTCTGTCACTGGAATTATTTTCTTCGATAAATTCCATGAATAATTATTATAAAATTACTTTTTTAATAATACATAATATCTTTAATTATTTTTATAAATCTAACAATTAATAGTATTAATTGCTCTTTAAGATAATAGTTGCAGTAATATATGTTCAATGCTTTAAAGGAAATATTTTGAATATTAAATGATGAATGTATCATTAACATAACATTAGCGTTGAATTTGTAAAACAATATTTTATGGATTTGGTTGATGCGTGTTGTTATTTCCTAATAGTGTGCTATAATAGTTCATAGAGATAGAAGAATGTGGAGGGATACGCGGTGCGGTCTTCAATACGTCTCGGTTGATCCCAATGACGTCGTCGTTACCTTCAAAGTCAGCAGGATTAGGTTTTCCAATCCTGTGGGCCCCAATCACTCTAACTACCGTCCGATGGAGAGAGCCGTGCCGTCAACAGGGTTGACCTCACGGGACTGCCCCACGTGGGTGCATTACCCACCCAACTAACTATACGCCTTCTCCGATCCCCTCCAAGTCCCGTTTTTCTTAACGGCGTTCTCAAAACCCAAGTAAACGTCATTTCATTTTTTAATTATGATATTGATTGAGAGTCTAAAAAGATAAATTATTGAAAAATTAATATGTTAAACATTTTAAAATTTAAAAAAGTTATTCATACTTCCTAAGATATTGATCAACTTACACCACCTTTTCCTTTTGAAATATAATGAGTTTTTTTTTTTTTTTTTTTTGATAACAATATAATGAGTTTTCATCAATAATAAGTTAACTAGATATTTAATTTTTTATTTTGAGTCATTCATTCATCAATAGCTAATAATTATTATAGTAAATACTTGATATTCATTGAATATAATTTGAATTTAATATATAAATTTAGCAAACGGATTTTGTTAACTAGGGATCCAAGATTCCGGTATTTTTTTCTTATCTCTTTCCCTATTTCACGAATTGACAATTGGCTGAAATGATGTCAATCAAAAGATAAAATTTTAATTTTTTAAAATTGAATTAAAAGAACAAAATTAATGAAAAGTGAAGATTTCAATACTTTAATCAATTCTGTTGAATTAAAAAGCAAGCATTGAATAAAAGTATTAAAGTAAGTATAAAAAATATTTGACATTGTTTTGTGTAATTAATGATATTTAATGTAAAATATTAAATATTCCTTGGTTTGATCAATCTTATTTGATATTTTTGACCAAAACCTTTAGGTTTTTATTTTTTCTTAACATCAAAACCTTTAGCAAACAAGCCTCCTGTTTTTACTCACGTTCCCTCGATCATCATGGCCTAAAGGTGACGTCAATTTTCGCGAAAAAACGGCTGGTCTCTTTTTAACTCTCACTCTTGAAGTTAATCTTTTGGTAGAACTCTTAATTACATTACTCTTTTTTTTAATTTATAATTTAATGTGGGACCTTTAGCTCAAGGTCCAACGAGGGAGGACGATGAGCGCTCCCACATTTAAACCTTTGCGTTGAAAAAGGCTAACTCGCAAACTACCACTTTATTACATTACTAGTTTCTCCTCTCTCTCTCTCTCTCTGCATCCGCAAATACATGGAGGACCGACAACAACACAACCACCGTGGATTGAGCTTCTTAAGCTCCGGCGACTTCATCCGCCACAAAGATCCTCCCCTCAAGGAAATGGATTTCTTCTCTTCAGGTAATAATAATAATAATAATAATACTAACAATACCAATGGTACTAATGATAATCCTCAGCAAAAGCATGATCAGAATCAAGATGGCCGTAACAGCATCACCAACGGTGGATCATCAGAACTCCTTACTGATCATTCTGTAAACGTAAGGTTTCAAATATGTACTTGTTCAATTCCGCATCGGTCATCACCTTATGTTTAATGTGAATTTTTAATAAATCCATTTTAATTTGTTACTTATATATATACATATGCAGATTGGGTTGAATTTAACGTGTGCAAGTGCTGGAATTTCAAGAGAAGCAAATGTTCAAAATCCTGAAACTGAGGTTTGTATCGATCACAGGAATGGTTAATTAAGTTATATATGTGATTATATGTATTTATTTAAAAGATTGATTTCCATAGATATATATGTTGGAAATTATCATCATCATTATTATTATTATATTATTGTTGTTATTATAAATTAATTGTTTTGTTTCTCAGATGAGAACACTTGAAAGTGAATTGCGGAGACTACAAGAAGAGAATCACAAGTTGAGAATAGTGCTGGACCAGATCACCAAAAGTTATAGCCAACTACAAGCTCAACTGTTCATCACTATGCAGAAACAAAAGCCTCGTCAGGTGGATTTTTATGTATTTTCAAAATTTATTTATATTCCTTATTCGCCAAACATGATCCGTCAGTTTTCGTCCTCACTCGCTTAATTTAAATTAATCAGTATTTTCTTCATCGATCGGATAATTAAATTTAATCTCCCTGATGTTTAAAAATTAGTTTTAATTTTATTTTATGTTCTCCTATAACGAAAGCATGATTTGTTTGTTTGTGTCTGCTTGTTCTTTTCTCTTTCTTTCGTACTCAGTGAAGAAACAGGGTAGCGTGCCTCACTTAAATTAGCAAGTGCTCTCTTCCTTCACTTTCTTCATTTAACTGGCTATATAATATATATTCTTTCAAACAATTGTGATTTCAGTTTTAGCATTATTAGGAGGTTTCCGCAATCAGTTAAACAACATATATATATACCATTATTTTTTCTTATCATTTTTTATTATCAATTTTGTTATCGTTGAATCAAAACCAAATCAACGGTAATAAAATAATATCAAATGAGAACTGTTGATTTGATTTTGATCTAATAATAATAAAATTGATAGTATTTAGAAGTGGTAAGAAAAAAAAGTATAACTTCGATTTATATATATACATAAAATTTAATATTTTTAAATGTAATATATATTTACTTTTTTCAAATACTTTTTTAATTTTTATAATTAATGTCATAAAAATATCTGTTATATTATTTTTACTTTTGAATCGAATTCACTGTTCAGACGACTATATAGGGAAGCGCTGTAAATAAGTAGCAACAAGTAACCGCAGATTACTCAGGCCACATAATTGACTTGACCCTCACATATGAACAAAAATTCTATCTCTCCTGTATAATCTACGGGAATAAAAGAAAAACTGTCAAAAATGTATGCATGTATGTACTTGTACCAACAGTTAAAACCCACAGAGTACTGAACAAATAATTGTGGAACAGAATATGGAAGCAAATGGGATGGTGGTGTTGGGACAAAAATTTGTGGACCCACGGAAATGCACGAAATTAGACGTCAATGAAGCATCGGTTTCTGATGACAAGACTGATGGAGAGGTATCGGTTTCTCCCTCAAACAATGCCAGAGGTAATGTCTAAAAAAACATGACACCATCATTTGACTGAATTTAATCCTGGACAGCAGGGTTGTCGTAATCCCGCAGAAGATGTTCCTGACCGGTCGTCCTCACAGAGTTGGAACTCATCCAAAAGCCCCAAGTTAGAAGAATCCAAAACTGGAGAACAAGTTGCCGGTGACCTTCCTTTCAGAAAAGCCCGGGTTTCCGTACGTGCAAGATCAGAAGCTCCCCTGGTAATTAATTTCATTTTATAAAACACTATCATTGCACCATTGCATAGTCAATTTCATCATGCCTAGAGTATGGCTAGAGTACAATGTAATTTTCTTAATTTCATTACTTTAATTAATTCACGTACGGTTTGAATGAACGCATGTTAATATTTATTGGAAATTCTATGAAATCGAAATTAATTTTATTAAGGAAGCATATACTAGATGAAACTGTTTACGTAATATATATATAAATATGATCTTATTGTTATATATCCCAAATAACATTATATATTTGGCGCTTTCAGATTAGCGATGGATGTCAGTGGAGGAAATATGGGCAAAAAATAGCAAAGGGTAACCCTTGTCCTCGTGCCTACTATCGTTGCACTATGGCCGTAGGGTGCCCAGTCCGCAAGCAGGTAATTAATTATGCTTAGTTTTTAATTAATTATAAGGATTAATGTTTAGGATATTATAGAAAATAATTTTATCTACTGAACACACATAAAAGTATATAGATATCATGTGAAGAGACAGGAAGAAAATGTGAGTCACACACACTTTTATCTGCACGCAGAATGAGAAACACTATTCTCTTAATTATATATGCCATTAATTTTGTTGAATTTAATTTCTTCACGTTTGTTGTTCCTTTTTTTTCTTTTAAAGGTGCAAAGATGCGCAGAGGACAAGACAGTGCTGATAACAACTTACGAAGGAAATCACAACCATCCTCTGCCACCATCTGCTACTGCAATGGCAAATACAACTTCAGCAGCTGCGGCTATGCTCTTATCAGGTTCATCCTCATCAACACTGAGCAAGGAAGCGTTAACAACGACCTCTGCAGGATATTTCTCTTCAATCCCTTATGCTTCAGTGGCAACCCTATCAGCTTCTGCACCATTCCCAACTATCACACTAGACTTGACCCAGAACCCAAGTGCCATGCAGCTGCACCAAGCACAATACCCAGGGGTTACATTCCCTCTGCCATTGCATCATGCAGCTGCAGCTGCTGGTCCTCAACTACTAGGGCACCCTTTGTTCTTCTCTCATAAGCTACCACCTGCAGCTTTACCCCTATTTCAACTAGGACAACGACAACCTTCATCTATGGTTGAATCTGTGAGTGCAGCCATTGCTTCGGATCCGAACTTCACTGCAGCCTTGGCCGCAGCTATCACGTCGATTATTGGGGCACCAATAGGGAGTGATGGTAATAATAATAATAATATTAGTAACAATGGAAGTAATATAGCTCTTAATGGGATACCTGAATTGCCTGGGTCACCTCAGCTTCCTCATTCATGCACTACATTTTCCACCAACTAGCTAGCTTGCTAGGGTGTGAATTTTGAGCAATTCTATATATATATATATATATATATATATATATATATATATACTTTCTCTATGTACAGAAAGAGGATATTAGGCATGCGGTTTAATTTACTCTTTTTACTATTTAATTATATGTAAGCAAATTATAAGCCACCTCTGAGTTCCTGGCTATAAACAAATCGTTTGAACCTCACATTCAACTTGCAGGTGTTGATCTTTTTTATATTGGCAAGTATTAACCATTCAAATAATGGAGTATCAATATTAATCCTGTAACAACCCATGTAGAAGAATAAAAAGAGAGCTTTAAGCTTGTTTATGTTTTTATACTTTTTTTTCTTAAAATGTTTTAGCAAATAGATAAATTAGGGGTTTTGTTAACAAATTAATCAAGATCTTGATGTATATGAAATGGTTGGACTAATTAACGGTTAGTGAGTTAAGTAATCTTTGACAGAATGAACCATCAGAATATTAATTGAAATTTAAGGATTAATTAAAATATTTTTATAGTTTAAAGTGTTAGTTTATAAAATAAAAAAAATTTAAGGAGGTGTAATATGAACTTTTCCTGTTATAAGAAAACAAATCTTTATTAACTATATATGATCAAAAGTCCAGCTATCGAATTTGTAACATGTGGCAATATATTAGAGTTAATTAGTAATGCTTTAATTTCAATAAATGAGAGCAAACGTTGTATGGTAGCTGGTAAATTAATGAGCAATAAATGGAGTGTAGCTTTCATTTTTATTTTCATAATTATTATTCGAATATGAACAACGAAACTAGATTAGTTATTTTGTTATAAGTGAAAAACTTAGATTGATAAACCATTAATAAAATAATTATCATACACGAAAGAATTATTATATATATTTTGAATATGATTGTTTTATTAGAAATAGTAATAATTTTAAAAATATGGTGAGGACCTTTAACACTACATAAAGCCATGGTTAAAATATATGTTTTGTACCCATATATTATGTTCATTTTTAATTTAATTTTCTTACATACAAAAAATGCATGCTTGAATTAATTTATCTTAGGGCCAGAAAGCTTTTAAGCAAAAGATTTCCAAGAGATCTTTAAAAATACTATTGTTTTCTAAAATTAAGTTATCTCTAAACATGCACTCATAACATCTTTTGTTTGAGTTATAATACAATGAAGTGTAAAATTTAAATTAAAAATGAGTATTATATATAGGGTTTGATGTTTGTCATTTTAAGAGAGAGATAGACACAAGAAATAAAAATTATGAGGGAGAAAATGAGTGGGCTTTTTTAATTTAAATTTTAAATAAAAAAATTTATTTTGTATCTATCTCTCTTTTAAAATGACATAACTTTATGTCATTTAAAATGATAAACATTTTTCCCTTATATATAAGGATCAATAATATATATTATGTTTTTATTTTTTGGGACAATAATTTTTAATTTGATCTTTATAGCTTTATAGTAATTCAGTTTAATTATCACGGTGTTAAAATTTTTAGCAAAAAAAGATGTAGAAAACAATTCCACAAATAAACTAAGTTAAAAAAATTGGTACAAAATTAAATTAAAATTAAGTCTTATATATGAAAAACATGAAATGAGTGCTTTTCTTAAAAAAAAAAAAAAAGACAAATAAATGGAATGTATTAGTCCTATGTAATACTTATCTTCCCTTAAATTAAGTGGCGACCATGATACGATTGGATAATTTTTTGAAAAGATAATAATTAATTAGATATTTCTTCATCCTACGATTCTTTTGATCTATTTTTTAAAACAAGCAGAGTATAATTTTCTTTATTATGTGCCTTTTAAAACCATGAGCAACATATGCACGTTCATTCATTCAATGATGTGTGCAAATTTTGAAAATCGCGAAAGCATATATATCAAGTATCCATCTGGAAACCCGAATGGAAACAACAATTACAAACTACAGACTGTCGTTATTGCATTTATATATTAAAAATAGTTGTGGAAATCTGAGATATTGGATCTGCTGGAGACCGCAAGACCCTGGCTTTCCCACGGTATTAAAAAATGTGAGGAAGCATTGGCATCTCTGCTTTCCGTTACAATTTTTTTTTTTTTGAGTTACCCAACCTTAATTACCTCTTTGAGGCGAGTTGGCTCCCTCCGGTATCCCCACAAGCTTCGACTCTTTGAGCCGGCTATGGAACTAATCCGGAGTGCGGGGGTCAGTGATGGCTAAAGGTTCAGCCTCCTTCCCAAGAATGCATTCAGCGGGAATCGCAGGTTCCAATTTTAGTATTATAAAAATAAGATTTACGTCTGCATTATTATTTTATTTATGACTAAACAAAAACAATTAAGTGATTGAAGTGAGCAAGTGGTTTATTATCAAGCATCGAATTTCAGTTTTATCAATTTTGGATGTTAGATTGCTCGAAATTTTCTTTTAAATTCAGTCATCGCGTAGCATTCTTTTGATGTTAGACTGCGCAGAAAATTTCCAATTTACTATAAAGTTTTATTAATACAGTGCATGTTTAACACTTAATTTTCAAGGTTATTTTTTGATAAAAAAAAAATAAAATCTTAGTGAGATTTAGATTATTAAATATTTTAATATAAAAAAAGATAATTTAAATATACACTAAGTTCATTTTAACAAATTCTACAAATCATGTGACCTAAATTCGTACATGTCAGCAAAATAATAATGGTTTTATTATTTTATTTTTTTGAGGGCTGTCATTCTTTAGGTTGTTTTTTGAAGTTGTGCTAGCCCAAAAACGGGCACATGTAGGGTTCGTAGAAGCCCAATAGGAGAGAGACCGGGTATTGGTTGATGGAAGGGGTCAGTGTTGGGCCATTCCTATCTGTTCAGCCACCAGCATGTGTCCCGGGTAACGTGTAACGTACACTGATAATATTAATCCCCCACCTAGTGTTAGGGTGCAAAATTTTCGTCTCTAGTCCAAAAAATCTTTTTAGGATCGAGCAACATACTTAGGGTCTGTTTGATTGTATTATTTTTTTTTCTTAAAATTATTTTATAAAATAGTTAATGAAATATATGTTTTTTGTGTTTTTTTTTTTATTTTGAAAGATAAAAGTTAAAACAGAAAACAAAAATAAATCAGATATATTTTTTAAATTTGATTCTAAATATTAAAAAACAGTTAAATTTTTAGAACTATTTTTATAAAATAGATCTTATCAAAAAGATTCTTTATTTTTTTCTTCGTCTGAAAATTAAAAAATTAGTTTTAAAAACAGAATTTAAACATGTCCCTAATTGTTGGTACATACACCACGAAGTAAGCGTGCCTCCTTTAGGTTAAGTCCTACAGCGATGTTACATAGGATGACAAACAACTTATTCTTGATGTATCTGATGAAAGGACAACCAATTTAATTTATGCCCAAAATAAGCTTATTTTATAATTGAAAATATACAATAATTGGTTGAATAATAGTGTTTGGATAAATAACTAGACAATATTCTTTCTTCTATATCATTTTCATCCGGTTAATTCTCACTAGTATATATAGTCTCTTTCAGTTTTAGACAAAAAATTGTATTCCAAGTATTACACCAGTACGTAATTGTTAAGAGTGTGTTTAGTGTAGGGTGTTGTGTTCAATTCCTTGTAACTTTAAAAAAAAAAAATATATATGTAATTGAATCTTTTCCATGGACAGCTCATCATTGAAGGAGGGACTGAAATTGCTATATATATTTTCAAGGTGCTTGGCAGATAAAAAAGGAATAGGAAAGGTGCTTGAGAGGAAGCTTCATGAAGAGTTTCCAAGAGGCACCATATGTGTAATAGTTATCTAAATTAAAATCTATGTGGAACGTTGATGGATGCAGATAGAATGTAGCAAGATGGGATCTAGCCCAGTATCTGAATTAAATATGTATCCATTGATCATATCCATTACAGTATTATATCAATCCCTTATACTTTTATGGGTTTTATAAGAGTTATGTTATAGGAAAAATGATTGTGTTATGTTATAGAGATTCGTTTTGCGTGCCAGAGTTTTTTTTTTTTTTGGTTTCAAAAATTGCGGGTCCCACAAAATGTTGTGTGTGTAGGAAAGTTGTTGTGGTCATGTTAAATGATAGATGCAAAACCCTACTTTTATACATGTGATGGATTCCTTAAAATCTCATATAATAAAGGAAATCATGTTATTTTCCCAGCTTTTAATCACAGGCTACAACTTTTAAGCTTTGTGCCCCTACCATAGGCTTCATCTCATTACCATGTTCTTGCTTCGTTTTGGAGAGAAAACAAATCTCTTTCTCCTTTTCTTTTGACTGGAGTGATGGACTGGTTGGGGAAAATTTTGGCAAGCCATGAACAACATTAATTGTATCTTTTTATGGGAGATCAGCTATCATGTCAGTTTAATGTTACGCCTTTATGTAAAAGAAAAAGGTATGAAATTGATTAGATTCCACCTTTCAAGGAATTTTGTTTATTGGATTCCTTATTCAATCAAGGGATGTAAAGCCAAGAAGCACCTGCCTCGAACTGCTGCAAAATCTCCAATGTCCAATAACATTTGTAGCAAAAGGGAATCATCTCAGAGTAACCATATCTCAGCTCTATTAGCAGCCAAACACATTCTCTCCCTTACAAATCAATAGAAACACAAAATTTTTCTTTTTTCTTTTCCAAAGCCATATATATATATAGCTAGAAAAGCAATACATGAAATCATTCGACTTCCTATTTATGATAAATCACTCAATTATTTGTTACTGCACACACAAGTTACAAGAAACAATCATCCCTGTCTGTATCTTTATAGAGATGGACAATCACATGTCAGCAACTCCACTCAACTTCTTATGTCACCTGAAACTTGCCCTGCCGAAAAAACGCACCAATCAAATTTCAGCTATAAGTGAGCTTTGGTAGCATAATGCTATAAACTCCACAATTTACCAAGACAGAAACCAAGCACCTCTTTTTTGACTATTGGAGCTCCTTAGGTTATTTGACAAGTAGTAACAGTCTGAACAATGGTCAGGGAATATTCTCTCCTTGAGAGGTTCACAAGCTTCTGGCAAAACCAAATCAGAGTATCCTTCAACATAAGAGCAGTTCCATGCAAAGCTTGAGCTCACATTGAGGGTGATGTTTGATAGGCAGATGTTGACAAAATTGTCACCTTCTATACCCTCTATGAGACCTGCCCTTGTGATATTTTCTCCTATCACGTCCTTGATTGTAATCTTTTCTATTACAGGAAAAGCATTTGGGTCATAATCTTCATCTGGATGATCCCCATATGAACCAGTGAACCTAACAGCAATATCAACATTAGCCAAGGTCACGTTAGAGATATAGATGTTTCTAACATAACCACCCCTCCCAGGAGTAGTCTTTATTCTGATTGCGGTATATGAATCGTAGAAGTAAATATCTTCTGCATGAACTTCTGATACACCACCAGACATCTCACTTCCAATAGCAATCCCTGCACTGGTTTTAGTTTTCCCAATGAGCCTGTGGATGATAATATTTGTGCTTGGACGACCAAATGCAATGCCATACTCATCCCACCCACTTTTGATGGCAATCAGATCATCACCAGTGCTTATATAACAGTCTTCAATGCATACATTGTCTGAAGAATCTGGACACATTTTAAAGGTATGTGTGAGAATCTTATGAATCTTCTAAAAGAAAATAACTGTAAGGACATAAACACCGTTTTTTACAGCTAGGATATTTCCTTTGCTGTAGTGCACAATTGCACATGTCTAGAATATTCTGTTCTGTCTTCTTTTAGTTCAAACTTCAAATGAAAATTTTACCTTTAAAACAATTTATGACAAGAGCTTGATATGGCACCAAAATAACATCAAACAGTGGAATTTTTAAAATTAATCTAGAATACTTGGAAATTGTCAATTACATAGAGCATGACATTCCATCACAAGGGAAAGATATTCACCTGGATCAATCCCATCTGTGTTTGGTGAATCAAGAGGAGCAAGGATCGTGACATTCTGAACTGTAACTTGGCTGTTCATCCAGAAAAAAAAAAGTCTCAAATCCCCCCTTAATCATGAAAGCTCCACTATTGCACAGTTGTAAAAAGGTAATGGAAGACGTACTTGAAGGACAACAAACAAGGAATAAAAAATATAAACTCAACCCTTTCTGTAAGGGACAAACCTGCAATATACAGGATGAATATTCCAAAATGGAGAATTCAAGAAGGTTAAATTTGAAATGAGAACCCCGGTTGAATTCATCAATTCTACCAAATGAGGACGTGTATAATCCAGAGTTTTGTTCCTAAACCTGCTCCACCATATACTTCCTTGACCATCGATAGTTCCATTGTTACCTTCATTGAGACATTGGTAGCATCAATAAACCAATAACGTATAAAGAGAAAATAATTATTTGTTGTAACATTACCAACCTGTTATGATAACATCAGTCAAATTGCGCCCATAAATAAGGCTCCTATGCCTTCCACCCGGTAACTCCCTTCCTCGCCCATAAGATGGTAAAGGATCAACAATTGGCCAATCCTCAGAGTTCTGTAACAAGCAGGATATTGTATCATAATTGAGACTGCAAAGTGTCAAAACTAACTTACCATATAGATTACTCAAAACCCCAAATTTAAAAGTGAAAATACAATCCATGAATCTTACTAAATTATTTACAAAAAGTGGCTTACCGTTGATCCAAGAATTACTGCATCTTGATCCAACCACAAAGTTAGATGGCTGATGAGATCAAAACTACCAGTTAACCACCGCCCAGCTGGGACAAAAAGCTTTGCTCCACCTTTGTCTGCAAATGAATTTAGGTAAAAGATGGCATTCTGAAATGCTTTTGTGTTTAGGGTGACCCCATCGCCAACAGCACCAAATTCAGTAATACTGACACTGTGAGGTCGAACATCATCCAAGTTTGTCTGTTTGCACAGTGTGCTGCTCCACACTGTCCATGTGCTACAACTGAACAATGCAAGTACCAGAAGCACATCCACGAGCTGCAACAGAAACGTTTCACCATCAGTTAACACGGGCCACCAGTGAAGCTGTGAACTGAAACAGTTCACATGCTTCTTCAACCTCAACTGAAAAGACCATGAAATTCTAAGTAGGATCTAGACAGAGCTATAGACGATTCAAGTTTGAGGAGTTGAAAATCTACTCAGATCAGCTACTTTTTTCGCCATACATTTAATAATGCAATAAGAGGTTTTCAAAACATCACAAAAGGAAAAACCAATCACCACCCAAATTTCCACTGACCAAGTGTCACTTGTTTAAGAGTGAGTGGAAATTAGTAACTCAAATTAACTGGTTCTATTCTTGGACTGTGTAAAAAAAAATTAAAAAAAAAAAAAAAAAAAAGCTTTTAGATCTTACTCCATTCACTATAAGCTTGAGAGGAGAAAAAAGTGACATGGGGAACTCTCTCCATGGAGAATGCAGAAAATGATAGAGAAAGCAGTAATCAAAGAAAAACTCACAGTTGAAGGTCTCCTCATATGACTGAGATCCACCTTTCCCTTTTGAGGCACCTTAAATTCAAAATCCTCCAAGTGATGAAAAAGATCCAGAGAGAAAAAAAGAGGGTGAAAGGAACAAAGGTGAAGTAGAGGAAGGAGTTTGGTTTATTGATTAAATTCCTGAGCAATAAGCAAGTGTGATATTGATTGGGTGGGTCATTGAGAGAGCCACCACCATCACCACCCAAGTAAAAATCATTGACAGGGACTGTTACTGCCCTCCAAAAAATAAGCAGTAGGACCCCCTCTCTGCTTCTTCAACCCCTTCACTATGTCTCTTCAGTGTGAGTCTTCCTCCAAACTCTCTCTCTCTCTCTCTCTCTCTCTCTCTCCAGGTATGGAAAGTACCCAGAAAGCTAACAAGAGTGAGGAAAGAGAAACTCAAATGATTTTGAAGATGGGACTGGTGATGAACTCATAAGCAAAGGAATGGTATCTGAATTTGCGTTTGTCACAGATTCTATTGCTAAAGTGGAGACAGTGACTTCCAATACAGAGAGAAATGGACAACAACTTCAGACAGCGCCAACTGCTAAGGTAAGAGGTTTCCTCATAATTTAGCTTTGCATGGGACACCACTATTTAACTCAAGTGTACATATGTTTTGTTATGTGTATCTCGCTCGCAACATTCATAATTATATCTTTTCTTATCTTTAACCACTTCATGCTCCTAATCATTTGTTCTCTGCTTCTCTTTTATTAGTCAACATAATATTAAAACATTTCAATTTACAAGGGGGGGGTTAAATTTCTTCTTCCCAATAAATATATAAATGTGATTTCATTTTTTTTAATTAAAATATTTATTTATTTATTTTCACCTCTGTGATTTTATAAGTTGTAACACAAAGAAAAGAAATGAAGAGAGAAGATCATGGTCAAATTTGCAAAGATGAAAGGAACAATGGGGCAGAGACAAATTTTAGCCACAAAAAGCAAAACCGGTGTGTCTTTGTGAGTATGGGGAAGTGCTGCTTTTGTCAATGTCAGAGAACCATTATAATAATAATACAAATTAGAGTTCACATTTGCAAGGTTGGCTGAATATGCTTAAAACGTCGTCGTACAGCTAGGATTTCGTCTGTTTCTTCTTTCGTATCTCGAATTCGTGACTACGGTAATTTTAATTAGGATTACAATACAAAACTTCTATGTCACTATCCTATTACATTATTTTATAAAGCATGTAATCGATAAACATCTGTACTTATTTTATGTTGATAAAAATTTAAATTAAGTTTATTCTTTATAAAGATAATGTTAATTAACATAGTTCAAAGGTACAAAAATACTATCATTTTCTTCTCGATTAAAAACAGTAATACAAAATTAATCTTTGTGGCGTGATTGGACCGAAATGAACTTCGTCGTTTATTGGCCAACCAGAACAAAAAAAGAAAAAAGAAAACGAGGTTCGTCGTTTTGGTAGTAACAAACAAATATGCAGTTCGCAGTCCATGAGAGGTGCTGCTGCTTCACCAGTGAACGCTTCTGATATGGTCCTTTTTTTTTGTTTTTTAAAATTTGTGTTGCAGCTTTGAGCTTCACACAAGGAAGCAACAAAGCCCCATAAAAATAACTGATCTTAAGAAAAATAAATAAATTCAATAAACATCCATTTTGCTGTGAACTATTTCTTCAACGAATGGTAGTAAACATAAAATTTGATCAATTTATTAAGAAAAGAAAAATGTCTAGAAAGAGGGGACAGGGTCCTAGAACAGACAACATCAGAGACGGAAAGTTAAGTCATAAGTCACCCTCTGCCATGTGAAAAGTTAAGGTTTCCAAAGTCAGGTATCCTATGCCCGATAAACCAAACGGTAACTAAACTCTTAATATATGATATTAATTCCACATAGCAAAGTAGCATACATATGGAAATGTATTTTTTTTTATGTGTGAATTTATCATAACTAGATGATATGTAAATTTTTTGCTTTTTTATTTTTCTGTGTAAATTTTATGTTTATCTCTCTCCATAGATATTAATCTTAAATGTTGATTAGATTTTATGGATCCTCTCCGGTATAGATCATATGAATGCATGAGTTGATGAACATATATTTTATTTGTAAAATTGAATATCATTTTCATTATCATACAGAGCTCTTGAGCCTTGAGAAGAGAACCTCTCAATAAAATATTGTTTTTGGTCTTATTTTCAGTGTATTGAAAATATAGTTTTCATCTTTTTGCTTGGTGGTGCTGCAGTTTTCATATTATTGATTTGCTAAGTTATATTTTAAAGTATTTTCTGGACAGTTGACTAAAATAGTTTCTTAATCACGCAAGAAAGCAATAATTTCAGGGAAATTACAATGCCAACTTGTTTGTAAGTTTTTCTTCTTTTGAAATTTAAAACCGTTGTATTTTTATAATTTGTTTGATACTTAGGTTATATTTAGATATATAATGATAGATGAAATGGAATAAAATTATATTAGAGAAATATAATATAAAATTATTAATGCACCATTCACCTAACATCTTATGTTTTTAGGTTTAATTTATTTTTTTATATGATATCAGAGCTTTTGTGGTTAAATAGTATGAGTTTGATTCTCGTCGCACCGATTTTATTAATAAATAGTTAAATATAATGAAGTTTCTTAATATAAGTAGAAGGTACACCTAACAACTTAAGTTTTTGAATTGAATCTTTTTTTTATATATTATAATATTATTATGAATGAAGTAAAATTTCATTCTATTATTCAAAAAACATATAAAATGATAAAAATTATAATTTTATTAGAGTGATTCCATTTTTTATCTTTAAATCAACATCAACTTTATCCCAAACTAGTTGGAACTGGTGGTGGTAAACACAAATGTAAAGTGAGAAGAAAATGAGGAAAAAAAATAAAAAAGAATTAAAAGTAACATTAAAAATATAAACATAGCAATAAACAATTCAGAAGATGAATAAAATAAAATAAAATAAAAATAAAAATGCATAAGAGATAAAACAACATAAGAGAGAGAAAAAAAAAAGAGTTAAAATAAAGTGACAGGTTATTCTACCTATCTCTTTTTTTGTTTACCTTCACTTTTCAACATCATTCGATTAGAATCTTAAGAGGAGAGACAAATAATAAAATTGTTTGAGATTCTGATTTATCGATGTTGAAAAGTGGTAGGCAGAAAAAAAGATAAATAAAAAAATCTATCCCTAAAATAAAAATGCATACAAAAAAATTAAAGAAATAGAGAGACAAAAATAAAATAAAAAAGACGAAAATAAATAAATAAATAAGAGAAGACAAAAAAAAAGGAAAAAAAATCAAATAGACGAAAGGAAAGGAAAGGAAAAAGAGGGGGGGGGGGGGGGGGGGGGATCATATACAAGGTAGAATTAAGAAATCTAAATACTGTGTTTACAAAAAAACAAAAAACAAAAATCTAAACATTGTTAACTAATGGCATTCAGTTCCTCCCTATTTCATTTCTCTATACAAAATCAAACACAACCTTACTGCATAATTTATAATGATGGTAGGTATGCTTAAGCAATAATACATGAAACGTAATAGTTGACATTTCAATATCATGAATGACGACAAGCCTCATTTATAAGATGTCTACATATTTGACAAAACCAAGGACAATACAATACCTATTCCAATTATGTTAGGGGAAATTGCACCAAATCCCAACCTCCTCGCTTCATGAGGAAAAGAATCTTTTAAGTAATTGTTTGCTCCTTTAAATCATGTAAATTACCCCTTATAGGACTCTTGTGTACCGTATCTAACAATGGCGTTGCTATGGACCAGAATGAGGTCCATGATCAGTAAGGTCCATGATCAGCACAGGTCCACAAGTAAGCATTATAAATAGGAGCTAAAAACTATAGGTAGGAACTAATCTCTTTTTACCTATTTACGCAGCCTAGATAGTACACACACCTCTCCCAAGGCTAAGGCCATCAGATAGTGTGTGATTTGTTGTCCCCAAAATACCTAACTCATAAGTATTTAGAGAAGGCACCTGAATCATAGATCAATCATCCAATCGTGATTGGACACATCTGTCTTAGGCAGAACATGCGTGATCTGCAGTGGCAAATTTCCTTCCACCATACCCGCAGGGATGAAAATAGGTGTGCCAATTAGCTGGTTGGTGTTGCTGCCCACGTTCATGAGAATTACGTTGTTCTTCCTAGATTTTCGCAAGGACTTTTTTCTTTGTTGGGATATGATGCCCAGCTGATCAACGTTGACTTTACTTTGCTTTTCTTTTGGGCTTACGCCCCTCTTTTGTACTTAAAAAAAAATCATGTAAATTACAAATATATTTTATTATTTGTTTAGCATATATAAATCAGTATAACGCATTTAGGAGAGTTAATTCTCTTATTTATTGGTTAAAGTTTGAACTCAACCGAAATGTAAGAAGCACACCTGAACCACAAGAACAATATCTTGGATTAAGTCCTTTTTTTTTTCCACAATTAATTATGTAAAAGGTACATCATTAACCTGGTAGCAAGATAATAAAAGCAGCCATAAGCATAATCACAAATTTTGTGTATTTTATCTTTTCATTATGAACTTTTCAGCACAAAGTTTGTTGGGATTATATTAGGAATTGAGAAAAAAGAAAAGAAAAGAAAGAAACACTCAACATTCTTAGTGTAGCATCATTTTGCCAGTGCCTTGCGTAAGTTGTGATTAATGATTTAAATGAGGTGCACATTTCATGTTTTGTTAGTCTAATTAATGACATAATTAGCGAACCCCCGACACACTCCGAACATACCTGAAATCAAATACGTTGGTTTTCGCGACATACTTGAAATTATAAGAAAACGTGAATTAGCCTCAGGATTCTAATAATTAAGGATGATGATAAACCATCAACTTCTCTTAATATTTTGTATTTCTAATAAATTGTTTGATACAAAAGTAAAATTAATTACAATCATTCTCTTAATAGTTTATGTTTTCAAGAGAGTTAGTTTATTATATAATATTAGAATCATTGTACCAAGTAATAACCAAAAGGACCAAAGAGAGTGACCCTAAAATTTATAAAGGACTAGGTTTCCAAACAAGTAATTAAAAACGGAAGTAGCAACAAGGCGAGAGTAATTACTTAGATCCAAAGGCATTTGTCTTTCTCTCTTTATTATTTTCTTGTCATTTTATTTTTTCCTCTGCTAATGAAGTATCAGGCTTACAGCTAGCTTCATGGACCATATAACACATTACACACTAAGGATCGGACAAAGCAAAGGCAAATATTTGTCCTAAGTACAAAGATAATTGACGTAAATTGTAAAGAACTTTGGGATACACCAGCTCATAAGCTAACTTAAAGAGTGAGAGTGTCCAAGTTCTTATAAACTCTACATTAGTTACTCATACAATCAATGTGGGACTATATATCTCAACACGCCCCCTCACGCAAGAGCCCTTTAGGCTATAGAAGCGTGGAAATTACACAGGCTCAATTTTTTTTTGGTTTACCTTTTTTATTTTAATTTCACTTTAAAGTGGGAGGCGGTGAGGATCGAACTTGTGACTTTGTAGTCACTCAAGCTCTGATAACATGTAAAGAACCTTGAGATACACCACTCCAAAAACTAGCTCTAAGAGTGAGAGTGTCCCAAGTTTCTTTACATTCAGAGAAAATATCCCTATCTCTAGACACAGACATACAAAGAGGGTCTATCTCTACTCAACATCTTTATTTATTTTAAAGCTGTTTGGTCTATACGTAAAGAAATCGCTATTCACCATCAACCACCAAAATAATAAATAATAATAATAATAAAACCACCTTGTACGATTCAATATATGCATTCACTTTGTTATATATATATACCTCCACTCCCAAGTCTCAACACGTTGAATTTAACTAGGGGGTTTTAGGCAGATGGCGGGTCTCAAAAATTGTCATTATTATACTGTTTTAATTACGGGAAGCACGCATTTTCTGTTTTTTTTTTAATTATTATTTTTTATTGCAGTAGATCTTCATGCTTACAAGAATGCTTGTTGTTAAGTTTTTAATATTTATTTGATTTATTTTTTTTTAGAAAAAAAGAGTAAAAGACTAAAGAGAATGACCCGACAATAATAAAGTGTACTTCTTAATCACCCACCGAAGAGATCTTTTCTTTACTTTCAAGGTCTGAATGTCTAGCTAATAACAGCAACACCAAGATTTTATAGGATCAATACATATTAATACGACCCCAATGAAAATACCAAATCTGGTCAATTCATGCTTTTACAGGTAAGAATTGGTCGGAAATTATTAATTAGCCTTGCGTAATACTTAGCTGAATGAATGTGGGGTAGTTGCATTTGGCACATGCATTTGCTTTGAAGTATATGAGTATATCACCCTTCTTGCCATTCATTATTTTACAGTTAAATTTAAAAAATTGAGGACGGCACTAGATGAACTCGCAGAATTAACTGTAAGGATGAAAAGTAGAAAATGGTGAAATGTTGAGATACAATCATACAATGACTAGATAAAATCGAGGCCTACTTCCATTGGAACTGATTTTTTTATTTTTTTTATTCCTTTTTTTTGTTGCTTCAGTACATTTTTTGTTAATCTTACCAGACCCAACCTCAATGGGCTCCAGCCCAAGTTCAAAACCAGCAGACTCTAGCCCAATTTCAGACTCAAGACAAGTCATCTGAGACAGCTGCTCAAACTCATTTCTCCTCGTCTAGCTTTTACTCACAAGTGACAAATCATGACAGATGACAATACCGGAATTAGTTTTGAGTTAGTTTTAAGCTTGTTAATTTTTTTTTATTTCAGTTTCTCAGTTTAGTTACTGAGCTTTTCAGTTTAAATAAGAGTCCATGTACTGTATCAGATAACTTTAACAATGATAAGTCATTTTCTCAATTTCAAGACTAAATGCAAATTCCGCTCTACACAGAAAAATATATAGGACAGTCACTGCAAGAAAATAAACCTTTTTTTGGGATTAAAAATATGAAAATAAATGTTCGCAAAAAATAAAAGAACCAAGTATACCTTTTAATATTCCCAAGGCAATGGAATGTTCACAACAGCAATATATCTGTTTTGAAACCGAACAGCTAATCATAAATTGAAAATAAAAATAAAAATGTTCCAACATTTGCGTCAGTTGTTATGGTTGTAAGGAAGGGTGAACTTCAAAATGCATTAATTTCATTTTTTGCAATTTATATTTAATTCAGATTTAACATTTGGTTCATCAAACATATGTTTCATGTCTGATGCTAGATTTCTCATAAATATTTTACTTCTCCTTGTATGTTCTATACCCTGCCTGCTGTTCAGTTAACAACACAGCCAGGAGGTAGTCATCTGTTTCTAAATTCTGACTGATAACATTTGCAATCAAGATGCGAGATAAGGTGAGGCTCCTGTGCAGGCACGTCGACATGAGAAACATGCACATGCAACTGCTCAGTTAGAATTAGTTAATTTAACCTGTTAATTACGAATAAAACGTACTTATACCACTGCAGTGAACGTATTGGTATTTGGTTGAAGTTAGGTATTGCTGATACTTGAATTAATTCGTAAGAGATAAAAATTACTTGACAAATTTTAAACTTTAATGCAGGAACGAGCAAACCAGGATTGGATTGTTCGATCGAATTTATAATTTCATTCGCTTCATTTCCATCCATCTAAACATGCAGTAGATGATGTCATGTTCAAAACAATAATTGGACGGCTACCCAGCTTTAAACTAAAATAAAAATTGTACCATATAAAATTAAAGTAAAACTATCAGTCGAAAAAGAAGATATTCAAGCAAACGAAAAAGAATATTTGTATGACCACAAATCCAGACAAGGCACCATTAATACCGATATAGCTCCAGTAATCTAGTAACTTCTGCCCCAGTACGACCACTTTGTTGCAGGCTTTCCTGACGCAAAGCACTTGGTGCCTATGTTTAACCAAACCACACGAGGTCTTAATAAGCAATATCGGCATTAAATGTAATATACAGAAGGTTATTCATTAGAGGGGGCAAAAGGCATTAATAGGAAACATAAAACCATATTAGATAGCAAGTTCATACAGCAGCTAAAGCTGCAAATAGGTTTCAAGGGTCATTTGTAGAAAACAATAATATCACCCACATACGAACGAGAAGGATTATACCTTCTGGGAGTTCTGGCTGATCAAAGGGACTACAGAGAGTCTTAGCTGCACCCATCTCACCCTTTGTCCTTGCTTTGACATCTGCTTCAACTGCCTGTAGCATTAATATATACCAAAAACAGTTAACAAGAAAACACCAAACCACACACCATGCATGGCCAGACATTATAGAACATTACGCATGAGACAACTACGTAATGTACTAAAGTCCCATGAGAAAAATATACATTACACAATAGGGTTTCCAAAATATTAATATCAACACTTTTTTTTCCCAAGACAGACACATGCAGGGAGATTCTCAAGGGTTGGACCAATCAAATGCTTTATTTTTGTCAATTGATAATGAAGAAAGACAATCTACAGGATCCAACAGACTGGAAATTTTGAAATAGAAATAGTGATTGCTCAACAACCTACAACATCATTTCTGATATATTTTTCAGTATAACATGGTTGTGACATAAAAAATGCATCTTAGCTAAATAGACCGTGATTGGCGTCAATCAGAGAGAAACAGAAGAGTAGTATAAAGAGAATTAAGTTTATACTTGCTAAAACAAGGAAATGCCTTAAATCTCAAAACTTGGATAGCATATCATCAAGACACCTAGAGAGTTATATTTGCCATTTGGATGAAAATACACAATTCATACCTCCTCATCACACCAAGGAGCTAAGATCATTTTTCTTTGGTTCAAAGCTTCCACAAATTCATCCCAACTATGTATGACCTGTATGCATTCATCTCGTTTTTGTTTGGCAACATCAAACAGATTCTGTTGAATATTATCAAGCAACTTTTTTATTTCCTCAACCAAATCAGCACTAGCAATGTCTATCTTTGCTGCATTATCACGTCGAACAGCACGGACCTGTGCAAAATCTGAAGAGATTTACTTTGGGTTCATTGAAAAACTGACAGTGTAGAAGCAAAATGACATATAGAATTGATACAACTGTAAGACAAAGTTGATGACCTGCTTATTTGCTAAATCCTTGGGCCCAATTTCAATTCTTAGAGGAACACCTCTCATCTCCCAGTTTGAATACTTCCATCCAGGAGAATAATTATCTCTAAAATCTGATTCAGCACGAATACCTGCTTCAGACAATGTATTCACAGTTGCAGAACAGGCATCGAAGATTCCTTGAGTATTAGCATCTTTGTAAGGCACAGGAATCACAATGACTTGTACTGATGCTACTTTAGGAGGCAGCACCAATCCCTTGTCATCACCATGAACCATCACCATCACCCCAATCTGTTACAAAAAAAGCCATAAATATAAATGAAGTAAGATGTAGAGGAATCCTCAAATGCATGTAAATTCAAGAAATCAAAGCTTACAGTTCGAGTACTATAGGCCCACGAGTTCTGCCAGACCATTGCTTTCTCTCCCTTCTCATTTTCAAAGTTTATATCAAACATATTAGCAAAATTTTGGCCCAGACAATGAGAAGTTGCACCTTGTATGCCACGACCAGTGTTTGGAATAAATGCCTAGCAAAATTTAACATCACAATTATAGAAACAACTTACACCAATCATACAACATATCATTGCTCGTGCAAGAACATCAGAGATGTACCTCAACACTGGTAGTGTAAAGTCCACCAGCAAACTTCTCAAGCTCACTTTTCTTACCCTTTATGACAGGAACTGCCAAATACTCTTCATAAACACGCCTATATAGTTCTAATATTTCAAGAACCTGAAATAGTAATAGTTTAGGATATTTTGTAAACAAATTTTAAAAAGATGGAATATCTGCTTGCTTGGGTGAAAAAATATGAACCCATTAATATCTGCAGATAGTACACATTACTACGAACCTGAAGCAAAAAGGAAATTCATATATAATTGAAGTACTATAAAACCACCAAACAGGGGAAGGTAGTGACACAAGTTTGATTTAGAAAGAAAAAAAAAGGAAATTTCCTTGTCATAAAGGCAGGTTATACAAAGCATGAGATGAAAGAAAAAAACTTAACAACTCTTAATTCAAAATACTGAGACAAAAGATGACAAAATTAAGGCAGGTTATACAAACGAGACTGATAAGATAAGACCCTTGGGACGCACTACCCCAAAAGCTAGCTCAAAGGGTGAAAGTGCCCAAGGTCTTATAAACCACACATTAGTTGCCCATGTGAGACTCCAAGTCCCATACCTTGCAAATGGGTCCTAAGTCCTAACAGAGACCAAAACTGAAATGTCTAAAATAACTATTTGATACAATACCTCTGCATCTGCCTCCTCTTTTGTTGCAAAAGCAGTATGCCCTTCCTGCCAAAGAAATTCACGACTCCTGCAATCAAAATAAGTAAGAGCACCACCCAATGGAATATAAATTAATCAGCATGGTAGCAACAATTTCTGATAACATATTAACAGGGACAATATTTAATTTTATAAAAAATAATATTTCTTGCAAGTTTAAGATTAAAAAAGATTATTCTGCAAGCTTGCTTCACTATGACCAAATTCAACAGAAACAGCACTAGATGAACATCAATTCTAAAAGAAAACGTGCAGAGAATTTTAAGGCATTACATAAGACGTATACATTCAAAGACTGAACATTCCAAAATTCAAAGCCTCATATTTAAGTTTGAGTGTTAATTACGTTAATAGCAGCCAACAAATCATTACATAACATGGAGAAAGGAAAACAAGGTGAAAGACAAAAAACTATTCACTACCTGATGAATGGTGTAGGATTGCTGAACTCCCATCTAACAACATTGCACCACTGATTTAGTTTCAAAGGCAAGTCACGATGTCCCCTTATCCACTTAGAGTAGTATGGATACATGACAGTTTCACTAGTTGGACGAATAGCAATAGGAATTTCCAATTCAGAATCCCCAGACTTAGTCACCCAAGCAACCTGGAAAAAGAGTAAGACAATCAGAAAAATACTAGTGTTTCCAAAATAAAATGTCCTTTTGGAAAGCAATGCAGTTGCATAGATTATTATACTGAAATTCATAAATAAATAAAAAATACTCATTTCAACTAATGAAACTACCGTTAGTTAGCTACATCCCTAATATGCAGGGATAATGTTCCCTCGTTCGAAAAAAATCTTAACCCAACTCATAGAACAGTCTACATTACATGGTCCAACAAATTCACAAAGTCTCACCTCTGGAGCGAACCCCTCAACGTGATCCTTCTCCTTTTGCAAAACTCCAGGAGACACAAACAAAGGGAAGTAGCAGTTCTTGATTTTCATTTTCTTTATTTCTGGATCGAAAAATGCCTGCACATTGTTTTCGAAACAATAAAAGAATTTTAAAGAAATCCTGAGCTACGTAAAAAGCATAAAAGAAAGAAATATGCATCCCTGTTTGAGGAGGCTGCTATGTTTCTCCAAAAACACCATTAATGGGATAAAATAATATTTATACATTAATTAACACTAGAGCTAATTGGCAGAAATGTCAGTATAAAACAATTATACTATTCCACAATACATTCACCCATTTATCTAAAACAAAAGAAGAAATAAGAGACTTACTTGCATAATCTCCCATATTGCCATTGACAAAGGCCTCAGAATATAACAGCCAGAAATATCATAATATTCAATCATTTCCGCATTAACAACTACCTGTCACATTAATCGAAAGACAAAGTCAAACAACACATACACTACTGATATTGTCAAACAGAGAAACAAGATCAGATCTAGATGAGCAATTCTGACCGAACTCTCATAAAGTCAAAAGGATAAGTAGAAACTATTCAATGGAACATAATGGGAAACATATACCTCAGAATACCACTCTCCGAAGTTTTCAGCCTTCCGATTCGTAAGTCCTAAGCCAGTCTCTTTCTTCACCTCCTTCTTCTTTGCACCTGCAGAGCTTCGCCATTAGAAGTGAACATTAAACATAATCAAACATTAGTAATGAAAATTACCAGATTGCTTTGAGCCAGAATTTTTCGCTTCACTCCCCGCCATTCTGAACGACGAGCACCTGATCCTGCCATAGCCAAAAGATAACTGTTAGGATTAGATAGTGATGCAGAACCATCTGTGGATTCATACGCAAGCTGTGTGTACCGGTTGCAAAGATGCCGAAGGTGAATGAAACGCGTGAGAGCGATTGTAGCGTCACGAGGGGACTCTAGGGTTTTCGCTTTCAGGTAAATTGCGTCCTTCTCCGATTTTATTTCTTATTCTGCTCTTTGCTTTACTCTCTTCACTTCAGTCTTCACTTTTCAGTTCCTCAGTATAAATGTAACGTATTGTTTTTACTTGCGGATTGAAGTAAAGTAAATCCTTGCCCTTTTTTACGAGAAATATTAGTCTCCTTCTACATGAGGTAGTTTATCTCATTTTCTCTCAATTCGATTTCCGCACCTCACTTTTTTTTCTTTTTTCTTTTTTCTTGTAATAGTAGGACCCATCTAGTTTCTCTCTACAACATAAGATACCTATCTTATGTAAAAAGAGATTAATAAAACCCCTTTTTTATTCCTCATTTTATGAAGTAAAGTAAATCCTTGCCCTTTTTTATTCTTCATTTTATTTTTATTTTAAGGCGTTTCCAAACTCAATATAGATAAGTTATTTATATTTACTCCCAAAACGACGTCGTTTTAGGTTGAAAAATTAAAAAATTATAATGAAAAAGACTATTATAACTCTGAAATAAATTATAATTATAAAAATACTTTAATTTTCGTTTCAAAACGACGTCATTTTGAGCTCACTGTAGATAAGTTATCTACATTTATTCAAAGCCTTAGAAAATTTGAATGTTTAATATTAAAAAATAATAACCGTTAGATTGACGGAAATCAATGATGATTAGGTTGATTATAAAGGTTGTAAACTTTTTTGATTGTAAATATACCATATCCCTTAAATCACATATAAAATCTTTATTTTCTTTTTCTTATTAGGGGAAGGTTATATTTACAACTCATTTTCGTTTACAACATCTTATAACCAATATCTTAACCGTTGATTTCCGTCCATCAACGGTTAAGATTTTCGCAAATAAAATTTATTAATTAATTATTAATTCGCAATAAATGATAACCGTTGATTGGCGGAAATCAATCTTTATTTTCTTTTTCTTATTAGGGGAAGATTATATTTACAACCTATTTTCGTTTACAACCTCTTATAACCAATATCTTAACCGTTGATTTCCGTCCCTCAACGGTTAAGATTTTCGCAAATAAAATTTATTAATTAATTATTAATTGGCAAAAAATGATAACCGTTGATTGACAGAAATCAACGGTTAAAATATTATTGTAAGAGGTTGTAAACGAAAATAAGTTGTAAATATAACCTTTATCTTTTTATTAATAATAATCTTTTACATTTTTTAATTTAAATCTTCAATCAAATCTTTATTTTTTTTTTATATTAAAAATTATAAATTTTGATTTAATTTTCGTATCGTATCATTCCATATAAACTCCTTTAGTGTCAAAGTCAAACTAAAGAAAAAAATTACTATCACGAAGTACATGGATAAACTATTACGAGATTTTTTCAATTTAATCATACACACATGCTAAAAATTCAATAGAGAGAATTTTGCTGAATTTATAATTCTGCCTAGTTAGACCGGAATAATTAATTAATTAATGTATTAGTAAAAAATATTAAAAAAAATTGATCAAAAGAATTAAAATTGACTAATAATTTCTGTTATTCATACATATATTGGAAAAATTTCACATCTTATTATACATGTGTTAATTTGCTTATTTAATTTTTTTTTCCTCACCAAGCTTGCTATTCTCAAGTATTCTATTTCTAACAAGACAATGCACCATGCCGATTTCAATTGATTTAAAGTTAAATCTAATTTAAAATTTAACTCCTGTATTCAAAAATAATTATACAAAAGAATAAGATAAATATTTATTTTATAAGTTTTCAAACAAGAAAAGCTATTTATAATGAAATCAATTTTCTAAACATATCCTCAGACTAACAATGAAGAAAATAATGGGCAATCAGTAAGTGCTACAAATATAAATTAAGAGAGATACTTTATTGCTCTATGATAACATCTTAACTGACGTCATGTAAATTGTGAAAATTTCTTTGTAACAGTCACTCTCCACCCCTCAACCCCAAAAAAGAAAAAAACACTCATTTTTTTTTTTTCAATTGTAACTAGCAATTTTGTAGACGTTTCTCGGAAGTGAACAAAATGAAAGGGAAGGAGGCATTGAAGCGAGAGTTTTGAGGACATATGCATGTAAACAAACTTCGCTTCAGCAACTTAATAAAGAATAAGCAACAAGTTGGAAGATGCAACGACCCTTTAGGTCTCCTCATAAATCAACCCACCAAAGCACCTAAAAAGCAGACTCTAATCATCATCAGCTTGGTTGTGGTGGCATCACTTTCAAACTTCTCATCCACTCACAGAAACTGGGATCATCGAAGTGAACAAAACTGCTTTTCAGCTTTATCCTCTGTTCTGATGTCAATGACCTGAGTTGCGGGAATCTTGCTTCCTGCAAAAGTTGCATCATTCAATATGTAACAATAGCTATCCTGAAATGTGGTTGGTTTTGGACCAGGCCACAAAAAATATGATACATGGCACTTAAGCAGTTAACAGAGAAAATGAAAGAAAAAACATATTTCTGTCTCACAATAAAGTGCTAGTAGTGCTCACCTGCTCATAAGGAGGATCCTTGTGAGCTGGTATGAGACGAGAAACAAAATATCGAGCCTGGGAGCTACCCTCCTGTTTCAAAAGTAAAGTGTCCGTTATAGTTTACCTTATAAGTAGCAGAAGATGGAACTGGGAAATATGCAGAGAAAGATTTATGGAGTAGGAATAGTAAATAAAATTAACCTTAAATGCAAGGATACGAGGTGCTGGAAAACGGAATTCAGTCAGCTCTTCAGCCAATGTCCTGCATGCAGCTAAAGCAGCAGCACTTCGTACTTCATCAGCTGCGAGTTCAGCACCCTAGGATCCACCCATCAATATTAGAAAAATATATATTAGGAGAAAACAACTAGAACAAGAAAAATAAACTTCTGAACCGGGAAACAAACTACAATTGCGGCAAACATAAATGTTATAAGAACTGTCACATTAGCTAGAAGAAATAGAATATTATATTTATATTCATGAATGCAAAGTGTAGCCTCAATTACACTTTTGGTCTTGTTAATTTTACCAAATTTCAGTTTCAGTATCCCTAGATTTAATTGCAAGAGAGTTGTCTGCATGGTTTTTGTTGAGTAAGGAGGAAACAAGAGACATTTGGTGAAATCAGTGTAACTCAACTACACAATTGAGTAGATTATATAGCTAAAAAAGTAATATACAATGACCCCAGACAAGTATTTACATGGTTTTCAACACTACCCTAGATTACATAGCCAAAAAAATTAACATACAATGAACCCAGATAAGTATTTATATGGTTTTCAACACTCCCCTCGATTATATAGCCAATAAAACCATATACAACAAACCCAAACAAGTATTTACATGGTTTACAAAATTCTCCCTCAACCAAAAACATAACACAAAATCTCATTAACTACAGTAAACATACAAAATCCAAATGTTTGATACTTAAAAACGCAATACCACTTAACCATAAATAATTCAAAAACGGAAGGGTATAGGAACTAGGAGTAAGGAATTTCAATAACTATAACTCACATAAGAACTATTGACCAACAAGTTCAACAGTTTTGTACCTTCTCAGTCAAGAGACTAAAAATAAAAAAACAAACTAACGAAGTTTCTTTTCCTGAGCATGGGTTTCCAGTTGCAACACCCTTAGCTTGCCATCTGCCACCAGCCACATTAGCTGTTAGCAACAGCAGCCACTGGTCTGGTGGCAGAAAAGGCTGGGCGGCCTTCCCATTCAAAAGCAATGAGACGGAAGAGAAGAAAGGAAGATGAAAACTAAGAAAAAACCAGGGCAAAGCACCTATGTGCTACTATCTGTGGCTCAGTGCTATTGCACCAAGCGCTATTGCGTATCATTAAAAACTATGACCAGACCCAATCTGGTATCTACATTTTATAATGCAATGATCTATCAAATCCATCACCATGAAAATTATCCTTCTGTCTATCATTGGTTTTACATAGCAGGAAGCTAATTTGAAAACATGACCGGCCATTGGCAGAATAGTAAGTGCAGTAACAATAATTTATTTAGGTTAGTACCATAACAGTCCCTCAAAAAACCATATAAAGATAAAGACTATAAGTACTAGAACAGATAATAGGAGGCATACCAACCAAATGAAGACATCAGTGCCATGGTCAAGTACAACAGCAGCCTCAGACTGCATAGCAAGATCATAAGCTGGTAGCTCCTCAAAAGTTCCCCCCTCCCTGTGCATTAGACAACGGGGAGCCACCATTCTGAGTGATAGGTCAAAGGATGCATTCAGAAATAGGTTCCTCAGCACAGACCTCTCATCTTCATGGCCAATAATGCTTCCCAATAGTGGTCCTCTCCTGAGATGGAAAAGGAGCTCCGGTAAGAGAGAAAGCTCTTTTGGGAAGCAATGAAGTTTTGATTTGGGTAATAGGGAGCCAAATTTTAGAGCAATATCCTTGATTCTTTCATCTATTGTTGCTCGCATATCAATTGCATCAGAATGGTTTTTGGCTCTTAACAGAGTTCTCTTTGCAATGAGGACAGCAGCTACTTCATCCTGAACACTCTCAAGATATCCTGAAATACTATCTACTGTTGGCAGTCTAACAGTAATGACCCTCGACACATCAGCTTGATACAAATTTGAATACTGAATTGCAAACTGGAAAAAGACAAAATCACTTTTGATATCTCCTTTAGTTTCCATGGAGAGAGAGAAACTCTGTGTTTCTTCAACACTCAGCATTTGAACATAAAGAGCAGTGTCATTTTTAAACGTTTCATGGGTGTCTACATGTGACTCTTCCCCAGGACCCACAACTTGAGTAATGAGGATATCATCTGATGTGCGCAACTCTAACAAACCATGAGAGCCTGCTGATCTGGCAGATGCCCTTTGCAAATTTACACCAAAGGCTTCCCCAAAATCATCATGGAGAACCAAAACTCCACCTGATGCTTTTGCAAGAGGATGCAAGATAGGAACTCTTACAGGGCATGTTCCAGCACATAAAATATCAACCACAGTATTGTGTCGAAGAGCCTTATGACCTAGATTCTCCATAAATTTTAATGCTGTCTTTTCCATATAAGGATAATTAGGGTGATTAAAAGAATGAGGAACAGATCCTGGCCCATAAGTGTTCGGTCCACCAGCACAAACAATAATTCTACTACTGCCACCTGACCTTTTGACTACCCCTCGGGACAGATCAGCAGATGGGCCCTGAATAATAGCAAGAGCAACTTCAACAGCAGTTCCTAGGCACCGATCTCTGGAAGCTTCTGGTGTGTTCAACTTGTATGCCCTCAATGATGAAAATATGGAATGTGCTACAGGCAGTGAAATATGCATTGGTGACAAGTATATGCCAGAACCATAAATCAATGCTTTCAACGATTCTTGACTTGGTGATTTGTCCCCGGGAAGCACATCAGCAGATGCAATTGACTCTTCTGAAAGATCATATACTGATACACTACGGCTGTATAGTACAATTCCTAATCTTGTTGTTGGAGGGAGAGAATCAACAAAAGCATGCAAAGAACTCTGTAGATGGTGTAAGTGAGGTTCGTCTAAACATTCATCTATAACAAGAACAATTGGGGCAGACATTCTGGAATCTGAAACTGGAACAAAACCAGGTCTCTTGTTCCCAGTTTGAACAAAGTCAACCATGGGTGAAGATAGTTCAGGAAATCTGTGAAGATCTTCCTTGCTATGCCCAATGTACTCGCCATCACTTCCATTCAGTTTCCGGCATATAACACATTGCCACTGGCCTGATCCAAGCAATATGTTGCAATATATGTTTGCATAAGCTCCGCAGCTTTGGCAGCGATGGGGATCACGCTGTATTACCTGAGGGCCTGTTGAGACCTCCCTCCCAGGAGAGACCAATGCCCCAAAACCCAAACTCGGTACATTAGATTGTTTCTTCTGTTTCAATACCTACTTATCAAATGCAAAAGAAAAATTCATATATTTCATGAAAAAGAAAATTGCGAATAAAGAAATAGTAATTCAACGTAAAATTACATGCCTTGATTATGAATTAAAATAAACAAGAATATACCTTATGAGCCGAGAAAAGAACAAAGGATGACTCCCCGACAGGAACATGGTCCTCTATACTATCAGAACCTTGGTGCTGCAACTCAAATGATCCGTTCGAAAATTGTGGCGGCGATGAAGCTGGAAAAGAAGGGGCTGAAGAGAAAGCAAGTGGCTGAGGCGATGCAGGCGATGTGCGAAAAGGAACAGCAGCTGGACGTACAGGTGATGTAAAAACAGGTGGTCCAGGAGGGGTGCTCAAGTGAGGAACAGGACTGCCAGTTGTAACCCCATTGGCTGGTGAGGTTTTAATGGAATGGGAAGAACCTTGATCTTGCTGAAAATGTAATTTTGGTGGAGGAAATTTAGGTGCCGCTGCAAAACTTGGAGGAGGCGGAATTGGACTCTCTCTGTCCGGGTTTGAAGGGGTGAACCCAACATTAGGTTGTGTTGGGTTAGACATTGAAAATCAAGGTAGCTAGCTACAAACGCAACAACACTTACAAACCCAGTATCAAGAAGCAAACTTTACAAAATAAAAAAACGGGGGAAAGTGATAAAAGAATCAAGACTACCAAGAAAAGATATGAACCCTAATCAAGATTCTTATTTCACTCCTAAGAATTTGCATAGACCTTAAATCCCAAAGGAGAATAATGATCCCCAACTAAATTCTACTTAAACCCCGAAAGCTCAGATACTCGATCAATCGGTATCACAAAAAGAACCCCACAGAATGGGAGTCTTCCTGAACAAATTCACCCGCCATCAATCAATCTCTTCAAGATTGAAGCTGCTCGGAGATTCGCTCTGCAGATAAGTTATCCAGCAGCCAAGTCAAAAAGAAAAGAAAAGAGAAAGAAAAAGAAGATCCCAAATTCAATAATGAGCTAGGGTTTTGGAAAGTAAATCAAGATTTGGTTAAATGGAACGTATAAAACAAAATCTGGATTTAATTACCTGAGAGAGACGAGAAACTGCTAGCTTATAAGGTTTGGGAGGGGGGGATGAAAAAGAAACATTGATGAAAGGGCAAGTATGAAAAATGTTGACTTTTGTGCCCTATTGCTGTTAATTCCAACACCCCAATTAGGAAGAGGGATTGGGGTGGGTGGGGGCTGAGGATTTTAGGTTTTTAAACTCGCAAAAATAACAACAGCGCCCACGCAGTGAAACCTCCTCAGCCTCGGTTTGTTCCTTCCGTTTCTCTTTGTATTTCTTTCCTTGTTGGCATGTTTCGTTGCTACCTCCTACCTACGACAGCATTTTCACACGTGGGCACACCTATAATCACATTACTTTGTTCACTAGGAGTAGCAACTTAATTTTGTTTTAACTTACTTACCTTACAGGGTCTTATAGGCAGGGATATGCTATCCTATAGCTGATTCATGTATTCATATCAATTATTTTCGTTAAATTACAAAATAATCTAATGGTGTTTCATTCATTTTTTTTAAAAATTATTTGCATAATTTATTGTATAATACGTAATTTCTCTAAAACTTACATCAAAGTAAAAATAAATAAATAAATAAATTATGCTAACGTTTCATAAGACATGTGATTAGGTGTTTTTTTTTTTAAGGAAAAACGTTGATTTGTGAAATTAGATGTATTGGAGTTTCGAGTCTGGGAGAGATATTTCTAATATCAGCAATGATATTTGTTGATTGAAACTGTTGATATGAAAATATTTTAAATTTACATGTTCATATATAAATTTTTTTTCTTAAATGAAATAAACCATAATAAACAGTAAATATTATAGTACCCTTCTTATTTTTGAGTTGGACTGGATCCGATTAGAGAAACCAAATGACCCACCACAACCGCAAGAAACAGATCGGCCCAAAAGCTTCATTCATCCTCGTTGTTGTGCTGTAACTGTTTTTTTGTTTTACTGGTGATTGTAGTTTTGGTAGCAGTTGAAGTTCGCAAATCGCAAGCCATGGCCGAAGATTCGGATCGTCCTATCAGGATTATGAACTTTGTCTCTGAAGATCAAGTAAATAAACTCACTCATTCTTAAACTCGCACTCCCTTCTTTATTTTGTTTCCTTTCTCGAATCCATGAATTGGGCATGAATTAGGGTTTCGTTACCGATTATTGATTTTTGCATGGTTGTTCAACTTATTGTGTTGGAACAGTTGGTAGAATCAAAAAGAACAAGGGGTGAACGAGTTGAAGACGGCACTGCCCAGAGGGATAGACCTCTCTACGAGGTTTGCTTTCTCATTTCTTGTAACGCAAAATTTACTCTATAATTTTCAATAAGAGATTGATTATGAGGAATTTACTTACTGATCAAGCTTTCAATTGCAGATTCTAAAGGAAAATAAAGACAAAAAGGATGCGGAATTTAATGAAAGGTTCAAGCATAGTAAGTAACTGAGTAGTTCGACAAGCATTTAGCATAACCATGATCCTTCACTTTCGCCTTAGGAGTTAGGACAACTTGTTTGTGGAAGTTGGTTTAGATTAGAATATGGAACTTCTTGATTTTCAAAATAATTTTGAATGTGATAGTGTGTGGCAATGCCAACTGCCAATTGCTTAGCACAGCTTGTAAGGATGAACCTGTTCATTCTTTCATGCTTACTTGGTGTTAGCCCTTTTGAGACAGGCATAGTTTATCCTAATTGTTTGGCTTATGTTCAGATTATTATTATTTTTCCCCTGCTTTTCTCTTTTCTGCGGGGTTTCCTTTTGTTATCATTCCGGATTGAATTTGACCTGTCTATAATAATCACAGGACCACCTAAAGCTTTAGATGAAGACGAGACTGAGTTTCTCGAAAATTATGAAACAGTAAGTTTCTGATTTTATTTTTACAGCATTTTGTTTCACTGAAAATTCATGGCTGGAACCTGTAAGTGTCGATTGTGAAATTTTATCTGATTAGATATGTCCTTTGCTTCAAGGTTTGTGCAGACATCTATTTTAGATTGTTTAGAAACAATTTTATGACCTTTATCATTATGGAGAACAAAAGAAATGCTTGAACAAATTGTTCGCGCAAAGTTTATAAAAGTGCCTTCTTCTTTCTAACATAAATTTGTGTTTTATCCATCTTTCAGTCAAGGAGGGAATATGAACGAAAAGTGGCAGATGACGAAGCCCAACAAATCCGTAGCTTTCAAGTTAAGTCATCACAATTACTGTATGATTGCAATACTTCTCTTTAAGTAAAAATATACAAATTGCTTGTACCTTTTTAGTTAGTTTCTCTTGGAATAATTTTGGGTTGCTATTGCTGAAGTGAATTTTACATAATGTGTCAATTATTTAGTCAATGATTTTTCTGACTATATTTTTCTTGTATGTTGATTTCAGGCAGCAGTGGAAGCACAGTCCAATGTTGTGCATGAACTTAAGGAAAAAACCCCTTTACCTTTGATCCAGGTTGGTCAGTGAATTTCATGTACGTTGCTACCATTTTTGGTGCTGCAAGGAAGTGATGTAATAATGTATACATTTCCATACAATAATGCAACTGATCAATAACATTTTTACATAATTGGCCAATACTGAGGTCTATCATTGCTGAATAAGATTTTCGAAGAATATGTTCGTTGGAAGGGTTACCATCATTAATTTGACATTCATACCAAAATGTTTCTTGTGTGTATTGCCCTTCCTGTAATGTTTTCTGAAATTTCAAAGTGTATACGGTCAATTTTTTTTTATGGTTTTTAAATCTCCCAACTGAAGGCTTCCTTTATGATTTTACAGGGTTACTAGATTAGAACCTCCCCTCCTCCCTTGACGGCATAGTGTTATTATTTATTTTGCACATTTACTTGTTTGTTCATCTAAGACGTAAATGGAAGCCCTGATTTGTAATGCTCCAATGTTCAACCTCTGAAGGGATGTCTAATTTATTAGTCATTGCAACAATACATGCATTTTTAAATCAGAAATAATAAGAGTGTGTTGCTATTTTTATGCTTGTCACGCAATCTGTTTTCTCTTGCAGGAAGAAAAGTCTGCTGGAAAGAAGAATCCAGCCTCTCGCTCATTAGGCATGATTGTAAAAGTCAAGCCCCAAACTAAAAAAGCCAAGTTGGATGAAGGAAATGGTGAAGTTTCAAAAGCAGGAACAACTCCCGGGGATGATAAGAGTAAGTCTTTAGAACCAGTACAATCATTGAATTACGAAGCTGATAAGACCCGTGAAGTTGTTCAAACTGGCCTTGTTTCTTACAGTGACGAAAGTGATGATGACTTGTAGTATTGATATTTATATTTTGAGAAGTTACATGATTTCGCTTTTGTTTTGTATAGCACTCGTTCATATTCATATCCATGCATATATTCAGGACGGCAGTATGGAAAATTGACACTCCTAATGTCTAAAACTGTCATAATCCCGTCAAAATCTGCATACATGGATATATCCGTTTTCACTCCGAATATATAGGCCACTCGAATATATCCGAACTTCCGAATCCAGGTAGCGTGTATATTGTGGATCGAAACGGGGAAAGCAAGAAGAGAATGAGTACCTGTGTTAGAAGAAAAATAACGATTTTTTAAGAGAGAAAGATTGGGTGCTGAATGAAAGTGATCAAGAAATGTCTAAAGCGGTGCCCTTTGTGGTTGTGGCCCACAAAGCACACGCCAATGTGGGAAGGAACAAATAATGATAGCGATGAAGAAATAGAAACAGATTTGAAGATAATTTTTATGCATCATGTGAGAAACTTGACAGAGTGGGATGTCAATTTAACATGTGTTTAATTGTTGTCATAATATCATAAAAATAGATTGGTTGTAATATCTGGTGGTTTTCTGAAAAAAGGACCAAAGTAAATGTTGATAAGTTGTAATTTAGTTAAAATTCTTTGAAAGTGCAATCCTTCCTGTTGATAGACGAAACTGTCAATTTGAGGTGTAATGCTTTTCATCATGCTGAGAAAGTTAGAAAGACGTAAATGTAGGGAAAGATAATAAGCGCTAAATTTGCTATTTCTCCTACAAGCTTTTTAGGCAATTCCGTCGTTTTTCACTTTTTCTTGGTCATCCATTGATTCTTATTTATTTAGACTACTAAGATTTTTCTTCTATGAAAAAAAGGGTAGCAAGGGTGAAGTATTGCTTTTCAATTGAGCTTTACAAAATTAAAGTAAAAGAGAGTGTAGTGTGGGGGTAAAGACTAAAGACTATCATATTGCTGAAGCACTTGCGTGAAGTTGGACTAAGGAAGCATAAAATCCATCCTTAACGTTAATGAGCGTCTCATGCCTTCCTTTCTCCACTATAACTCCATTTTTTACTACTGCAATCACATCTGCATTTTTTATTGTAGATAGACGATGTGCCACAACCACAGTGGTCCTGCTCACCATCACTCTGTCTAATGCATCTTGAACAACCCTCTCTGACTCGGCATCTAGTGCACTTGTGGCTTCATCTAGCAGCAATATCTTAGGACTTTTAATTATAGCACGTGCAATGGCTACCCTTTGCTTTTGCCCCCCGGATATTTGGATTCCCCTCTCTCCCGCCACTGTATCATAACCCTGTTGTAGGAAAAAGACCCCAAAACAAAAATAATATGTGAATACTGAATAGTTCGCCCAATAAGACACAAGTCTACTTGAAACTAATGCAAAGACATAATAAGACTGAAAAAGGATGATTTATATGTTAAAATTTTACATGATTTTACCATGTGAGTATCTTTATGTTTATCTCTGAAACTTTAATATTTTTACCTGTTGTAAACCACTGATAAAACTATGGGCATTGGCCAGTTCTGCTGCTGTTAGGATTTCTGCTTCAGTTGCATTGCCTTCCTTTCCATAGGCAATATTGGCACGGATAGTGTCATTGAACAGGACTGGCTCTTGGCTTACAAGGCCCATCTGCTGCCTTAACCACTTGAGTTGTAACTTCTGAATTTCTATCCCATCAAGTGTAATTTGACCAGAATCAGGATCATAAAATCTCTGTAACAAGGCAATCACTGTGGATTTCCCACTTCCACTTTCACCAACAAGGGCCACAGTCTGGAACAACAAATTTGATTGGAACCATTAGTTGCAACATGCTTTTTCACCTGTTTGGTGATGCGAAATAGAGTTTGATAACATAAATAAATAAATAAAACCCTTAAACTTTACCTTGCCAGAATGGATAGTCAAGCTAAGGTCTCGAAAAATTTGTATATCTGGCCTAGATGGATACTTAAACCTTACATTAAGAAGCTCTATTTCTCCCTTCACGCTATCCAGTGTGCTACCAGACTCATCATTGGGATCTATCTCTGACTTCCTATCGATTATTTCAAATATGGAAGCAGTGGCTGTCTTGGCTTTGCTAGAATCAGGAGCTAAGGAGCTTGATTGGGAAATTCCAACAGCTGCCATAGTTAAAGCAAAGAAAACCTGCAAAACATTTTAAGAAGAAAATTTCTAAGTGTTGAAATGTAATACTTTTTCACTTTCCCCACTAGTTGACAAAGAATGATGGATAAGTATCAAAGAGTTTAGTACCCGGAAAACATCTGAGAATGATGCCTTGCCAGCTTCCACAAATCTTGCTCCTGCATAGAAATTGGTAGCATAGATATTAAAGAGTAAGAAAAATGCAACCCCAAATCCTGTTCCACTGATCAAGCCTTGTCGTATCCCAGTTTTCATGGGACCTTCACATTTCTTCCTGTATAGTTCCATAACTTTCTCTTCAGCACAGAAAGAAGCTACTGTTCTTATGCTTCCAACTGCATCATTAGCAACTTGGCTAGCTTCCTCATACATCATCTGCATCAATTTGTATTACAATACTTATAATTTGTTGCAAAATCTAAATCATGCACATTGTCTGGTTATGGAAAAGAAGCTAACCTTTGCATCTGCACTGAATCCCGCCAAGAACTTCATTTGAAAATATCCACTTATTCCAGTGAGGGGAAGCAAGACAAGAATAATAAACGACAACTGCCAGCTTGCAATGAAAGCAATGATCAAACCTGCCAATGCTGTTGCTATATTTTGAACCAATAGTCCCAGTGCATCACCAACAAGGGCACGCACAGATGCAGCATCTGCTGAGAGCCTTGCACCAATTGCACCACTTGAGTGTTCAGGCTCATCAAACCAACCAACCTCCATGTTGATCACCTTCTCAAAACAAATTAGCCTGATACGTTGGATTAACTTACTGCCAGCCACAGAGAAAAAGTAACCTCGGGCTGTAATTGCCACTAAGGATGCAAGTCCAAGGGTCATAAACATTAGTGCCCAAAACTTGGAATCCTTTTTCATCTCAGGAAATGGTTCATATAATGTTTTGATGACACTGGAAAGCAACACGCCATATATTGGAAGTATGGTACCATTTACTATAGCTGCTACACATCCAATCAGAAGCACTGGAATCTCTGGCTTGTTGATGGAAGCAAGGCGCCAGAGTGAAACCTCTGGTGGTGATTGTTCTTTGGGCTGTGAATTTCCAAGTTCAGGATCAGGGACGTTAATTCCTGCAGGTAAACCAAATGAAGCTGAAAATGAGTGGCGGCTACTATTCCCCACAGATGATCCTGATCTTCGAAGTGACCTTCTTTGACTCAATCGTTTAAAGGATTCTGAAGAAAGTTCACTCTTGTTTTGATTATCTGCAGTTTCTTCTGATTCCTTGTTCACTTCTTGTAAACGTATAAGATTAGAGTAAGCTCCCTCGGGATCCTTGAGTAATTCTATGTGTGTTCCTGATTAATAAACACAAGTTATAGTGAGATATGAATTCCAGTCTTTATTTGTAGCCTGGATCCTTGTTATCCAAGTAAGACAATAGTTAACTTGATACCAAAGGAAAATCTTACTTTTTCTTTTATAATTAGAGATAATCATCCCTCAAGTAGTTATTAAATTGTTTCAACTTATATGGTAATGTAGATAATAATGACAATATAGTGTGAAACGCATATAATGTGAGTAATGGTTGACTCAATGAAAGAAGCCATGTCTTAGCTACACTTGTTTCCTACCTTTCTCAACCATTTTCCCTCTATGAATTACAGCAATCATATCAGCATTCCTCACTGTGCTCAGGCGATGTGCAACAACAACAGTGGTTCTGTCGACCATGATCCTGTCTAGAGCCTCTTGCACTATCCTTTCAGACTCTGCATCAAGTGCACTTGTAGCTTCATCTAGAAGTAGAATTCTTGGATCTTTCAGGATTGCTCTTGCAATGGCAACGCGCTGCTTTTGTCCACCAGATAGCTGAGTTCCATGCTCACCAACCATTGTGTCCAATCCCTGGATACAGAAGGTAAATAGCTCGAGGTTACTTAACATGTTGCAAGATCACAAATCCTAAAATAGCTTTGAAATTGTAGTAAAATTTGGCTAGAAACTAGAACCTGTGGCAGTTTATCAATGAACTTAGCAGCATTTGCAAGTTCAGCTGCAGCTCTTATCTCTTCAATTGTTGCTCCCTCCTTCCCATATTCAATGTTATCCTTAATGCTAGATGCAAACAACACGGGCTCCTGGCTAACGAGGCCAATTTTTCCTCTGATCCATCTAAGCTGAAATTCTTTCACGTTAATACCATCAATAAGAACTTCACCTGCCTGTGGATCGTAAAATCTTTCTATTAAACTGATAGCTGTAGATTTTCCACTTCCACTTTGTCCTACTAAAGCTGCAGTGGTGCCGCTAGATATATGAAGAGAGAATCCGTTGAAAATCAACTCCTCAGGTCTGGCTGGATAACTGAAATAAACATCCCTTAAATCTATTTCACCATGGATATCCTTCAATATTTTTCCATTTGGGTCATAGGCATCTATCTCTGGCTTTCTCTCAATTGTCTGAAACATTTTATAAGCTGCAGCTTGGCCCGCAGCAAAAGCACTCATGCAAGGAGATGCCTGGCCGAGTGACCTAAGATATGAAATCATGTAAATAAGTTGAAGCATGCATCTATTTTATCTGTTGCCTTGTGTGGTTGTGTTGGTTTTAATAAACTTCAATAGAACATGAAATATATAAAATAGAATCTACTTACATGGAAGCTGTTAACACAGCAACAATCACAGTGCTCACCGCACCCCCATCATACCCTTTTTCCATTATCATCTTTGCTCCAAACCATACAGCCAAAGCATAACCACAGAAAATAAATAACATAGCCATGCCAAGACCGATTCCGGCTACAAAACCTTCACGAACTCCTGATTTGTAAGCATCTACAAGAAATTTTCTGTAACTAGATACTGCTTTCTTTTCCCCAGTAAAGGATGCGACCTGGAAATATGCACAGCAAAAGAAAATAATGACTATCATAGCTCTTATATTGAGAAGTTACAGAATTGCACAAGAATTTGTTAGGCTTAACAACATACAGTTCTTATTGAGCCAATTGCTTGTTCAACTACATGTGCAGCTTTAGCGTACGCGGTTTGACCTCTGGATGCCGTCCTTCCAATGGTAAAGACCATAGCAGCGCCAGAAGCGACAAGAGGTGGAAGAGTGGACAACATGACAAGAGTAAGAAGCCACCCTTTGATAAAAGCTATCACATAGCCACCAAAGAATGTTGCTACTAGCTGCAGAAATTTCCCTACCTGTTTAAACAAGAAAGCATTCTGTAAATGCGCACTCAGGGAAAAAATCAGTAACAACAAAATTCAAAGTGATTTTTTCTCCTGATTTGCATCCAAGTCTTTAGTGCAATAGTAGAAGTAGTAGTAGTACCTTCTCTCCCATGGCATCTTGTATGAGAACAGTGTCACCTGACATTCGCCCTATCACCTCTCCAGTGTTAGTTTCCTTATCAAAGAAAGTAATATTTTGTCTCAGTATAGTTTTCAAATACAAGCCTCTTATTCTTGCTGCCTGTCTCTCCCCTGTGACCATCCAGCAAGCCACCTCTGAAAAATGAAATGTTTTTTCACAGCTTAGTGTCTTGTAAATATAATATAAAATCATGGATGGATGTTCACCTAACAACTTAATTTGAGATAATTGACTCATGACATGATATGATATCAGACTAGTCTCTATGACTAAATGGTTTAGAGTTTGATCCTTGCCATCGTTTAGGTGTCTTAATCTAACAAGTTAAGCTTTTGGGATAATGAAAACTGGTGATCTTAATTATAGAATATACTTACGGAGGAATGCAGCCACAGCACTGCCTATTCCCAAATATACGAATTTAAGAGAGACCTGCAATTTTCACAAGTGAGGACTTTGTTACATCATAAGTGCAATAAAAAAAAGCCAAATTTATTTATCTGGTTTCCTAATTTTACCTTGGAAACTTGCTTGACAATGTCTGGGCTAAACTGGTTATTTCCGAAGCTATTAATCATTTGGCCAAACAGCAATGACATGAGAGGCAAACTCACACCATTTCCAATGGCCCCAATGGTGCCAACAATCATCAACAGCATGTCAATGGAGTCTGCAAATGAGAACAGCCTGTGATAAGGAACAGTTTCAGGTTTTTCTTTCCCTTTGCTCTTTTCTCTCTTTTCCCCGTTTGTATGCACTTCTTCATCCATAACATTCTCAGGCCTCATATCTATTCAGCTCCTTCTATACTCTCCAGCTATGGAACACTGTTGTGAGACACAAAAATAACAACTCAGAAAGCTTAGCCACCCCAAAAGTAGGTAACTCTGAAATGAGTGACAGAGTTTTAGAATCAGAGCTAAACAGCTCAGTAAAAAGATTTCCTCTGCTTTTCGTTCTTGAATAGGACTAAATTCTCATGTGGTACAAGTTCTTTTATAGCTTGAAGCTCCGGGATCCAGTTGTCATTTTCTAGATTTGTTGGACCATCCTATGAAGCAAAGGTCTAAGATTTATATCTTGCACACGGGCTTATCCCACAGGATTTTAAATATAAGTGTGCTGTTCGCCAATTCTAATAAAATTATAGTCAACTATATTACTCGTTGAAGGTAATGATTTTGCTTAGAAACATGAACACGCTCTTTGCTGAACCAGGCATAGCAAGGAAGCACGGAAAATATTTTTCATTTTCTGATCACCAACCACCACAGAAAGAAAGAAAACTAAGGAAGAAAAAGAAAACGGATTATCACTCATATGGTTAGTTGAATCACTTTTTCTTCTCATTTTAAATTTTAATACTATTCTTAAGATAAAACAGTGGCTTGAAAAAGATTATATGATGGTGTTTCTAAGTGTGAGCAAGCAAGCTCTATTTTGGTTAGTGACTCTTAAATCTAATGCTTTAAGATTTTGGGTTGAATATGGTATCGATCCATTTATTGTGATAGCTTAGCTCATTGATGATAATTCTCTCATACCATCAATTATACAACGGGTTTACCAAAACCAAAGGTTGATTGGCCTATATTCGAATATTCCCGGTGTTGTTCGGATTTGTAAGCCTTCCAGACCCATATTGTGAGGTAAGAACTTAACGAGTGTTGTCAAGCCTTGTTGATATGTGGGTTGGGAGAATATTTGAATCCAAATGTGAGGAGTAAAGTCCCATGTTAGATAAAGATATACAAAGTGTAGTGTTGAATCCACTTATCGTGCTAGATTACCACTTAGGGGGCGTTTGGTACGCATCATTCTTCAAGATTCTCAAGAAACTGAATTTTTTTAAATTTTAAATTTTCGAATATTATCGTAAATTTTAAAAATTATATTTTTAAAAATCGAGATTTTCGGATAAAAAAAAAATTCTACTCTATCAAATGCCCCTAGTGCAATTATAATAATTCTCACGTAACAGTATCAAATACCAGCAACTTTGGGGTGGTTGATTCCATCTCAAATTAATAATTTGAATTAAACTATGATTGACATCATAGTTTCATGTCATGACATCAACATAACCATCAACGGGGACAAAGCTGTGTACTAGAAGCCAGAAAGAAAGAGAGAAAGAATAAGGGAGGCATGGAGGCGGAGAGACGTTGAGAGACATTTATTCAACCAAAAGAGAATGCAAAATGGAAGACACAATTATGGAAAGACATTAATTTTCTTTACAAAAAGATTAAAAAGGGTACCCAAAACTGAAAGGCTGAAAGAAAATACCAGATTCTGGATATATCATTCAGTATCAGGGTATTGAACTATATTACTGTTTCTCAGATTCTGAGTTGTATCGCGGGTTTTGTTTAGCAGCTCGCACACTATATATATACATCAGTTTGGTATTGCTTACTATAGAAGCATTTCTTTCCATGATAGTTGACCAATGCTAAAAAAAATTTATAAGTTAAAAATAGCAGTTTTTGAGGAAAAAAAATTTGTTCAAAAAAAATAAAACAAACTAAATGATGGTTATTTCTTTCTTTTTTAATACATATGATGGTTATTTCTTTAGTCATGGTGATTGATGGGTGTCTATTTGAAATTTTATTCAAGTTTGACCAAGCATGGTTTCTCCTTGCCAAGAAATGGAAAGGGTATATTTAAAATTAGGCTATTTGACCATTTTGCCCCTCATTAATTAATTAATAATTATTGTGTCCCTGATTCAAAACTATCCACTAATCTGCCCATTTTTAATCAATTAACTTGCATTTTTAATCGATTAAATGGTTGTTGAGAGATTTAATCGACTAAATCTCCATACTTAATCGATTAAAAAATCATACTGACTTGTTTCCCTTTGTTGCCTGTTGGGAGATTTAATCGATTAAATAGGGAGATTTAGTCGATTAAATCTCCCAACAGCCATTTTTGTCTGTTTTGACCATTTAATCGATTAAAAATGCAAGGTAGTCGATTAAAGAGGAGCAGATTGGTAGATAATTTCAAATCAGGAGCAAAATGGTTATTAATTAATTAATGAGAGGCAAAATGGTAAAAAAGCCTTTAAAATTATCTTCTTTTACCAAAAAAATAAAATAAAAAATACTTCATTTCTCTTTTTAAAATTTATTTATAATATTCAACTTTTTAAAAATATTATCATTTTTAATTATTAAAATTTAAAAATATATTCATTTAATTATATAATTTATAAATGAATTTACTTTTAAAAAAGATTTTTTTCAGTTGAAGTTTTGGTCGTGTCATGAAAATTAAAGCCCGTGAAACCCTTAACCATAATAATGTCAAAATGAAAATATTTTTCCTAATTGATTAAAAAATCAAATAATTTAACAAAATAATACGATGAGATAGCATGTATAACGTGTGCATTCAAGTCGCATATTATCTCAATGTTGCTATTTATGCAAAAGCCATCATGGCTTGCCACTTATTGCACTTTGCAAGATGCATAGGGGGAACGTGTGCAACTTAAACATGCATCTGATGATATGTGTCTTGCAGAGCGCGATATATAGCAAACACGCGCGTTGGCTTTGCACAAGTCGATTATGGGGTGATATGCTACTTGAACGTATACATCTTCGATATACATCTTATTGTATTATTTTGACAATTATTTAACTTTTGAATTAAAGAGGAGAAATTTTTCATTTACCTTAAATAGGTAAAAAAAAAATCTGTATGAGTGTGTGATTTCTATATCATATTTTTTTTAATAAAATTTATTTAAAAAATATGAATATGAATATGAATATATATAAACTCAATAATATAACACTGAATCAACCATATTTGATTGCGTTTTTGAAAAAAAGTTGAAACAACTGAATTAACATAAACCGAAATTTTTGAATTGTTTGGATTTTTTTTTCGGGTCAGATTCAACTATATCGTTAATGTTGAAAGCCATCTTAATAAAATCGGACTGACCCGGTCGGGTCGATTCGAGAATCGATCAACCGGTTATATAACTAGTTCGATTGAAGCAATGAACAGGACATGCATCAAAATTAGTGCGACCCGGCCGGTTTTCATGAAAATCGGTGACCCAGCCTGGTATCAAAAAAAAAATTCCAAATTTTTTTTTCAAAAAAAATTCATAATTTGCTTATTTGAATTTTTTTTGCTTATTAACTTACATAAGTTATGTACCTACAACACTAATATTATCTCAATTATGCGCTATGCAGAAAATTTTGATTTGATTTATAGTTAGAGATGTCGTTTACTGAACCTAAAACCTCGTATCATGATCATTATATTTTTGTTTGATCCTTTATTGAATAATAATATGTGATTTATTATTTTTTGTATTAAAATATTTGAAATTTTTATCAATTTGTTTTAGACATTTGCATATGTTTATAATTTTTTAATATAAATTATAAAATTATATATAATTACCGGGTCATGCGGTTAAATTAGTGACCCACTATCTCGACCGAGTTAATGACCAGACCAGTTTTAATAACATTTATTGAAAGCATATTTTATTTAACTTTTAAATATTTGAGAAATTTTTAAAACTAAAATTAATTGAATTTAGAAAACAAATTTATTGAGAAAACTATCAAATTAATGTGCATGAACATAATTTAACGTATAGGTTTGGGCTCAAATATCATTAAATTTTATTATTAAATTAGATAAAAGCAATTCTATTTTCAAATGATCTAACTACAACTATTTTATACTTTTTAAAATATTATTTCTTTGAAAGTAAAGTCTAACACGGAAGGAGTTTAGTTAAAATATGTCATTAAAAAATTAAACAATTTAATACAAAAATTGATGTCACCTAAGTTAATGATCTTGATTTAATAATAGAATTCATTACTGTTGTCAAACAAAAAAAAAGGAAGAAAAATAAACAAGTCAACATGTGAATTCTTCAGTCTTAAGTTTCAAGTTTGACCAATCATGGTTTCTCCTTCGATAAGAAATGAAAGATGATATAACGTTTAAAATTATTTTATTTTGCTGAAAAAAAAATCATTTTCCTTTTTGTTGCAAACCAATATTTTTTTTCTCTTCAGTATAAATTTGAGACCTTTTTATTTTTCAAAATTTATTTATAAAAATCAATTTAAAATATATTATAATTTTAAATATTATACTTGTGCAAATTTACTTTAAAAGAATTTTCTTCTTTGCCGTTCAAAGTGGTTGGCTGTTTACGTTTTCAGGTTATTTTTTTTTGGAAATACAATGAAAACTAAAACAACATCAAAAAAAGTTCTATATTGTTAAACAATACTCTAGAAATGTGGTTCAATTGTGTGTGGTTTTTTTATTAGTGTTTATGATTTTAAAAAATAAAATTGTGTCATTTTAGTTAAAATTACTGTATGTATTTTATAATGAGAAAAATATAAAATTACGCTTGGCCAACATGTGCAAGCCTCAACAGACAAAATGTTTTGTTGTTTGATTGCAAATGTGATACGGATTCAAGGATGAGTAAGGTCCAATGGGCCACTGATCATTTCACACGGACTGTAGATCCCCGCCCAATCGAAACAATAAGCACATGGATTTAATTTCTCTTGAAAGTTGAAACTTAATGTTTGCATTTTCTTTTTTCTTTTTTCATTTCAAACTAATTTTAGTAAAGAAATTCGAGATGATCTTCCAATGACAATTGGTGAGGGTCGAGGGGAGCACATTTTTTGTGCAAGGGGAATAAGAACTCTCTTACCAAAAAAGGAAAAAAAAAAAGAGAATATAAAAGGAAATAATTATAAAAGTAGAAATAGTGCAAATGTATTACTTTTTTAATATTTGATAAAGGATTCACCGAATAGGTAGCACCCAAAATATTTTTGAATCCAGGGATCTTCTGACATGCAACAGTTCAATAGAAACATATATAATTATATGAATTCATAGAAGAATAATAGGGTATAGACTCTTTGGAGGGGGCTTTTCACCTCCAATAATAAGCGCTTGCCACTTATAAAAAATTAGAGGTGTTAGTCAAAGAATATATCAAATGTTAGATGGAACGTTTATCACTAGGTCAAAAGTTATATGTTATAATTATTAGTAAAAGCACAACTCTTTCTAGTTATCCTTATAGTAGCTCATGCGTCATGGTTTAATCTTTCTTTAACTCATACTGAATCTTGCTAAGCAGAATATTGACTTCATCAATATCTCACTGCAAGAAAAATATTTCTGAAACCAGACTAGTCAGAAAGTTATCATACTTTTTCATTTGCTAAACATTTATATTCAAGTTTTACAAGAATAAGAAGTAATTATATGATAAGAGGTATCATTGTGGTAAACTGTCCAGTAACATTAATTCCACAAGCTCCCCAATCCTAATTACTCATTTATAGCGAAAAACAATCATCAAGTTTCCAATTTGTTCATGTAATTAACCCCAAAGGAATACTATATAAACACACCGAATGTTCATACACTGAATATCTTATATATCACGCACGATATATATTAAGACCAAATGTGAAAGCAGAGGCAATGCATAAACAGAATTTCCAACAAGATCACGAATAGCTGCTGCACCAATGTACAATTTATTTCAAAAGGGGACATTACGGAATAAACACAAACAAAAACTGCAATTTAAGGTACATAACATAATTTTTCTTTGAACCCAGACCATCATAAAGAGGCAAAAACATTAGAATCTGCCTCATAGGGAAGCTTAGCTTATATCAGAGTTCCTGATCCATAACACCATGCACGTGATCAAGGAAGGGAAGTCGATGGGCCTCCTCCACGCACCATGTCATCAAACGAATCCCTTTGTTTGGGAGAGGCATGGACCCCACAATGCCAACTGGTATAATGCTGGAGCCTTGAATGGGGACCACGTGGACAGGTGGACCCCACTGATAGTCAACGTGGTTGAACCCCAGCCTCCCCCACTCAGATACAAACAGAGTAGTATAGGTCAAGGGAGGTGCAAAAGGGTCCTCGCCACTTTTCAAATGTTCACCCTTCAAGTACTTTCCAAACTCCACGGGTAGCTTGGTCTTCGCTTCTTGGATCATCTTCACCACATCAAAGATCATTGCCTCTCTAAGTGACTCACTTGAAGCTGTTATGGTAACTGGGAAGAAACAATTGCCGTAGAAGCCATTGGGCAGAGGAGGGTCCAAGAGCTGACGGCAATTTGCAAAGAAGACCAGCTTCACTTGTGTATTGGCTTCGAAATTAATGGCTCTTGTTCTGCTGCTCCAAAACCCTGCAGCAACGATCTCAAAGGCAGAGCAACTGCGTCCTGTTACTTGTTGAAATTCCCTCTTCAGCCGGTTGATTTGAATCATGGGCATGTCTATGTTTGCATGCTCTAGCTTGTAGTCTGGCATTGGAGGTGGACCTGCAGGAGGCAACAATGCAGCTTCTTGGTGTGTTTGAGAAGATGGGAAAAAGTCCCTATGCCACACTGGTTCTATGCTGGGTTTCTCAAGACCTCTAGCTATCTCCCCAACAGCATTTAGAAACTGTGCAGCACCAAGGCCATCACATATACTATGGCAGAATATGAGGCCTATCACAAAACCCCCACAACTAAATTGTGTCACCTGAGAATAGGAGGGAAAATGAATATTCCATAGACAATTCACATATTAGATATATAATAAAAGGGTGCATCTTCTAAAGGGCCAGCTTGTATCCTTTGTGGGAGGATACTATAAACTATTAAAAAATCATTACCCACCCCGGCTTAAATTTTTTGGATTGAATTGATTTTTTATATGGTACCAGAGCCTTGGTGTCACGGGTTCAATCCTCACCGCCCCCACTTTCTCTTGTGGAATTGTTTTAGCACAGGTAGGTGGTGAGCATATGCATTAATTGTCCACCTTTTAAGTCCAGCTCTCGTATGAGGGGGCGTGTTAAAAAATAATATAAATTATTAAAAATCCTCACCCACGAGTTAAGCTTTTGGGTTGAATTGGTTCTTTACTAGTAAGACATAGTTATAATTCGAAAAGTTACTTTTTTTTTTTTTTTTTGCTTTACACATTAGCTGATGTGATTGAGAAGGGAGAAAAAAATAACTTTTTATATTAACAATATGTCTTACTAGTAAGACATAGTGTAAATACACTAAAAGGACATAAAATGTGTCCTTTTAAATGACACACATTTTTCCTATAATAAAATTGGAAAAACATTTTCTTATGTTGCATGAGAATTCAATTCTCATATTGTGATCCTTCGATTTGCGTGTAAAACTTTTTTTTTTCTTTTTTTAATAAATGTGAGACCTACCACTAGTTGAGTCACAACATGATAATTCAATTCTCATGAGAAAATCAAACCTCAATAAAACCATTCATATCTATTTTCCAGTTTAATTTTTTGCATGGGAAAATTAATTATTGAGCTTGAATCATAATTTTTTTTTGTGAACAAGTAATTAATACAGAGTTCGATTTTTACGGTCAAATTTTTCTAATAAAAATGTTAAATTTCAACATAAGATTGCCCAAGCATTATTCATATTTCAAAGACCCAAAAATTCTTTTGTGTGAAGGAGAATCATAGATATATAAGTTGGTTTTTACCTAATAACTTAAATTTTTAGATTAAATTAATTTTTTGAACGTTAATAAATAAAAAAATATTATAAAAAAATATGATATAAAATTATTAATATCATCTTTACCTAATAATTTAAGGTTTTAGGTTTAATTGGTTGTTGATACATTCCAACACTAATTAAGCTATAGGGAGCATGAAGCTTGTAATACCTGCATTTGCACAAGAGGGTCGATGCGTTCCATTTGAGGAATATTATCAGGAAGAAGATCATCATATGGAATAGACTGAACATCATCAAAGAAATTGACAGAGTCAAGGGTGCAATCAGTTGTTGCCTCAACAAACCACGCGCCTTCACCTGAGCATTCAATTTGGAGGCACCCTGGTTTTGATTCAGCGAGTCGTCCTGCGAGAGGGTAGTAGGGAACCAGTGCTGTGGACAAGGCTTCTCGTATAACACTTGCAGCTTCAGGGCCACGTCTGAACACGTGTAAGGTTCTAGCATTGCATCTTAGAACAGGTAATCTATCGATGAGTGATAGGTCTAGAGTGGTGAATGGGGTCTCCTCAGCTGGTTTAACTAGACTTCGTGTTGTTCTGATCACAGACAGTGCCACTGCCATGGTGGTGCACAAAGATTTAGCAATCAAAAGAAAGGCTTGATAAGAATCTGTATAATATCATGATGAATTGTGAATAGGATTTATTTATAAAAGATTATATGTTATTTTTTATGTCGAGCTTGCCTTTAAGTCTAAACTTTGTTTGGCGTAGAAAGTAGAAACTGAACTATTCCGCCAAGCATGATGGTATAATTTATTATTTTATATAATTTTAAGAAGAGAAATGTAATTTACACGTCAAAATCTTTGTTTCTTTTTACAATATGCTTTATTGGTTGAGAGAGTATTTAGAAAGTGTATTTTTTTCTTTTTTTATTATTACATACAAAGAAAATAATATAAATATGATGAAATTTTTTTAGGTCCACAGATTATTAATATTTTAAAAACTAAATGCAGCATTGTAGCACCCATTGGTGATATCAAATGATGGTTTGGCGCATAGGAACCAAGTAGGTGGAGTGAAAACATGTATTCAATTCTCCCTAATATTATCTTTGGGAGGAGTTTATTATCTTCAGCGAAAAATACATATGATTTATTAAAAAAAAGAGGGAGGGGGGAGGACACTCGGTAGCAATTTTTAGTTTTGAGTAAGGAGTGAGAATACCTACTGTCTACTGCAATGTTATTAAAATTGATCCAGTTATTGATCTGGTCGAGGTACCAAATCACTGGTTCAATTAACGGGTCATTTGTTGAACGGCATGACTTGGTGATTATATATAAATTTATAATTTATATTAAAAAATGTATAAACATACTCACATAGTTAAAAAAATAATATAAATTTTAAATATTTTAATATAAAAATAATAAATTACACATTATTGTCCAATAAAGAATCAAATAAACATGCTTACCAAAAAAAAAAAGAATCAAATAAACATATAATGCTTGTGATACTGGTGTTTCAGGTTCAGTAAAAGACATGTCTAATTACAAATCAAATTAAAATTCCCTGCATAGTATATAACTGAAATAATATTAGTATTGTAGATACATAATCTATATAAGTCAATAAATAACAGATTACTTAAATATGTCAATTATAATTTATTTATTTTTGAATTTTTTTTTTGAAATAAACCGGATCAGATCATTGATTTCATAAAAAATAATCGGGTCACACTAAGTCGAATGCATATTCAATCCGTTACTTCATCCACCCAGATCAATTATATGATCAATTCATTTATTCCAGATCAACCCCATGAGTCCGGGTTTATTAACAATAGTCTATTGAACACAATTCTCACGCTAATGTCAGTCACAAAATAAATGAGTAGGTAGAGGAGTTTAATATGCTCACATCGGTCCCAAAGTAAAATGATTACATAGCGGAACTTATTATGCTTAGAATAGAAAATAACACCACTTGAACCGAAGATAATAAATAATGTGGATACCGCAGAGCTTGACCCAATTGAAACACATGATCCAAATACGATCATATAATAGTAACTAATAATTCATATCAACTTTTTTTATGTCAAAAATAAACTGACGGAAGACAACTAGATTGAAGTGAAACAAAAAGAAAAAGACAGTTGTAACATGTCAAAATCCTAATTGACAATGGAAGATCATAATCCCAATCCACCTTAAATGTCTATACTTATCACCGGAGTTTTTTGTTATAAAGTGCCAAAAAGAAAGTTGTAATCCAACAAACACTTCTTCTGCCCACATCATCGACATATTGCCCAAATTGCTAAGTCATAAAAATAGGACTTAATTTAATTAGAAAGTAAGGTTCACGGATAATACGTTAATATGTAGATGCCATACTCTGCCGGCTGAATAACAAAAATACCAAACGAATCTTTTTTTAGAAACTAGAAACCTAGTTTGTACGAATAAATCTCTGAAGATGTATTTTCCGTTTATTTTATAATTTATTATATTATTTAATCAGTTATAATTTTTTTTTTTCAGATAATATAATATTTTTTTATTTACGTGTTATAAAATAAATGATAAATACATTGAATCGTTGCGAAAGATTTCTTCCATTTGTACGCACGCTATTGTGCCGCAGCAGATAAACGAGGGCCACCCAATTGGGGATTTTTCTTTATCCACACGACAAATTATTTATACATTTCAGTCCTCTCTTTATAACTTAATTATTCAGATACCACCAACCATCACAGTCATCCGGCGTGGCAATGGGGCCCTCTCCCACTGACGGCTCTACTCATACATACACCTTTGGTCGCTGTGTAATCATGCAACGAATTATATATATAGAAACATGCTAATAACACATTTTATTATTAGAAAAATATCATATTAATAATAAAGTGAACTTAGGATATTTCATAAAAGGATTAGACATTTTATCTCTTATATATATATATATAATATGTGAGATTCATATTTTTTTTCTTTTCTCTTCATATAAATACACTTTTTTATATACATAAAAAAATAATTTTATCTTCTATAATACGAAAAATATTAAACTTATAATAGAATCAACACAAAAAGTTAAAAGTAAAATAAAAAATATTAAAAGATTGAGTAAATTAAACTACTCTGAAACTATTTCCCGTCACGTCTAACCAATCTCATGTCCACTCAGCCAAACAGTGCCTCTCTTCAGGCTCTCTTTTTTTTTCTTTTCTTTTCTTTTTTTCATTTTCTCTTTTTCTATTCCGATTTGTGTGATGGAGGATGAACCTTTTCTGAAAACCTCCCAAATCACAGAGCGTTGCGATTTACCCTTGGCAGCTTCCAAATCCTTCAACTATGTTACCACGTTGCAGGAAGCCCGACGAGAACAAGAGGTAGTAGAGACAGAAACCTCATCTGAACAACAACAACAACAACAACAACCATTGCATCCGAGGAAGAAACTGAGTCGCTGCAAGACTGCCCCAGCCATGGTTGTTATGCGAGACCTCAAACCCAAGACACCCGAAGTTCCGAAACCTCAGAGTAATAGCATAATAAGACAAGGCATTTGCTTGCTTATCATATACCTCTCTGTAGGAGTTGCCATATACTCTTTCAACAGAGACAATTTTTCTGGCATCGAAACTCACCCTGTAATCGATGCCCTTTACTTTTGTATCGTTACCATGTGTACCATAGGTTACGGGGACATAGCTCCTTTAACCCCAGTTACAAAGGTTTTTGCTTGCGTCTTTGTGTTGGTGGGGTTTGGATTCATTGACATACTCCTTAGTGGGCTTGTAAATTTCGTCCTAGATTTGCAAGAGAATATGATCCTAACGGGACTCCAAATGGGTGCTCGTAGAGGTTTCTCAGCGAGGAATTACATTGTTGATGTGGCAAAGGGTAGGATGAGGATCAGATTGAAGGTTGGTTTGGCACTTGGTGTTGTGGTTCTGTGTATTGGGATTGGGAGTTTGGTGTTGTATTTTGTTGAGGGTTTGGATTCGGTTGATTCCATTTACTTATCGGTTATGTCTGTTACAACAGTTGGTTATGGTGATCGAGCCTTCAAGACCCTTCCGGGTCGGTTATTTGCAGCTATTTGGCTGCTCTTTTCTACATTGATGGTGGCACGGGCATTCCTCTATTTGGCAGAGGCCAGAATTGATAGAAGGCATCGGAGAATGGCCAAGAAAGTCTTGCATAGACAAATAACTGTCGATGATTTGCTAACTGCAGATATCAACAACAATGGTTTTATTAGGTAACACTTCTTTAATTCCAATCTTTTGCTGGATAATTTTCCATGGTAATCTACATTCACTAATCACTATTATAACAGTACTGTTCCGGATACGTACCCAAATATTTTTTATAAAAGAAACTAACGGGTGACTCTATATTAAAGATTTTATATTTCTCAAATACATCTCCTCACACGAAAATTCACTAGGGTAGATAATTTACAGACTCGTCTATATGTGCTAAGAAACTCTAGAAGACTTAATTAATTATTAATTAAATAGGAATGACGAGGATCGAATCCGTGACATAAAGATTTTGATGTCACGTAAAGAACCTATTCAATCAAAAAACGGGACACTACATTAATAATTTTATAGTTCTTTAATAAGTAGAAATAATTATGATTTGTTTAATTAAGCATTAGCTTGGATGGGATTTTTTGTTGTTGTTTATTTTGGTGAGCCTGTCATCTCTTATGGAACATGTGATGGTCAGTGTCATTTTCTGAAATAAATATTAATCGTTTTTGGATGTTGTATGCATTATGCAGAGTATACAGGTAGGGGCGGAGAGTGTGAGGCATCAATAATGTATGCATTATGCAACTATTTTATCTGGTTGTTATTTTAAAAGGATTAATTTTGTGAGATTCTTTTCTTACTTGAAATTTCCATCTGCTTTTGTTCTTTCCCCTTTGCTTTGTTTTCAGTAAGTCAGAGTATATAATCATGAAGCTGAAAGAGATGGGTAAAATACAGGAAAAAGATGTATTGCAAATTTGTGACCAATTCAGGAAGCTTGACCCCTCTAACTGTGGGAAGATAACATTATCTCATATATTGGAGAGTCAATCATGACAGAGTAAGAGCAAATCAACTGATACATGAATATGTATTTGTTTCAATGCATAAGATGGTAAGGCATTACTTTTTCCCCTAGAAGAAAATGGAAAATCGGGGAAGATGGTGGTGGTCGTAGGTGGCTCCTTCTTGTACATTGATAAGCTGAAGAGGTGGTACTGTAGTCTGTACCTACATATACACACTTCACTGATCAAGTGTAGCTTATTAAGAGTGGATAGTGTGATGCAGGGAATGAATTCTTTGATATGATATGAGGTCAAGTGGGATGATTTAAATTGTACATGGACAAATCATCAGTTATTATATTTTTTCATTTTCTATTCTAATATACTTCTCAATAACAATTGGTTTGGTCATAGATAAGTAAGATCATCTCACCTCATATCACATAAGAACCATACTTTAGGACTTGACTCTGTATGTATAGAAGTGGAGCATGTGATTTGTGTGTCTGAGTACATCCAGAAGTGGGAAATTTCTTTGGTGCTTTGGATGCACCGTAAATTCAGTACATTTTCTACTCATGACACGTGTCTTACTTTTATTAAATCAATAATAGATAATTTATTTTAAAATCAGGTGAGAGAGTGATTTGATATAAAGTAAGACACGTGTCATAATATGAGTGAAAGATGTGCCGAGTTTTCAGTACATCTCTAGTACCAAAGATATTTTTCCAGAAGTGACGGGAGTTAGACTCGTTGAAGTGATGGGACGCGTATCTATATTGAGTAAGCGGCTTAACTGACATATGATAATGGAATGTTTTAGTGATTAGTTAGTGCCATTTTCCGAGCTGAGAACATTGAATTATTTGTAGCAAGATTTTGTATATAAATTACATCCTTTCCTTGAGGTGGTTGCAAATCATAACCACAAAGAAAGAGACCATGATTAAGGAAATGAATACCAGAGGCATTTTTCACTATCTCTTTCCATTCAACTTGTTATATTTAATTTTGATTCAGAAGAAAGTTTTTACATTCTCAATCATTTATATAATCTTGTCCCGTCATTAAAAAATTTAACTCTCACAATAATATAATTCTATTTAATCAAATTAGAATAACACATTTTATGTTAAGATTGGATTGAAATTAAATTCTAATACTCGAACATTTAAAATTGAACCCACGGCAAACCGGTTCAAATTAATTCAAACTGTCAGTGTCAACAGTAAAAATTCATTTTCTTGAAATTATAGAAATTGAAATATAATGAATGATTATTCTCCCTTATAATTATGTAAAGGCTAGGCAATGTTTGACTCGGTAACTAATTGGTAAGAAGTGATTTTAATATTAATATTAAGCCAGATGCTATCTATCTTTCCAATTTTACTTTGTTGATGTAAATTTATATAATAGGGAAATATTTAAAAATTAATTAGATTGAATTAGATGAAACTGAAAAGAGAAAAATCAGTTAAATATAAATGAATTCCTTTATTCATTGAAGAGTTAATAAATATATTAACTTATTCTATAAGAAATACTAAACAAAACTCTACTGCATAACAACTATAAGCCTGTATAATTAGATAGATGGCGAGGACCACAGAGCCAATCTTTCTTTAGTGCAAGAGTGCTCGGTCATGCGTATTTATCCGAGAAAAGGTAAAAGTCACCTTCATCTTATCCTTAGGCCTGTATAATAATGGGCGGAATCAATGAAATAAAATAAAATAAAATATAATAAAATAAAAATTATGATTAATGTGTAGAAAATTCATTTCAATATTTAAGAAGTAGATAAAATAGTAAATATATCCTTAAATAATAAATTAGTTTCATTTCATAGCTTAAATTGAGAATTTTTTTTAAGAAATTTGATAAAATGAAATATAGCATGATCAAATCTATTCTATTCGATTTTTAAAAAAATTAAAAAAAATTTATTTCATATCTTTCTATTAAGTTACACGTAGCTTAACAAATCTAATAAGCACAAACTTTTATCTCTCTCTTTCTTTTCAATTTTTTTTCTAATCATCTCATAATCATAGTTATGACTTTATGGAATGGTAACTCAATTCTTATCCGTAATCCATTGTCAATTTGTCATTGATTTCCGTTGATTCTATAGTCATGTACTTATGTTTTTTTTAATCCAAGACATTATGTGAACATTTAAATTAATTTGTTTCAAATAATATTTTTACAACTTCACTAAAAAGTTTTTTAAAAATATTTTTTCTAAAAAAAATTATATTATCAAACATAAACATTAGTCAATGGTAAAAATTTTGGGAAGGGGTGATGAACTTTAAATGTGACTAAACTCTGACTCAAAATTAATTCTATTGTCACCTCAAAAAAATAATTAGGAACAGTATAAAAAAATTATTCAAAAAATTGACTCTAATAATGTAGTCTGTAGTAGGGGTGATAAACGAGCCAGGGGCCTTTGGCTCGGCTAGTGAAGGCCTGAGCTTACATGCCTAATATTGGTTGTTGGAATCAGGCTTGGACTTGTATAAAAGCTCGTTTAGTTAAAAGGCCTCATGCTCCAATTCAAAAGCTCGGACTTGGAGCCTCTCAGGCTGGCATAGTATATTAATTTTTATTTTTATTTATATTTTTTATATTATTTGTAATAACCCTCTCTCTCCTCTCAATTCATTTCACCTTATTTTATTAGTTAAACAGATTTTTTGAATGATTTTGTTCTATATTATGTTATTTGGATATACATTGAATTTATGAATATTTATGGAATTACTAGTGTTGTTGATTGTATATTCTGTTTGGATAAATTTTTGTTGTCTTATTTTTTTCTAACAGGCTAAATCAGGCTTTTATTTTTGGTAAATAAGGCAGTCCACAGGCTGATAATTAAATTCGTAACAGGTAACAAGCTTGGTAAGACCGACACATTTAAATACAGACTTAGCCTTTTAAGACCAAAGCTCAACTCGGCTCGACCCGTTAACGTCCCTAGTATGTAGTCATTATGCTCATCAAGAATAGTGATGCTACCTGTGAGAGTCATATTGTCTCTAGGATATGGGCTTGGCTTGTTAAAAACTGGACTGTTAGTTTATTTTTTGTTGTTATCTTTTGGGCTTTACCCTTTTTCTCTACCAAAAAAGAAGAAGAAGAGTTTATGCATTTAGTTTGATGTGCTATATAAGACATAATAATAATATAAGTTTATTTTATATGTTATGGTATTTTTAGTTGTTTGACGTGACCATCGTATAATATAAACTTATACAACAAAATCCTTTAATACGTCAAAATGATTATAACTTAATCAGGTTTAAGGGGGTAAAATTAGGTCTGACAAAGGGTTGATATATTAATATCACTGACAAGAGTAATTCTTAAAAATTAATATATTATTTTAATATTAATATATTAAAATAAAATTGATTTTTAAAATATTGGAGATTTTTATTTTTATAAAAATTAATATATTTTTTGGACACACAGATCAATAGATATTTATAAAAATTAATATTATATGACATATTTGAAAAAATTATATAAATTCTTTATTAAAGAGTATTTTTGTCAAACATATTTATTTTTATCCTATCTAATACTATACAATGCATTACCAAATATTGGATAATATTATTTTATACAATATCATGTCATATCTTATACAATCAAGCCTTATCCTACATTGTAATGCTTTTCTTTTTCTTTTTTCACTTTTAGTACTCATGTTTGTTTTCTTTAGTAAAAGGCAAAAGAATAGTTCGTTTTGATCTTTGCTCACCACTCAGCTCCGTGCAATGTTTGTTTTCTTAGTCCAAGACTAAAGAGTGAAGCCCCACTCTAACTAACTTCTACAAATTGGGCCTCACCTAATTCACCAAACGACGAACTAATTTCGGCTTTTTGTGTTTTGTCTGTGAGTAAAAATGGACCTACACTGTTATCAAAAAAAAAAAAAAAAAATGGACCTACACTCTGACACGCACATAAAAAGGAAAAAGTAAATACGTTTAAAAAAAAAAAAACTTTTTTAGGTCTTGCATACAAAATGCTTTGTATAAATTTTAGATATTTAAGTCTCCCGGACCCCAAATATACCCCTTGTATACAATAGTTCAATGTATTCTTATCTTAAATATAGTGAGCATAATATAATTTTTGATATGGAAATCTAAATCCAGTTTTCACACAAAACTTATATACATTGTAGCATGTGGGTATTTGAATTGATTTATATAAAAAGATAAAAATTACATACTAAATTATATGATTTGTACATAATACAATATAACTTCTCATAGAATATTTTAAAAAATTGTAAAAGAAGTTACATTGTGAGAGGAATTCTCCGAAAAATAATTTTAGGTAAGATTCTTAAACGCAAAATCACATTGTGAAGTGCTACTATAAAGTTCAGTTTCTAGTGTGCTCTGCTAACCTATGGGAATAGGAATGGATAAGCAGTTGCATACGTTGTTTGTGTCGGTGAATGTGAATGTGCATGTGCTTGTGCTTGTGTTCATGTTCATGTTCAGTGTCTGTGGTCTCACCACAGCCACAAGTTATGTTTCTGCAGTTGGAGACCCTGGAATGCAGAGAAATGGACTGAGGGTGGCCTTTGAAGCTTGGAACTTTTGCAATGAAGTTGGCCAAGAAGCTCCTCTCATGGGTAGCCCAAGAGCTGCTGAATGTTTTGATATTTCAAGTAAGCCAAATCACAGAACAAAACAAACATTGATCATAGCATTTTTGTTCTTTTACATGTTTATTTTTCTTTTGTTGAAACTGATAATGTAGGATGCACAGGTTCATTGAAACACAAGGTCACAGAAGCTGATAACAGACTTGGGGTGGGAAAGCCCTTTCCTGGTCTGGGACCAGGAGATATAAACAACACAGACCTTTATGCAGTTCAAAAGGAACTGTATCTGGGTTCTCTGTGTCAAGTTCAAGACACTCCAAGGCCTTGGCAATTTTGGATGATAATGCTGAAAAATGGCAACTATGACACAGAATCTGGTTTATGTCCCAAGGATGGGAAAAAGGTACCCCCTTTTAGTCCGGGGAGGTTTCCATGCTTTGGACAAGGGTGTATGAACCAGCCAAGCTTGTGTCATCAACAGACACAGCTCAAAGATGGCACAATGAGAGGAGGATTCCATGGCACTTATGATTTGGATTCTGATTGTGAAGGTGGAAAGGATGATAACTCTTACTATGAGGTAGTTTGGGAGAAGAAACTTGATGTTGGCAGTTGGGTGTTCAAACATAAGCTCAAGACTTCAAAGAAATACCCTTGGTTGATGCTGTACCTGAGAGCTGATGCAACCAGAGGATTTTCTGGAGGTTACCATTATGACACAAGGGGAATGCTTAAAACTGTAAGTAGAGTGTCCAGAATTTCCTTAAAAAATGAATATTTCAAACTTCCAATTCTGTTTTTTTAAGTAGTCATAAATTTGGTAAGCTAATCATTTTTCCCTTCAATGTACCTGGTTTGATTAGCCAGAATTAACCATATTTGTGTTCATGATTCAGCTTCCAGAGTCACCAAATTTTAGGGTCAGGATGAGCTTAGATGTCATAAAGGGGGGAGGTCCCAAGAGTCAGTTCTACCTTTTAGATATAGGTAGCTGCTGGAAGAACAATGGTGCTCCTTGTGATGGAGATGTGCTTACTGATGTAACTAGATACAGTGAGATGATAATCAATCCTGAAACACCAGCTTGGTGCAGCCCCACAGGTTTAGGAAACTGCCCACCATTTCATATCACTCCAGAAAACAGAAGAATACATAGAAATGACACTGCCAATTTCCCCTACTCGGCTTATCACTATTACTGTGCTCCAGGTAATGCACAACACTTGGAGCAACCTGTAAGCACTTGTGATCCTTACAGCAATCCTCAGGCACAAGAGATAGTTCAGTTGTTGCCTCACCCTATATGGGGTGCTTATGGCTATCCCACTAAAAAAGGAGATGGTTGGGTTGGGGATGCAAGGACTTGGGAACTTGATGTTGGTGGATTGTCCAGTAGACTCTACTTCTATCAGGTCAGTGATTAAAATTTTATTCTACTTTTGGAATCTCATGACAAGCTTGTGTTTCTGATAAGTTTGAATTTAATGGTGCAGGACCCAGGCACTCCTCCTGCTAAAAGAATATGGACTTCTATTGATACCGGAACTGAGATATTTGTTAGCTCAAAAGATGAAGTAGCAGAATGGACTCTCAGTGACTTTGACGTCATTCTAACACAGCCAAATTTCAGAATTGAGAAACTAGCTAGGAGAAATTAGATAGCCAATAAAGTCAAAAGAGCAAGGGATTAGTAAATATCTTAATCTTTTACTCTAATATGGGAAATAATTCCTACCGAGCAAGAAGATATTTCGGGCAACACCTTCCTTTATGAATGGGACAAGTTTGAGGTTCACTCATTCCATTCCTCACGGTTCGTGTTTTGACAATTAGTATTGTATTGATGCAGAATTTCGGAACATGTGTTTGTCACCTAACTTTCCTGGATGTAACCCTTTCAATCCTGGAACACAAGATTAGACCTGCTACTACATGGGATCTGGCAAATCCTTTGTTGATTTTTTTGTTGAGGTAGAGTCTGTGCATCACAATAAACCAAATAGGCCATAGGTGTTCCACTTTTTCCGGGAATGTTGGGTTATTTTTCTGGTGCTATGTTTGGTTGATTATAAAATATTGCTGAAAATATTAAATGAAATTACAAAAATACCCATTTGTTAAAATACATCATCTGTTTAATCATTTTCCAAGGCAAGGCAATTTCATCCAACAATTTGCTTTATCGTTTCCCAAGGGGTGGAAAAAATTATACCATGAGTCAGATGATATTTTTCTTTGGGAAAGTATAGTGTTAAAATAAATTATGGAAAAAAAAATTAGCTGAAAATATTTCCAAAATCTACATACCAAACATTGGCAACTTTTTTTTCCCACCTCCAATTCCCTGGAATCCACGCAAAATCTACATACCAAATGCCCGTAAAAGAGTTTGAAATCAGAACTTGCTCCTTATAGTGGGACAAGTATATTACCGAATGGATCTAGGGCAAATCAGATATCTCCTTATTCGTAGGCATGACTAATAACATCCTAATCTTAAAAAACATAATCTGCAACATATCAAATTTCAAATACTAAAACAGAAATAACAAACTCCTAAAATCTAGATAAAACATCCCACTTTGCAGCTTTTGTAGGCATACTTTCAACAAATCTCCTCCTTGCCTTAATAGCTGCAAACACTTAGTTTAAATCTCAAAGCTTCAAATCTGGCTTTTGGGAGAGCTTTTGTTAAAATATCCGCACTTTGATCTTCGTATTTGCAATACAATAGCTTGACTTCACCTTCTTTCTCCACTTCTCTTAAGAAAAACAACTTGATCTTAAAATGCTTAGTTTTGCCATGAAAAACAGGATTATTTGAAATTGAAATAGCGGCTTGATTATCAACAAAGATCTGTGTTGGCTCATTTTGCTCCATATGTAAATCAACAAGTACATTTCTCAGCCAAATTGCTTGATTCACAGCCGCAGTGGCTGCCACATATTCTGCCTCTGCAGTGCTTTGAGTTACAACATCTTATTTTTTTGAACACCATGAAAAAACTCCTGATCCAAAACTGAAACAATAACTAGTTATGCTTTTCATGTCATCAATTGAGCCTCCCCAATCACTATCAAAATATCCAAGAAGCTTAAAATTCTGAAAATGATAATACTTAACACCATAATCTATAATGCCCTTAATATATCTCACAATCTTTTTGGCAGCTTAAAAATGCACTTCACTAGCACAATGCATGATTTTGTTATCTACAGTGACCACAAAAGTTTGAAGTATTTGTTTGATCAGAAAGAGTTGAATATGAGGCAACACCGATGGGTGGACTTTCAGAAGGATTATGATTTTGAATTGCAATATCACCCAGGTAAAGCCAATGTAGTGGCCGATTCATTAAGCAGAAAGGCGCTTTGTATAGCAAATCTGATGATTTTCGAGTAGATTTAATTGAGAAGTTTACGGATCTCAACATTCCTGTGAATGCAGAGGATAGCCCGTATTTGTTGACTACTACGGTAGTCCAGAACTCATTAGTTGAGCGGGCTCAATTACTTGATGAAGTGGCTCAGTCTATGAAAGAACAGGACTTTGTATCCACTGATAAGTCTAGTCTTAAGTTTTATAAAGATCGGATCATTGTTCTGAAAGGTCAGATGGTGGATGAGGTGTTGGCTGAGGCCCATATGGGTAAGTATACTATTCATCCTGGTGCTACCAAGATGTACCAAGACTTGAAATTAAATTTCTGGTGGACGAGCATGAAGAAAGATATTGCTCAGTTTATGAACAAGTGTTTGACATGACAGAAAGTTAAGATTGAGCATCAAAGGCCTTCTGGATTACTGCAGCCCTTGGATATTCCGAAATGGAAATGGTTCAGTATTTCTATGGATTTCATAGTGGCATTACCGAGAACTCAGGTTGGTTTTGATTCTATATGGGTGGTGGTAGACAGATTAACAAAGTCTGCACATTTTATTCCAGTCAAGACGAGTTTCTCTACGGAGCATTTGACTCGATTATATGTGAAGGAGATTGTGAAACTTCATGGTGTTCTTGAAAGTATCATTAGTGATCGGGACCCTAAGTTCACTTCTCGACTTTTGGAAGCATTGCAGCAGGCATTCGATACGCAGCTAGGACTGAGTACGGCTTATCATCCTCAGACCAATGGTCAGACGGAGAGGACCATTCAGACTCTGGAGGACATGTTGAGGGCTTGCACATTAGAGCATGGGACTGCTTGGGATAAATATCTGTCTCTGGTGGAATTTTCCTACAATAATAGTTATCATGCCAGTTTGGGCATAGCTCCCTATGAGGCTTTGTATGGCCGTAGGTGCAGGACGCCTACTTATTGGTCAGAAATTGGTGAGAGACAGTTATTTGGGTCTGATATGGTCCAGGAGACTACTTATCAGATTATTATGATTAATGATCGATTAAAGAAAGCACAGAGACACCAAAAGAGTTATTATGATGCAAAACATCGACCCGTTGAATTTTCTAAAGGGGATCATGTGTTTATCCGGTTGTCTTCGATTATAGGTGTTGGGTGATAACTCATATTTTGTTACACTTATTTATTACTCTTGGTTGGTATTTTTATGATTTATTTGAATTAAATAAAGGTCTTTTGGGTCAATTCACAATTCTAGATTTTAGTTGGGTTTAATTGATTTTCGTCATAATTTTCCAGATTTACACTACTTCCGTATTTTGACCATATCTCACTCTACAGATGTCCGATTGACTCTGTTCTTGTTGCTTTTTGCAGCTAACAGATAGGGCTACAATCGCTATTTCAGCTACTGAAGCCCAATTCGGACGAGAAGATGGTCGAAACTTGATCTCAAGATGACGTGTTTTGCTGGAATTTTATTTTGACGTTTGAACTTGTAATTCACATTAGGACCCAATGTGTTTAGGGCCCAAGGCCATGTTTTATTGTTTTGTTTTGTTTTATTCAGCTTTTATTTTATGTTTGGGCTGAAGCGGTGAAACTCTAGCCGTCCTGCGTGACGGCTATTTAAGGGAGACTCTAGGAAACCCTTCAGCAGTCAGTTTTTACAACAGAAAAGTTCTCTCTGAGTTTTTATTCAATTCTGTTCTTCATCTTTTTCTTCCTCTTCTTTTTATTTTAATCATGTTTACCTTAGCCATGCGAGGCTAAGAACTTTTTAATCAACCTAAGGGTAACGGATTCCATGGATTAGTTTTGAGGGTCTGCGTTTATTTTAAATCAGTTTTGTTTCCCTTCCTAACTCAGATTGATATCGTGCGATCGTGGATATTGAATCTGAGGTTCGCGATTGCGATTATGGAAAGATATTAATCATCAGATTTGATGATTAGGTTGATTGACCCTATGACCTTAAATCAAGCGGGTTGATACTCTACGATTGTATGAGTAGAAGCATCGTCTTTGATCAAATGCTAAGCGATCGCTTAGAGAGGGTTGTCAATTGGAAATAAGGATTCTGATTCGATTGACAAATCAATCACGATTCTGATATCTTCTTATCCGAGGAAAGACGTCCATAGAACCCAAACCTTAGGTTGGTTATTTTTAATTACGAATTTTAAATCCAATTTCATATTCTGCCTTTTAAATTATTCAACCAAAATTCAAAAACCCCCCTTTTAATTTCTGTTTTGATAAACGATTTTTACCCAAGCAATTTCCTTGAGAGAGACGACTTAGGGTTTCCACTTTACTACAAATTTTCTGAACCCTAATAAAAAAATAATTTTTAATTTGCGCGAGTGCGAGTTCGACAGCTCGTGTCATTGGGCGTGCTCTTGGAGTGAGAAAGTTGAGTCCTAGGTTCATAGGGCCCTACCAGATTATAAGGAGGGTCGGACTTGTGGCGTATCAGCTTACCTTACCTCCACATTTATCTAATATGCATAAAATTTTTCACATCAGTCAGCTTCGCAAATATGTACCTGATGTGTCCCACATTACCCAGCAGGACGATATTGAGGTAAAGAAAGATTTGGAGTTTGTTGTGGGACCACTGAAAGTTCTGGCTCGCGATGAGAAAGTATTGAGGAACAAGGTTATTCCCATGATCAAGGTACAATGGGAAGGTTTGACTCCTGAGGATGCTACTTGGGAGCGGGAGAATGATATTCTCCAACGTTATCCTAAGTTTGACGTCAGGTATGTGTTATGTTATATGTTTGATTTTGTGGGCAAAATCCTTAAAAGGTGGGGTGAATACCCGTTTAATTAGAAAAATGTATATGATTAAATATTTGATCATGCATAAATGGGTTAAATTAAGTAAAAGACCTAATTAAATAAATTAGGGTTACTTTTGAGGTAAAAAGTACAGTCAGTGAGATTCTTGTGGTAAAAATATGTGTAGAAAAAAATTACCCAGAATGCAAAAGTAAAGTTAGAAATATGACTAGAAAAATATTCCAGTTCATTGGGTAAAGTTTGGCATTGAATGAAGGTGTGTAAATAGATAAGCGGTTACCCAGTTAAAGACTTAAAGTAACTTAGCCTATTAAATAACTTAGAAATCGTGACACTCTATTTCTTCTTCCTTTTTTCTCGAGCGTGCCTCTGCTTTCTTTCTTCCATGGAAATAGCTTAGGTTTTCCTTTTCTTTTTTCTTTGATTTCTCATCACACAATCATCCAAATGCAAAATTTCATTACATGAAATCGATAGTAAATCATCCAATGAATCCACTCCACCACTTATTTTAGGCTGAAAATGCTTGTGTAAAAAGTTCTCCTCTTCCCTTTGTGCGAGTTACTATTCATCAAGTGTGGAAATTAAAGTTTTTGATGGAGCCTTGCTTGGAGTTGGTCCTCTAGGCTTGGTATAAGGGATTAGAGGTGAGAAATCTCTATTTCCATGGTTTGATTTTTATGATTTAAGTTTTGAAAATTTGAGGTATATTTTGGTGGGATACTTGAGTTTGAAATTTGAAATTTGTGATGAATTGGGGTTGCTTAGGAAACTATAATGTGGATTAAACATGTACATGTGTTTAAAAATTGAAAAATAATCCGTTTTGAACCCACCCTAGAATTCGGCCATGATGTGTTATTTAGGGTTTGATGTGCAAAAAAATTTAATTGCATAAATTGTGAAGGTTTGAATATTGGTGTATGTTGAGATTAAGTGTGAAAGTGAGAGTACATTGTGGAAAATCCCCTGGAAACCCTCTCTATGCATTTCAGTCATTAGGGTCTAATTAGGGGTAATTATGTTAAAATTATTTGATGATGTATTTAGGTCCTAATGCATGGTTTTAGTATGATTTTGAAGTTAAATGGTTTAAGACATAATGAGAGACACCTTAGTTACTTTGTATGTGTTGCCACGGCTTTGTGTACAAAAATAGGCAAAGTTAGGCTTAAAATTGTTATGAGAATATATGAAAAATTTAGGGGCTATGTGTGGATTCTAGGAACTATGAGTTGTATACATTGATTTGATGCAAAAATTCTGAGTTCCCCTAAATGTTGGTTCGGCCATTTAGGCTTTGTGGGGGCTAGGAATTGTTAAAAATTATAAATGGTATTTTAGAAGCTTGGTTGGGTTATTTTAGGACCCTATGTGAGTAGGAAACCATGAGGGTGCTTGTGGTTCATGTAATCATCCTTAAAATGGTCCAATAAAGAAATTGGAAAATTATGGTCTTGTCTTGTGAATTGGCATAGGATTGACATGAATGTAAAGAAATAAAAGAAGAACAATAAAGTGTATGTCTTGTAATTACATGGCATTGAAGCATTTTATTGAATTTTGTTTTGGATTCTTTCTCTAGGTGTGCCTAGGGACTGAGCGTCTCTGGATTTCCTTTGGAGCTAAATAGGTAACTTGTGTTACAAGTGAGCAAATCGGTAAAGCTTCAAAAGGTAAGCTCTATGTTTAAGGAGTCTTTTCCTGCTTGAGGGCTCCACCATGGTTAATGAACTATGGTTGGATTGTATGATTGTATTGATGCTTTGTATAGATACATTCATATAAAGCTATTTGATAATATGATATGATTTGTTCTGATGTGATTTCTGTATTAATCTTTGGCCATTAATTGTATTGTATACTTATGTCTGCTTGGGGTCCTCCCTCGGGACTGACGGTGTACACCTCTGATATGTTCTGGTTCTGCTTGAGGTCCTCCCTTGGGAATGACTGCGTACGCCTCTGATAAGATATGTATATATGTTTTGTTTAGTTATGATATCTGTTATATGATATTTTGTATATGTTGTATCTGACTTTCATGCAGGAGTGGGCCTAGGGGTATGGAGAATTCTCTGTAAATCTGGAGCTTACTGAGATTTGTTATCTCACCCCTTCTTGGGGACATCATTTCAGGTGCACAGGTTGCCGCTAAGCCTTCACGGGGCAGGGATACGACCCATGGTTAGAGTGTATCGCGGACCAGATTTTTGGGTAGCATTCTGCTACCATTATTTTAGAGGATTGTGATTTGCATTAGTATTCCATTTATTTTGGGGGATCTTGATGTCTGATCCGTTACTTTGTATATGGCCGGTATATGTTTTGTACATGTTTCCGCTTTGATTCATGTACATCTGGGTATTCAGGCATGTTATATTATGATGCAGTATTCAGTTATATGCTTATATGTTGTATTGCATGCTGTTAGACATAGTGGCTCGGAGCCAAGTTATGCATTCGCCCATGGATGGGTATATGGTCTTATATGGATATATGGATGTGCTGAGATCACATATTGTATAAACTGTTTATCAGGAAAACCTTGAGTGTGGGATTTGCAAATCTCCATTTGTCCGATTTACAAACGATACTCTGTCCGATTTTTGTCACCGTCCAATAAGAATTAAACTAGTAGAAGTATGCAATGTGATGTTACATCTAGGGCAATTACATGTTGTCTCTTTCTTTTTTTGAGTAATCTCAAAGGTATCATCCAACCGTAATCAAAGACTAATTTTCATTGAGCAGTGTCGGATTCTTTTGAGATCGGCTCTTCCAAATCATTTTTTTCCATTCCTACGACTCGAACTCGAGACCTTTGATTAAAGAGCCCATACTCCTTATCACCTGTGAAAAAATTTTTGATACATGTTGTCTCTTTTAAGTTTGGATGTATATAAGGTTATCGTGACTAGGAATATTTCATTTCAAATTTATGTTGTACAAGGGATTCAAACCTCTACTTACCTCATGGTTTTCTTTTTTAACATCCGTGCTAGTTGAATTTTATATTATTTTCATATTCATGTGACGCAAATATTCTTCGGTAACAGTTCCTACAATATCAAATATTTTTAGTGCAACCATCTACGATACTATGTATCCAGGAAATACAATACATAATTATAATATTAAAATTGTTTATTTTTCTTTCTTCACATTAGTCAACAAGTTTCTAAAGAGAAGGGAAAAAGAACAATTTTAATATTATATATATATGTACCCGAAATACATATTTATCCGCAACTTTAATATTATAGAGAATGTATCCGGAATATATATTTATTTATAATATTAAAAAATTTCTCTCTTTCTTAATAAACTTGTCAGATGTGAAAAAATAAAAATAAATTTTTTTAATATCATAATTATATACTCTCAAAATACACACCCACTGTTGCGGTGAAAACGCTCTCCACATCAAGGGTAATGACAACAATGGATCATGTTTGGTGGGTGAAATTGCAGTTACATGCGGACGGTGCTAACTAGTTGTACTAGTACATGGCCAGTTGTCATTGGGGCTTTTTAAAAGAACTGTTGCTTTCAACCTCACATGATTACATTAGTTGCTAACCTATTCCCCCACCATTTTGACCTTTTAGGCTGAAATGACCTTTTCCTGTCTTACACAACAACCAAATTATGTTTTTCGTTTGTTTCCAAAACAAAGAGTAAAATGTGATTATATCTAGGGGATGTCAAAACGGATCGACACAACACGAATTCGACACGACACGAATACATCAACATTAACACGACACAAATTTTTATTTGTGTCAAAATCTTCAACACTGACACGACATGAATTTTTTGCGGGTTGACACGACACGACATAAATAACACGCAAAATAGGGGTTAAAATGGTAGTTGACAAAAAAATTTAAAAAAATGGATCGATATTAAAAAAAATAAAAAAATAATAATAAAAATTAAAAAAAAAATAATTTAAAAAAATACATGTCGACACGAACATGAATACATCAACACTAACACGACACGAATTTTTTACGTGTCATTTTTTCCAACACGAACACGACACGAATTTTTTTGCAGGTCAACCCGAACACGAATTTTCGTGTCGTGTCGCGGGTCGACCCGCGTGTCAAAAACTATATTAACACCACTAATTATATCAACAACAAAAAAAGTAAAATGTGAGAAGCGCAGGATTAAGAGCTTTATTTATTTATTCTTTTTTCTATATTATAATATTAGATTACCTCTTTTATCTTTTTTTCCTTTCTTCTTGGATTTGAATAGAAAAAACTTATATTACTTTATTTATTTTTTGTTTTGTATAGAGTTTTTTTCTTTTTTTTTTTTACTTTTTTTTCTTATAAATAAATTTATTTTACCTAATGCTACACGATACAGAAATTTGTACTGGCAAGTTGGTATCTCCCCACCAGAAGAAAAACACATTAACATTAGCATCATGGAGACATCTTTTATCTTTCACAGTACTAGGAGCAGAAAAGTAGTAGTACACATGACCTTGACGTTTCTTTTTTCACTATGAACATGTAATAGTGTAGTACCAATAACACAAAGTAGTACAAGGGCAGCGTTGAAACCGAAATTTGATAGTACAGCTTGTCCTTCAAACCATTCCCCCATGTGATAGTATATTATTATATATACAGCCGGATCGCATCATATCTACACTCAAAGAGTCCTTTATGCATGATCTGAAAATCCAGTTTTGTGATGATAATATTTGTGACAACATTATTGGGAGAGATAATTTTTCAGCCAAAAGATGCTTAATGTTATGGTTGATGTTGACAAGGCTGAGGTAAGTTAGTCCAAATGCTGGAGTTAATAGTAAGAGACATGGCAAAGCCTGGGAACAGGCAGAGCATGAATGGAGCTATCAACAGAATATAGCCAAGAAAGTGAGAATGAGTGAAGAAACCTGTTGTTGCTACGCTCATGCACTGCCTCTTCCCTGGCTCTCTCTTTCCTTTTCCAGCTCCAGAAAACCCATCCTTCTTTTTTTATTTTATTTTTTACTTATTTATTGAATTAGCATCTATGTTCAATTGTGTTCAAGGGTTCAAAAATGAAAAGGCACTGTTGATGTCCATTGCCTACACAACCACTAACAACCTATTGAAATCTAGGTGGGGAACTACTAGGAAAATGGGTGTGGGAAAATTGAATCCTCCACCTAGAACACCTAGGCCCCCTCATGGCCAGTAGGTGCTATTAGGCTACAAGGTTATATGTCTAGAATTTTATTTTGGGATCAATTAAGGATAACCTATTCCTTAAAAAAAAAGCAAATCTAATTGCTCTAATTGGTACTGCTCTATCTGATACTTTATAAATCATACAACAGCTCTACTAATTGGCTCTAATTGCTACTGCTGTATTTGATCATGCAGCATTGTCTCAGTTGCATACTTCTACTACAGTCATTTTGATATCAATTCAATCCACACTCCACAGTTGTCTGCCTGAGATTATTTTTAAGTATGTTTATTTTAAGGTCAATAATTGCTTTCATTATGCGAAACTCGTTCCACAATCATGACCATAGTTATATATACCTTCTATTATGGACAGGGTATAGATGCTGCCACACTTCAATAAGCAGTTCAGAAGCATATTGAGTGGGATAATTCGTCAATATCTTTAGCTTTCTGACAACAGTTTGTGGATCAAGAATTTTCAACCAAGGTTCTTTGCAAGATGATTACGGACCATCTGTGGTATAACTAATCTGCCATTTTGAAGTAAAGAAGTATGAGGGACTGAATTTCAAGTTTTGTGGTGGCGGAGCCAGAAAAATTGAAAAGCTAATGTCAAAAATTAGCCAACCATAGAGGAAGCTAGTGCCACAATTAGCAGTAATGGAGGAAGCAAACCATTTACAGTTACTGAAGATCAAAAAAAACTTTTGATTTTGAAAATCAGCCACTGCCAAGGCACTTGCTGGTTCCAACGTGGCTACGCCATTATTCTAGATTCCAATTCTCATAAATTTCTAAAGTAAGGGTGAATACTGAAATCAGGCATTTTATTTTTGGCCCTTTGTATTGTATGCTGACCATCATATATTCATATGCTAAAATGTTAAGATAATAAAAGGGTGAAAAACAGATAGTAATGTTTTTTTCAACCCGGATGCTTGCTATTTGCCCCCATAAAAATATTAAAGAATAAAAAACAGCAGCATTAAAACAACATCTGAATAGTTACACTAGAGATTTGAACACAGAAAATCAAGTGCGCCAACACAGAAAGCGTAAGGTTTCTGTTTCTTGGGAAATTTCTACGCAACCAAACAGAAAAAGAGAAAAATGGGGAGGATCATAAATTAAGTACCTTGAGCCAAACTGCTCCGCTGAAGCCTTTTTGTTACCATACATCATATCATTTCCAATTGAACGAGCAAGCTGGAATCAACATATTACAACAAACAGCTTGATTAACAGAAACATGGTACCAATCAAGTTCATAATAGATTTTTATTGCTTCCCATGGCTTTCAATACCATTCTAAATAAAAGGGACTCACATGCTTGTATCATTATCAAACAAACATAAGGACTCCTTACACTCAACAAGGACACAGGGCTGAACTTCTCCCAGTTTGTGATCCAGTTTTCCAGATTCTATAACATGTAAATCCTCCAAAAGGATCACATAATGCTCTTGAACTTCCCCTGCACTCTTTTCTCCTCCAACCATGGCTGCAACAACCTCCCACCTTTCTGGGTGTTCCTCATCTACCACTGCTAAAGCCAGATCAAACAATTTGTTCTCCTCCCAACTCCACCCACACAAGCTCTTAGCAAAATCATCCATGTCACTAGCCTCACTCACTCTGGATTACAACACCCTTAAAGGGTACTTTGATTCTTTGAGGAAATTGAGTATTTCCTAGTAATTCATTCACTTTATGGTCATTTTAGAGAATAATTCATAGGCTGAGAATCTATTGGCACCTTATTTTATATATATATATTTTTCTTAGACAGAATCTTACACCCATTATGGTGTATGAGGAGTCGTATGTCTGCAATGTCATGCAAAATTGTCTTACTTTTTGTGTATATAAAAAAGGTGTTTGTGATATACAATTCTATCCCTCTTAAGCCAAATATTCAGCAGAGGCAGTTATGATATAAACTTGTGATAATGAAAGGTGGATCCTTTTGCACTGAAACAGGAAACATAAAATAAAATAAAATAAAATAGAGAAAATAAAGTAGCCCAAAACATCATTCTTCATTTCTTGTAGAAGTTGGAACCTCATTTTATATTTTATGGTGTCCCAATTCTAGCAAGTGATGTCATGTGGAGCTAGAGCCTGTTCATGTTGAAACGTTTATACGTTAGATTTTTATATTTTATGATTGAACATGGAAGATGAATGGGCCAGGAATGGCAAGCTATAGATCCATTATTCAATTTTTTTTTTTTCTCTTTAAAATTTCAATATTAAACCTTGCAAGGAAAGCAAGTGACTTTCACGGTTACGATTGAATAATGCTTTATCTTTCTAAAAGATTCGGCGCGATTTGATGCCTCACCAAGTATATCTAGGTCGCTTTCAAAGGTTATTGCGTGGAGAAAGGATACGGAAAGAAAAAATTAAGTACATAACCGGTCTTGAAAACTTGGGGAGCATTACGTCCCAGGACTAATTAAAAAAAATCAAATTTGTTATATTCAATTTTCAATAATCAAATTGAAGGTTGGTGATTGAAACAATTTTTATAAAAAAGTTTAACCTTCAATAAATAGTTGAATATTTGGACTCATTGCTTAGTAGTATTTAACCTCTCCGTTTCTTTTATTTGCGGTGTTGAACCCTACTATTTTTATACGAGAGATTCACACATTTTTGGTAAATAGAGAGATTCATACTTTATACATACAATAGATTTTATGACATTCAATGATTAAAATTTATGTTCAGAAAATGTTGTTGTAGGATATTTTGGCCCGATAGATTCTTGCATTTTTGCGTAAGTTTTATTTAAAAATAATAATTATGCAACGATATCTCGAGCGCAATAACTCTTTGAGAGCATCTTATATTACAGATTTACAGCCCTTTGTATTAAAGTAAATATAATCTAACCAGATATAGTTCAATTTTCACATCATATTTTGGGTCATAGTTTAATATAAAGAATTAAGGGATTAATGTTTTTCATTGTAAGAAATAATATTTTTTCTTATACACACATAAAAGTGTGTGAGATTCATATCTTTTTTTCTCTCTCTTCTCATCGCAAGAAACATGAAAAGAACATTAATCCCAAGTCCCAAGGATTAATTAACTCAAGTAAGATTGAATAGAAAAAGGGTTTTGCATTTGTCATGTTGCATGACAAATGCAAAATTTTCTAGACATACATCGATATTTGTGCTGTACTTTTTTTTTCATTTAAACAAGGTGAATCTCACACTTATTGTCTCTATAACATGACAAAAGAATTTTTCTACAACATAATACTTGTTTTTCCCTTAGAAAAAATCATACATAAAGTATAAACAAAAAAAACATTACTGTACTTTTCTGGCCTCTATTTCATATTATCATTTGGATGTTATTTAAAGGAAAATACTTTTTAAATAAAATAATTTTAGTTGTCACATTTCCAGCTTTTGAAAGGCCATAGAGGAATAGGATGGACCAGAAAATATTTTATCTTTTATTCCAAAAACAAATGCGAGAAGCGATGACAATCTCGAGAAACATCACGACCTAAGGCAACCCCGATGAGATATTTTATATAAGTTAGAATCATTTTACATTTAAGTTATACTCTCAATCTTAATTTTGATATTATTTATATCTAATAGTTCTGATTTATTAGATATTTGAGCTATTAGATACAAGCAAATTAATTATCAAGATTTAGTATAAAATTTCTTATTCTTAGACCACCAGTGTAAGAATATTCTACCCGTTTTAGTGACAGGAAATTTTTTTCAGTCATACTCACGTAAAAGTGAATAAATCTCATTATAAAAAGAAAAAAAAAATTAATGGATCCCAATGTAAAAAATTAATAAATCCTACTATTATTTTCTCTCTCTTCTTTTTATAATAAAACTCACTTATTTTTTGATCTGGATCCTCTAATGTGAAAATTCACATGACCAATGTAATGTGGGAAATCATGAGGTGGATCAATGGTAAAAAAGGAAGAGAGAGAAAAAATGATAAAATAGGTAATTACGAAATCATAACCGTTGATTTACCTTTATATGGTTGTGATTTTCGCACATGACTATATCATATTTTTTTGACAGAGGATCCATTTCCCTCATTTTTATTGGCATCCCAGAAAAATCTTTTGTAAACATTTTTTCCTCTAATAAAAGTCAAATGTCCCCCAAGAATAATTTTTCAAGAATCGAACATTTTGGGATTCAAACAGACACCTATTGGCTTGGACTTCATCTTCTTATGGATGTCATTAAATTGAATAAAATCTTGAGGAGGAAAAGAGGGTGATTGATGGTGACCAATACGACGTCAAAACTAGAAAAATCAATCTGTACTACTCATGTCGAACTGATTTAAAGTAAAAATATTGGGCAGTTGATATAGATCAAGGCCTACATTAAAAAAATCATTACCGGTAGGTGTGTATTTATAGGAGACAATTATTGGTGACACTAGCTGGAGCCTATTGCACTTTCAGCAATCTTCTGTGACACTTAAATTCTTTTAGTAATAATTTGAATAAATACAAAATTGCAACTAGATAAACAGATAAAAATTAACTACCAAAAAAAAAAAAAAAAATTTAATTAGGTAAATTTTATGAAATAATTACTACAAATATACTTACTCTCTGAAGTTCACTCTTATTAACATAATTTCATATAAAATCGGAAACATAAGTGAACATGAGTCATGTAATTATCATATAATCATAACATCATTCGGTGCTATGCTACCACTTCTTCCTCTGCCTAGCATCTCAAGCAAAATACAAAAGTTCTTTTTCCGGTAAGTGATATAGAAAAGCAAGACATTCAATAAATAATCAGCAAAAAAAGAAACTGCTGGATTTACTGAGAAGAACTAAAAGTGGCAATTGCATCCATTTCTTCTTGCAATAGAAGAGCATCAATGAAGACATCAAGATTCTCTCCTTGCATCACATCATCTATCGAGTGATAAGTGATACCAACTCTATGATCAGTTACACGACCTTGAGGAAAATTGTATGTTCGGATGCGTTCAGATCTATCCCCACTACCAATCTGTACAGTCCGACAAACCCCAAATCAATCCAGAAAGCCAAAGGGAATAGCAATTGAATACAGTTAATTCGGAGATCTCTTCTACCTGCTCTGATCGAAGCTTTGATCGACTACTATGAAGTCTGAACCTTTCCATTTCATATAGCTTTGCACACAGTATCTTGAGAGCTTTGGCCTTGTTCTAAGCAGAAATGAGAAGGCAGAGATAGAATGTAAGTAGAAGAAAAATAACGTCACAAAGAAGCGAAATATAGAACGAAATAAGCAAAATAGTGAATTTATCACATATCATAATTGACCTAGCCTGTCTCACCAAAATAAGTCAAAATGGCCCTGACAATATCTTAGACTACTGAAACAAAATAAACCTAACAGTGCAAAAAAAAAAAAAAGCTTGCGTAATGCTTTCTTTTACTTTTTCTAAAAGTTGATGAGCCTATTTATCCATGTACTCGGAGAAAGTTTTGAGACTAAAATGTAACTACACCACAGACAAGATTTTCTAAAGAACACAACGCCAAAGAGCAAGAAATGTACACCAAGTTTAAGCTTCCCGCCTTAACTGAGAGAACACATGCAGCATGCAATTCACTTGATCAAAATTTTGCTGATGGCATCATCCATGCCATATGTAAAGCACAAGTGCACAACTACTGTAAGACATTATCAAGTAGTAACAAACCAGAACACATTCCCTCAACAATTACTCTCTTTAGTGAACGTAAAATTTATGTGAGGCAAGTTAATTAAATTACAAGTCAATCAAGAGAAATTGTAGCACTACTACTAACTCCAAGATATTGATAGTGTTTTGGAGTTAAATGTAGCACCTTTTTATAAACACAAGATGAGATTAATTAAATAAAAAATTGCACATTTCCAGTCAAAAACGCTCATCTTGGAACCATTTACCATATGTTGAGAACGCTCATCTTGTATAGCAACCATAATCCCTGTTGGAATGTGAGTCATTCTAACAGCACTGTTGGTTGTATTTGCATGCTGACCACCTGAACCACCAGACCTATAGGTATCAATTTTTAAGTCTTCATTCTTCAATTGAACATCAACCTACATATAATGTGCATGATAGCTATAAGACACTAGGAAGAGAAGAAAGGTAGGAACACATCATAAGACCAAACATAAAGATATTAGCCAGGCCTTCATAATTCCATTCATCAACCTAATAGAACCAAAGGAAAAAAAGAGAGATATATGTAGTATAGGATGCCTTTTCTTTTATCATTATTTTAGAGGAACTAAAATTTGAAAACACTGTTTCATATTCTTGGACACAGCAAGCAGTCAAGTTTCATTTAACAGGGATTTATTCAAAAGGGTAATTACTAATTACCTCATCAGCCTGAGGGAGGATTGCAACAGAAACAGCACTGGTATGAACACGTCCCAACTTTTCTGTCACAGGAACTCGCTGTAAAAAAAAATAAAAAAATTGTCAGTAATTGCTGAAAGTAGATGTAATCAAAGATTGTATATGAGAGGTTGTAGCTAAAACCTGTACTCTATGAATTCCACTCTCAAATTTTAGTTTCCCAAAAACACTGATTCCTGCAATTGCTGCACTAGCCTCCTGAGAAAGTAAAGTCCAAACCAAAAATACATCAATTGCAAGATGAACTTCAATTCTACATTTCTACTATAAAGAACTTGTGGCACACAGTACAACCAGAAGGTTGCAATGCATGGTGGATGCTGCAATTAACAATTCAAATCACTTAACTAGGATATCACTGAAAATAAGGTCACATTTGGTACGCATAAATGTATGAAGTATGTACCCTGTATCCTTTAAGATCAGATTGAGCTATATCTACTACTTCAAACTTCCAGCCATTCTTGTGAGCATACTTCTCATACCTACATTATGTCAGGCAAGACCCCTTTTAGATAACTATAACAACAGTTTCTGAATCTGATCAATTTCCAGTCAAATAAATGATAAATGTAACCTTACATTTTAAAGATATCCATCGCAAACAAGGAAGCCTCCTCTCCCCCAGTGCCTAGTCAAAAATGGTATAAGCAAATGAAAATGGGGATAAAAGAAAGCACAGACAAACAAAAGCAAACCAGGCACTATAGTAAAGTGATCAACAAAACCAAAGACAACTTAGCAGACATTCATTGAAGCATGTGTTTGATGAACATTAATAATAGATATCCATTTTCAACAGTGACATTATACCTGCTCGGACCTCCAAAATGCAATCCCTTTCATCAGCATCGTCCTTAGGAAGTAATGACTTCAGCAGCAAATTTTGCAGTCTTCTTTCTTCCTCTATGGCCTGGCCCATTTCTTCTGCTGCCATATCAAGCATGTCTTTATCTTTAGAACATTCAGCCATTAGTGACTTCAAGCCACCAATTTCCTGAAGATATAAGAAAAGTAACATCAGATATTATACAAGAAAACCAACTACCTAATTTTAGCTTCTAAAAGAAGAACATACATTATCTTCACCTTTTTCCTTCTTTTTCTTATTTCTTTAAACTCAAAAAAACATAGTAACTAAAGCACATAAAAAATGTAAATAGATTGATAGTATTCTGCCTAAATGCTATATGGAAAAAAAAATTGTCACAGAAGGAAACAAAAACAACAAATGCCCTTTCCCACTAGGAAGAAATGACTACATGGATCAAATTAAGCCATTGAGTTCTGTCAAGAACCAAGTCATGGAAGTACCTAAACAGAAAGTATATACATCATCAAGTATATGTTTGCAAAGCAGGTATGCTTAACTAAACAGGTGACCAGAAAAACGAAGTCAAAGCACATGGATTTAGACAGCAAGGCCCTCCCTCTCATATGAAGTTTAAACTTCCACCTAGAATTAAGCCACAAAATACTTCCAATTTTAACTCGGCCTAACAACACACTTAATTTAATGATTCTTAAAGGAAAAAGAAGTGGTCCCTTTCAAAAGAAAGATAAGCTGTGTTACTGATTCATTTGCATAAAATCAAAAACTGAAGATAAAGACGTAGCTCAGCGTCGCTATGTTGTTCTCTACATCTTTATGATTCTTGCAATGTCATGATTCCGTAACACCAATTGCCATTTAGGCAAGTTGCTAATGAAAACGAACTTGCATCAACTAATTACCTTCTGTTTGGCCCTCAGTTCATTAATAAGCTCCAAAGAACCACTCAGCTTTCGAAGCTCCTTATTAGCTCTCGCATACTCTGATGGTGATGCTTCTGGCTGTCTTCAATAAGAACAAAAATTAAACATAAGATAATGAACTCAAATACCATTTACTTACAAGTTTAAACTTACAAGAAGAGCCATCAATACTCATGTCCGAAACAGATTTAAAAAAATAAGAATAAGAATAAAAAGAGAGAAGTTAAAAACGCATCGCAATTGCATTACCTTATTTATTAGATTGTTAAGACAAGAGGTCCTGTACTCAATAGCGATGAGTCTTCGTTCCATTATGTTTAAGAGGTCCTGGGACAGTTGAGGTTCCACCTCTGTTAACAAAATAGTTAAACTAGGATCAATCTTAACTTAAAAAAAGAATAAATCTATCAGTTCTTCGTTACTGTAATAACTGTGAACAATCGCCTGCTCTGAACAAGCCATTATTAATTAACGAATATTATCAAAAAATTTGAAATTAACAATAAAAAAAGTCTACAATCTGAAAAAATATATTGAACGAAAGAAAGGTTACCGGCAGAGTAAGAACGAAGCAAAAATGGAGGTCGACGCCGGAAACTAGGGAGTGGGAATTCGGAAGTTGATTCGAATTGATTCCGCAACCGAGAAAGATAACGGCAAATAAAAAACCTACCATGAGTTCTCATCGTTAATGGTTTTCTATCACTCTCACTGAAATGAAATTAAACGTCCCAAAAGCTTCTCTGTTTTTCACAAATCAGCAGATGCAGGTGAAAGTGAAGACGATAATGATTCGTGTTATGAGCCCATTCTTCACTTAAGCCCATTGGGCCATGCCTCCTTGTCTTTCACCAAGATTTTTTTTTTTAATACTCACGTATTAAATTAAAAGTAGAGTTATATTTATTATTTACAAATTACACCATGTATTATGGATAGTATATATCACTTGAGCATATACTGCTCATAATATATATATTGTAGTTGATAAGAGTTTGTAAATATAACAATTCACAATATGAAAAATTAAAATAAATTGGGCCATCAGTTCATTTGATTCATCAAGCTTTTCCTTTGTTTAATGCATGAGAGTATTAGGATTTTCGATAATGCTGTTTACTATGAAATTTTGTGTATAAAATTTAATCATAGTTAAAGAGAAAAATATGTTAAGATTTAAAAATTATATTATTAAATTAAATATGCAAAAAAAATAATTACTTTTTTGTAATTTTACGAAATTATATTCATATCGTCTAGCATTTTTCAAAAAATTTTAAATATTTTTCATTTATTGGATTACAGACGTCGATGAATTCTCAAGGATAGAGTTTTAATTTTATTTTAATAAACCTGTTTTAATGAAGAATTTTTAAAAGTAGAAAAGTAAGAAGAAATTGAAGTTCAAGGCCTTAAATTGAAGAAATTGATGAAGCCATTCTCTCTCTTTTTTTTTCCTTCGTTCATCCTTTCAACACAAGCTAATTAGTTTTCATTTAAATATTTTAAATTAGTATTAAATTAAATTACTTATTTGAGTGAAAATTAAATAATTATATTTTTATTCATATTTATTTGAGAGTAATTTAAAATTAAAAAAATAACTAATATGCGAAAGCAATGAAGATTACCATCAGTGCAAAGTCTATATAAATAATTCAACGCCCAAACTATATAAAAAGAATAATGTAATTTTTCTTGCATGTGCAGAAACTTCCTGATCGATTGAAAGTGTGCCTTTAAAATAGATCTTTGAATATGCGAGTGAGGGAGGTGTGATATATATCGACCAATCATATGAAAATTGAAGCTCATACAAATCTCCGCAAATATTCATTTAATATTTCCGGTGCACCTCCTCGATAAAGATAGGAAAGTATAGAATTACAAAGAAGAACAATTTGTCCGTGTGCTATCATCACCCTCACACTCTTCTCTAAGGCCATTTCCTTGGGAGAATTAAAATATTTTGTTTAAGCTTTTGTGAAGCCAAGGTTATGAGGAACATGAAGAGCCTTCAACCAATCAGTTCCGGAGCGAGGTCCAGCCTTGAGGAATTCACCAGCGGTGAATTGGGTAGCTTCAGCCTTGCTAATGAGGCCACGGTAACCCTTCCACTTGATCCTTCTCTGAACATTGGCACCAGGTCCAGCGTTATTGTACTCAGCATAGTACAAGGTGTCAAGGAAACTTGACCCTGCCCATGGAAACCATCCCTCTGGATGAATAAAGTCACCCAAATTGCATTCCATAACAACTGTCCTTGAGAATTGCTTCCATGGCCTTCCCAAGTAGGAATTGATCTTGAACCTCACTGGGAACAATGCTTGTTCTGGGACAATGTCACTATTCTGGATAACAATACCTGTGCCCATGTTCTTCTGAGATGTACCATCAGCGGTAACTGTGTTGAATTGGTTGTCATTTGGCTTCCTCACAATGATGACTGAGTGTTGGATCAAGGCTGGGGATGTGCCAAAGATGAAGTCAATGGTGCCAGAGATCACACAGTTGCGGTAGAATTGCCTGTTGGTCTGAACGTACAAGGTGTCTTGGTAACCCAATATATGGCAACCAACGAAAGCTGACATATCTCCCTGGTTTCTAAGTGCCACAGCTTGATGACCATCAGGACCAGCTGTGTTCTCGAATGTCATTGCCTTTGCAATGAATCCATTAGCAGTGTTGGCTGCGTGCATGCATGCATAATTAATCAATTAGTTCATGCTATACATATATATACACGGGAAAGATTATATTTACAAACTTTTTGTTTATAAATTCTTATGAATTACACTAGTGCATGACCAGTCATATTTAATGTAATTTATAACAAAAGTTTATAAACGGATCATTTTCTGAAAACTTGTTATCTTATTAGTTTCTTTATTATTATTATTATTATGGGAAAAGAGTTCATGCATGAGATTAATATTGTTAATAAAATAAAAAGTGATTTGTAATGAGGAGCTAGGGGGGGAATTATTAATTAAAAGATTACCGAAGGTGGCGGTTTGCATGGTCTTGGTACCATCACGGAAGTTCTTGTGACCGGTGATAATGGTTCTTTGAGGGCCATCACCATACATGAGAAGATTAACAGCTTCCTTGGGAACGGTGATGTACTCATCATAGACACCAGCCTTAACGTAGATAGTGTATCTACCTTTGAAGCCGTTAGGGTACGAGGCAATAGCATCCTTGACGGTTCTGAATTGACCACTACCATCCTTGGCAACAACAACATTTGGCTTGACACGTGATCTCCAACCTCTGCCGTTCATCTTAGCCAAGAGTTTGCGATCAGCAGCAGAGAACCATGTTGGGAAACCTTGGCTATCAACCTCGAGAAGACGACGAGAGGCAGGTTTAATATCGAACTTCAAGTTGAATTGTTCGAGGATGTTGGACAAACCACTCACGATGTCAAGGGTGACGCCAGTGATCTTACCAACTTGGTCCAAACTCTGCTCGTTCAACTGTTCCTTGATCTTTTTCTCACCGTCTTTGTCATCGTCAAAACCATCCATGCATGTTTGTTGGTATGAGATAACAGCACTCAACCAGTTCCTGAAATCAGGGGTTTGGTTATGCACGGATTGAATGTTGTTTTCTTTCACCAAATTCATGGAGAGTTGGAGACTGTCCATGGCGAATTGCAAAAGGTCCTTGCAATCATCAAGGGCCATTTTAATGCCATTGTCCTTGTTTCCATGCTCAGTTGTGAGCCTATCACTCATGTTAAGGGCCTTGATGACACTGTCAGTGGTTGCTTTCACAGCTGCCGCTATGTAAGCCTTTGGGTCTGCGGCTTCAATCCCTGTCACGGATTTAAGAGTTTCATGGCAGAGCTTTTTGTCCTCTGCGTTTTGGCATATAACACTCAGAGACCTCTGTTGAGCTTGAACCTCAGGGTCATCATTCTTCTTGTGAACGGCAACAACAACTCCAATAGCAACACCTACCACGAGGATGAGAGAAACAACAGAGACAATTATTTTTCCTTTCATTTTTGTTTTTTGCTCTTTTTTTTCTCTTTTCCTTAGATTTACTCTTCTCCGATAATAGTCGGAAAGAAGATAAATTTCCTCCCCTTATGAATTTCTTGTGGGGAGGCTTATGGAGATGTTGTGCAGATTAATGTTTACAAGTTGGGTTTTTATAGATGCATGCTTCAACATTTTTCACAGAAAAATATATATTTAGCAATCCCTTGTTGTCACCATGAATGATTGACACATAATTGTCCTTGGCTTCTGAATTTTAGGAGTGGATTGAGAATCACTAATATTTTTCAAAATAACAGTTTATTGTGATGTTTTGCTATAAACAGCCTTTCTATAATAAGGTTTATTGGTATTTCAGGGTAAGTTAAATACGGTTGACTGGAATTGTGGTGTTTAAAAAACGATTGAAGGAGACCGTTTCTTCAACCTCAAGTCACACTATTTTCTAGGAAAACCATTGGGTTGTTTTTGGCATGTCTTCGTAACCATTGGATCACTAGTGGATCATAATCATGATTTTGTACAATACACTACTATTAAGTTGTGGATAACTCCAATTTCGTTATGGAAACGGTTTGCTTGGATTTAATTTTTTGCTAGCTATAGTTTGTATATGTTTAATTTACACTTGTACTTAAATTAATTTTTTGGTAAGTACAGTGATTCCATGATTTTCTACGGGACAAAACACAACTATATATATACTAGTCGTTTGGAATAAACAATAATAACTCACTCGGTACATGTCAACTATGATTTCTTAATTCAGATTGTTTGATTACTTTATTTGACCGACTACACAGTTGAGATGAAACTTTTCCCGTCACAATGTTGAGATGTAACTTTTAATATAATTTTTGGAACATTAAGCATTACTAGATAAAATATGAGTTTGTAAAAAAAAAAGTGGAATTTAAGCTACACGTGGCTGTTGATCTAATTAATAAAATTTCAATATCTACTATATATGCATCAATTTCTTTTTTCAGTATTTGCAAGATTAATGGCAAGTCCCTTACACATATTCAGCGAAACATTTCATATGTTATGCACAGCAACTTTTCATTTTTGGCGCTCTAATTTCAGTGCTTATTTTGTGGAGTGTGATTATGTTTATCACTATTCAAAATCTTATCAGAGGTGGATATTTTAGCTTAATGTGTTTTCCTTGCCTCACCTTATATCTTTGATCCAAGAGTGCCTTATAACAACATGCGCATATTGAGATGACTAACACATTTGGGCATGATTGAAATCTGTTTTGAAAAATGGTTTTTGATTTTCAGAATAAAAAATAAAAAAGTTTATTCGATAAGGCCTATTTTGTAAATAAAATTTTAAAAATTCTAACTTTTTTTGTTTGTTTTTAAAATCAAATTTAAATAATATATCTAAGTTGCTTTTGTTTTATATTTTGACTTTGGATTTTAAAAAAAATAAAAAATAATTATTTCATTAATTATTTTAGGAAACAACTTTAAGAAGAGCAAAAAAAAAAAACAGAACACGGTCAAGCAGTTGCGCGTATTTTACTGTTTTCTACGTACATGAGAAGAAGATGAATTCTAACATCACCACTTCTATATTCATGAATCATGCTAGAGGAAAGTCATTTCAAGCATATTGCAAGGTGTCAGTTTAGAACATCACCTAAAAATTTTATAATCATAATTTTTTATTTTTTATTTATTAATATTAATACTTTAATAATGTACATTGTTTATATATAAAAATATATAGATTAATATTTTTATATTATAGGAAATAATTTTATCTTATATATACACATAAAAATATGCGATATTCATATAGGCCCATGAAAAGAAAAAGATATATATGAACCACGCATCTATGTACAACATGAGAAATATTAATCTAAAAAATATATGCAAAAGTTCATGTGCAAGTGACATTTTCCTCATTAAACCAAGGTAGTTGAAAAAAATTTCTCATATTACACTCACATTAGAAAGGTAGGTCTTATCTTGATTTTTTTTATTTTTTTTTTGTCTTTTTACTTTTTTGTGAACCCTTATCATATATTGTGTGTGTAACATGAGAAAATACTCTCACCATATAAGTTATTATGTTTGCATATCCACCATTTGAATCTCTGATACAAACAAAATAAATAAAAATAGAAATTTGTTTTCGTTGAGAAAATCTGATCTCAAATAACTTTAATGACCTCAAATGGTTTTACAGAAGAAAAATAACACTCGTTATTTAAACAACTCAATAATTCAGAAAATAATAAAATAACATAAATAAAATTGCAATAATCTCTAATAACTATTTCAATAATTACTTTGACCTATAACGCAAGTATGCCTTTTATGCTTGATTGGACAATAGCAACGAGATTCCCCACTATCATATTAAGAATAGCTAAAATTTTCACAAAAATATGTCATTCGTTTCATGAGAAATAAAAAAAAATATGTAATTATTAAAATAATTCGAGTATCGAAAATTTGAGGGAAGTGGCTACTTTCAAATTAACACAAAGAAAAAATAGGAATTCTTTAAGAATGCTGACAGGAGTTTGATTCTTGACTATGTGTATAAAAAAGATTTTATTGAAAGAGACTCTATTCATGATCGCGTAATTTCTCTATCTCAATAGAATTAGTCATTGGCTTTTGGGTGTTATATCTTTGGAACAATTCAAAAAAAAGAAAAAAGAAAAAAAAACAATGACTGAAGTGGGAGAGTAGTCGAAAAGAGGATTCTCAGTTAAACCAATGATGTGTTACATGAACAAATCATATTTTTTTCTTAATCTAATATGAATAATCCAAAAAGATGTATAACCGGAAGCGGTTGAACGAGATGATACCTTTGGCTTATAAAAAAGAAAAGAAAAGGGGGCACAGTTAAAAAGGAAGGAAAAGTATGTGGTCGTGGGAGCAAAACATTTATGGGAAGTGGCTCAACTTTTGAAGTTACCCTGTTTGCCTCTGCAGTCTTCAACCAAACCTTTTTAAGGCTAAATGTCGTCACTGTCACTGTCACTATCACTCACAACTCTTCCCAAATGGACGCCGATGAAGCCAGAATCTTGCTCGGTTTCCCACCAAATTCACGTCCAACTTCCTCCCAGGTGTTTTCATTTTCCCGTTCATAGTGCTTAGGGTTTTTTTTATTCTTTCAATCACGATTGCCAATATCATAATTCACTCCCTTCATCATCTCAATTTCTAGTTTTGAGCATGACCCATTTTTTATTATTAGCTCGGAGCTTATTTTCCACAATCACCTCTGGTTTATTCAATTGGTTTAAGTTTATGATTCATTAATAATTGAAAAGTAATCCAAATTTTGTCCTAAAGTAATCTTGAACTTGGACCGTGAACAAATGCTTTGTCGCTTGCTTTTTTGTGCCTATTCTGACTGGACCTTTATGCTTAGGTTAAATCAGCTTACAAAAAGAAGGTGTGGGAATCTCACCCTGACCTATTTCCATCTCATGAAAAGTCTCTTGCTGAGTCTAAGTTTAAACTGGTGTGTAGTTCAGTTTATTTTTTTTATTTTTTATTTTATTACCTTTCCTATCTCATCATAGGAATTCGGATTATGGGAGCATTTTTATAACTGAAGTTAAGTTATGAATCGTGATGGTGAGCTTGGGGACTTGATATGGATTTAGACCATGACAGTAAAACATTTGTTGTAAGCCTTGTATTTCAGTGTGTTGCCCTCCATAACATGCTTTTTGTAATGTGTTAACTGATATATGAGTCTGTGATTTGTAGAGAAACATTTCTTGATATCATCCCCGCATGGCCAACTGTGTCGTGAATGAAGATGATGGTCATTTGTCTGTTTTTGGAGATTTATGCCAAGACAATATTTTCCATTTTATATGATTTTAGGTGGAAGAAAAAAGTTTTCATAAAACATGCATAGGGCATATTCCCATTCCCCCCCCCCCAAAAAAAAAATCACATTAATTTAGATTGACTTTTCCTCTGGTTACCCTCTCTTTCCTCCAATTCTTGAGGAAGGGATGGCACTTCCTTTGGCCATTGTCATATTCCCTGCTGTTAAATGGAAGGATTAACTGCACTCTTATTTTTTTGCTGCAGATTTCAGAAGCTCACGCTTGCCTGCTGTCTGGTAATTCTACAGACCCCTTGTTCTCGTATAATAAATATTCTAAAATGTCACTCATGGTTTGTCAATTCCTGAACAGACGGTTGAAATTATTGAAGAAACTCAATGTTAGATGCATGGTTATCAAAACATTATAATATTGTTCTCCCAATTTCAGTGTTGAATGTTAAAAAGTGTCTAGACTTCTCATTCCTTCAATCATGAAAAACTCTTTTAGATTTTAGTCAAATTACAATTATGTACTTGTAGCATCCTTAGGTGGTCTATCAGCAGAATAAGTATATCATTTGAGTAGAAGACTAGATAATGGGAAAAAGAAATTTGCAAAAGCTCCCGTTTATTATTTTAGCTTGTGTCCTTGATATTCTGGGAATGATTTGCAATTCTGGCCATTTTCATGCCTGAATGTCTACCATACATGTGCACTAAAATGCAGTAACTGACCTAGAAATTAATATCAACATCAACACCACCTTTATCCGAAATTAATTGGGGTCGGTGATAAATAAACTCAAATGAAAAGTATGAAAAGATGACCTAGAAATAAATATGATTGTGTATATTTTTCCATATATTTTGATTATTTCACCTTCATTCTACCAGACTCTCAAATTTGAATGAAATCTTTTGGTTGTCGTCCTAGTACTCTGGCAATTGAAATTTGTACCTTTCTGTTCCTTTTGTCTGACTTCCATCTTCTATGGTGGTGACAAAATGTGATAAGTTGCCTTGTGCAACAAGAAAGTCCCGTATAGATGTGAACTCATTTGGAAATTTTTATGATTTTGGAGAAGACAGGATCGTCTCTTAAAACAGGTGGAATAATGGGAATGCTATTTTCCCTTCCTTGAAAGGACCTTGAGCTTCTCCTACTGCTTATAGGGGTTTAACAAAAATAAGAACTGCATCTGTTTATATTTGTGTTGCCATGCCACTTCTTTTAAGTACTGAATAAAATTCTAACACAGGTGGGAGAGGAGAAGCTTCAAGTTCAGGTAAATTCCTATTCTGAATCCTTCTGTGCGTCATTTAAAACTAATCCTTCTGTTTTTCTTTTCCTTATTTAAATGTGGCATAATTATTGTTCAGCTGAATACTCACGAGTTGTGAGAACTGGAGTTCCTAGGGCTCACGGAGGAAGAAAAAATAGTGCTATGATTAAAGTTCCATTCATTTTAATTACTCTGGGAACAGTTGCGCTTGGAGGGTTTAATGCTTCGAGGTGATTAACAGACAATCTTGTGGTTGATTCTTTTCATTTTTGGTATATTTTCATTAGAAACTATGTAGTTGTTCATTTACAGAATGACATCCTTTCTGCTACTGTCCCGCAGGGCATACAAAAAGCAGAAGGAGGAATACCCATCGCACAATCCATTTCTTCCTTGATGACCTCTCCAGCTGCCATCAAGCCCAGTTACTTGATATTTGTTTCCTTCAAGTAATATTTTTGTTGCAATTGGTGGTGAACATTATAGCATATATCTAAACGTAAGTGAAATTGAATCAATAAAAATTTATGTGATTATCATCATAGATTGTTAAGTGAATTCCATCTCGATTCAAAACAAGCTGATTCTTTGTAGGGATGCCATGCGGCTTAGTGTTAATGAAGTCTCTTTCTTTTTTCTCTCCCCATCGGACCCGATGGTATAGTTTTAGTGTTTGGTAGGAGTGTCAAAATGGGTCGACACGACACCAATACATCAACACTAACACGACACGAATTTTTATTCATGTCAAAATCTTCAACACTGACACAACACGAATTTTTTGGGGGTTGACACAACACGAATAACACGCAAAATAGGGGTCAAAATGGTAATTGACAAAAAAAAAAAATTAAAAAAATAATAATAAAAAATTAAAAATAAGATAATTTAAAAAAATACAGGTCGACACAAACACGAATACATCAATACGAACACGATACAAATTTTTTACGTGTCATTTTTTCCAACACGAACACGACACGAATTTTTTTACGGGTCAACTCGAACACGAATTTTCGTGTCGTGTCGCGGGTCGACCCGCGTGTCAAAACCTATATTGACACCCCTAGTGTTTGGATTGATTATGAAAAACTAGTAATTGATGTGTGTATATATATATATGGGGTAGAATATACTTATCACCAAAAAAGTTTACTACATTTACAACCAACCTAATTATCGTTGATTTTCGTCAATCTAACGATTATAATTTATTGGAAATTATTAATTAATTAATAAATGTGATTCAATAATTTTCAATAAATTATAATCGTTAGATTGACGAAAATCAATGGTGATTAGGTTAGTTGTAAAAGTGGTAAAAAAAATTGGTAGTAAGTATATCATTTCCCTATATATATATATATATATATATATATATATATATATATATATGGGATATAGGAAAAGTGTTTGTCATTTTTTTTTTTGGTGAAAAGTGTTTGTCATTTTAAATGATATAAAGTTATGTCATTTAAAGAGAGAGATAGACACAGAATAAATTTTTTTATTTAAATTTTAAATTAAAAAAAACCACTCACTTTTTCTCTCCCATGATTTCCATTTTCTGTGTCTATCTCTCTCCTAAAATGACATAATTTATGTCATTTAAAATGATAAACACTAAACTCATATATATATATATATATATATATATATATATATATATATATAATTGATTTGTTTATAAATTATTATGAGTCTATGACAATTAATTTGTGCTTGGATATTTTAATTATAAAAAGATTTTAAGAGAATATATTTTGTTGGGATTATAAAGTGTTTTTATGTAATATTACACGAAATGATTTAAATATGATTTGTTGGTGAAGAAAATATTTTTGTACTAAGGTGTAAAATAATAAGAATTAAAAAGTTTGAAATTATAGCTCTTTTGAAAGAGAAATAATCAACAACTTTTAACTTAACAACTCCAATAAAACAATTTTATCTAACAAGACTGCATTTTCTTTTCTTTTTTATGAAAGCTGTTATACCAAATAATTGAGTTTTCCCAAATATCCTCTTATGAATTTTGTTTTCCATAAATATTTTATTTTATTCTATTCTATTTGGGGTACATGATGGTGTAAGGAATGGCTAGATTGTCTTATTTGGAGGTTATAAATTATTACTAACGAAATAATAATTACAATTTTCATTCTAAGATGCAGGTAGATCACTAAGAAAATGAGGAGCCATGGCAACTTGTGAACCATATAATTTTTTACTAACTTTAAACTGTCAGTCAGTCTGTGTTCATCGGATGTTCGCCGGCATCATCCGAGAAAATAGTTAAAAAGGAAAATTGACTACACTGGTAACTCAAGAATCATGAATCAGAGGTACAAGAGGTCCATTTGGAGTAACATCCAAAAAAAAAAAGAGAGGTCCATTTGGAAGAAACAGAACCTTCAATGCATGGTCAAGTCAAGTCAAGCATATACAAGAATGAATCAATTTATTAAAGAATAATTTCAACATGAAAGAAATCAACTCTGCCAAATAATTTCAACATGAAAGAAATCTACTCTGCCAAATAATTTCAACATGTTTTCCTCCGCTCTGTTTTCTTTCTCCTTTTGTTTTTTCCCTCCTCTTTTGGAAGGAGGCGTTTGTGTGTTCTTTTTGGAAAGAAAGGTTAGGACATATACTTTGATTTGGTTCCTTAACGCTCTTTGCCTCTAAAAGCTAGATCGCTGATAAGGGGGCTTTCTTCCAAGATGAAAAGTTCTTTTGCCTCTATGCTAGATTGTTGTTAAGCTGGCTTTCTTCCAAGATGAGATATCCGTGACGAAGAGATTAAAGGTGCTTCTTCATCTAAACGAGTATCAGAAACTGAATCATTCCATAAAGTCTCCTCATTGTTGTTCACATCATCATCAGCCTTTTTCTCGGTCTGTACCTCCTATTCTCATTGAAAAAGGCAAAGAACAAAAGTTGAACCGATAAATATGCTTCCTTAAAAAGTTAACATTCACTAGCAGCAATTGCAATTTCAGCTCAAACCATACTTGAATGAAGAGCTATGTTGGTAAATAAAACTCAAATATGCCCACAGAAAGGAGAGGGGAAAGGTGAGATCAGATTAACAATTAGTCTAAGCTATCTTTAGAAGAAATTACCAAGACAGAAAGCACCATGATTAGATTTTGAAATTGGATGTGTTTTCACCCCAAAGAAAGGATGTGTTAGAGCACGATGAAATAGAACTTTACTCAATTTCTTCTTTCATAATGTGGCCAGGTTATAAATAAAAAACGACCCACATTTCTTGCACAAAAAGGTTTCTATCATTTGACCAAAATTCATAGACTAAAAAATGGTGAAAGGCCTAAAGTTAAGGAGTAACTAATAACAAACAAATACTGCATGAATATTGATCAAACTACCAAAAAAAATTACTACAAAGGCCGGCTGACCTTTGCTGATTCATCTTGGATGCTTTGAAGTTGAGATGAGCGAACATCCCTGACCTTCAGGTAGTTGTAAAAAACAACACCACTTAAAGCTGCCAATTCAAAAATAATTCGTATAGAGAAACTCTTAGAAGAAATCCATGCAATAAATGAAATTTAAACTACTATAATGTCTTTTCAGTAAAGAAACATATACCAATAGCATAGCCAACAACATTAAGGCCAGAAATCTTTGATTCAGGAAATAAGACAGTTGAAAGAGAGATAAGTAACCAGTCTTTCAAGACTCCAGCCACTCGAATAGTTACCGCCCCAGTTCTACCAATCACTAAGAATGTTGAAAGATTCAATGCCAAAGCACAAAGAGCATTTGAAAAAAATATCCAGAAGTTAAACTGCATATGTGGATCTTCCATTTCAGGCTTCTCAAGGATATACCATGGCACAAAAAGAAATACAAAGCTGCACACAATAATGAGTAAATGATCATTATTCAGCCAGATAAAATAAAGATATATTTGAACTTTAATGTACCCACTTTGACTTTCGCAATACACAGAATCCCAAATATGTGCATCCCCCAGCCCCACTCCCCTTCTTGAGTCAAAATGAGTGCAGTATAAATAAGAATAAATCCAGGACTCAAGCAGGAAGAAGCAGAGCAATCATTTACAGGAGAAGGACAAAAAAAAATGGAAGACATAGAAATTTCATTCAGAAGGGCAAGATGAGATTATCATAAGAGCAACAGGATATATCTTACCGCATTTTGGACTAAAAGCTTTTCCCAACACAAAATAAGTTAATTCAAACACACACGGTCAAACACATCTAGTGAGGGATGAAAATCCCCCAATTTTCAGTGGCATTATAAATGTACAGGTCAAAATCAAACATCAACATCCCACGAGAGAAAAACAAAAGGTTTCATTAGGTTTTTTCCCTCCCACAGGTATAAGCAGGACTATGGGCTTTCATATATATAAGAACAGAACTACCTGCAGGGTGCTATGTAATACAAGCTGGTAATAGGGTTCAGTGTCAAGCCCTTCTTTTGAAGAAGAACTTGAGTTAAGACCAGCCTCAACGCTTCAGCAACTATTCCTGTGACCTGATAAACTGTACCGAGCACATTAAAATGAATTTCCCCATAGGAGGAAATGACAACTCCAACACTGACCAGCAACATGTTCAGGAATACGTCACACCTTAATTTCTCAGTTCCACAAATAACAGCCACGAGAAATGTTGCCACTGGCACTGCAAATGGGGGGGGGGGGGGGATCATGAAAAAAGAAAGGGATGATCATCCATTAGGGAATGTTATTTCCAAAAAAAATGACAGATGGAAGATGATACCCAAAAATTAACTTACTCAGGGCTTTAAGCATCTGGATGAAGGCCACAGAAATGTACAAGTAAGCAGTGTTCCCAAACCTAAACAGACAATAAAGTAATTAAACCAATATATACAATACAGCCATGCATGGGAGAGTTAGTTATTAAAGTAATTAATAAAACTTTAAAGGCTATGAGATACATTAATACAGTAATAGAAAATTTAAACAAGTAAATTAGCAATATCATAATTGGTTTATTCAATACAACTTTAAAGGCTAAGTAATACAGCAATCACTCTTAATACAATTTTAACCTTTTTTTTATTCTATAATAAATCAACTTAAAGGGCGAATCTGGAATAATGATAAAGCTATTCCTTTAGAACTGAAAGTTCACGGGTTTGAATTCAGAGAACAGCTTCTTTGCAAATATATAAGGGTAAATCAAGTAAGAGGATAAGCCTGGAGAAGTGGTAAAGCTACTTCATGGTATCAACCATCATGTGGCCTGCCCCCATACCCACCACCAAAATGGAGTGGTGGAAAGAAAGCACAAACACATTGTCGAGACTGGTTTAACCATGTTAGCATATGCCTCACTTCCAATGAAATTTTGGGATTATGCTTTTAACTTAGCAATCTATCTCATAAATAGGCTCCCAACAGCAGCTCTAAACTTTGAAGTTCCCTACTCTAAACTTCATAAAAATGTGCCTAACTATCAAATCCTTAAGATTTTTGGTTGAGCGTGTTTTCCATTCCTTAAGACCTTATGACAAGCATGAACCTGAACTCCAATCTCAAGAATGTGTCTTTCTTGGATATTCAAGTAGTCACAAAGAATATATCTGCCTAAATGCCGAAGGTAGAGTTTATGTCTCAAAGGGTGTGCTGTTTAATGAGTATGAATTCCCTTATAGGTATTTGAATAACTACTCCTGCTATTCCAGTGTCAGCCTAGACTTCCAGCCCTGTGTCTGCATCAATTCCAATTCTGCCATAAATTCAGCGAAGACAACATAACTCTGCTCAACCTTGCACTTCAACTACTTCTAGTTCCAATCCCTCTAATGATATTCTTAATATAAGTTCTCCATCTAACTATATTTGAGCTCATCCTAACTCAGGTGATTCTGTCTCAGGTAATCCTACAACTGAACATGATGCAAGTGTTGAAAATGTTCATGAACAAAGTGAATCCACACCTGATGCATATTCCAGTTCTCTCAATACCCATGACGTCTAGGTCCTGAACAATTCAGTTCTTCCCCTCTCTCCTGAGTCTTCTCCTACCTCTTCTTCTCATTCAGAATACCAGCCCTCTTATTCTCTCAGCCCACTGTCACCCACACACTCAATCACTACAAAAGGTCCAAATCACTTGCCAGACCTCTTGTTCTTCTTACCAATCTTGAGCCAGCTACAGTTAAGCAAGCTTTGGCCATGAAGGCTTCAAATGCCTAACTAACTAATAAAACTTGGTCACTTGCCTCTTTACCCTCTCAAAGGAAAGCCATAGGGTGCAAATGGGTCTACAAAGTCAAGAATAATCCAGATGGGTCCATTAACAAATACAAAGTGTTAAGTATCAGAACCCAGAACAAAGAGAAACAACTGAGACTATAGTTAAATCCAAACTAGACTCAACGATCTAAGTACATAAAGTCTTGTAGAAAGGAAAAATTACAGAATTAACATGGAAGAAAATTACAGGGAAAAGTAGGAACAGAAACTATGCCAAAAAAATTAGAGAGGCTCTGGTTCTCTCCCAAGGTTCCCTCCCAACGATGTTTCCTCTCCTATTTGTTACCATCTGCTGTCCATTTCAGAAAACATGACTCTAACTAACTGAAGCTGACTCAGCATTAGTAATTACTTGGCTTAACCGTAACACAAAGCAAGGCTGGTTGCTAAGGGATTTCATCAACAAGCACGTTTTGATATAATGAGACGTTTTCCCCTGTTGTAAAACCTGTCAAAGTAAGAATCATGCTTACTTTAGCTTTGACATATGATTGGGCACTTCAACAACATTATGTCAATAATGCCTTTCTCAATGGAGAGCTAGAGGAAGAGGTGGATATGGTTCAGCCTTTTGACTTTGAATCAGAAGGTAAAACTCTTGTCTGTAAGTTGAAGAAGGCCCAGTACGAGCTGAATCAGGAGCCAAGAGCTTGGTTTGCCAAGCTTAAACACTCATTAATCTCACTTGGGTTCAAAGCAAGCCGTTGTGATCCTTCACTTTTTATCCTTCGGACTCATAATAGAACTACTTATACACTGGTCTATGTTGATTATATCATAGTGACAGGGAATGATTCAGCTTTTATTCAGCATCTTGTTGGGCAGCTTAACTCAGTGTTTGCACTTCAAGATTTGGGGGATTTAGATTATTTTCTTGGTGTTGAAGTTAAGATCACTCAATCTAAATACATTAGAGATCTTTTGGTTCGGTCAAAGATGCAGGATGCTGAAAGCATATCTTCTATGCCATCTGGCTGTAAACTGTCCAGATATGACTCTAACTAATTCTCAGATCCCCACCTGTACAGATCATTAGTACCGGCACTTCAATATGCATCAATTACACTCGTCTTGGGATTAGTTTTGCGGTGAACAAAGTTTTCCAGTCCATGGCTCAACCTCCTAAGGATCATTGGAAGGTTGTGAAGAGAATCCTAAGATATTTAAAGGGAACCATTACTTTTGGAGTTAAGCTGCAAGCTTCTGTCCGAAATAAGTCCTTTTCCCTCACAGCCTTTTGTGATGTAAATTGGAGGAGTAACCCTGATTACAAGTGTTCAACTTGAGGGGCTTGCCTATTCTTCGGACCAAACCTAATTTCTTGGTGGTCCAAGAAACAAACTTTTGTGGCCGGGTCATGTATCAAGGCAGAGTATAGGAGCTTAGCTCTTACTTGTGTAGAAATTCTTTGGGTTCAGTCTCTAGTTCATGAACTTCAAGTTCCATAATGCACTCCTCTTGTACTTTGTGATTATCTAAGTACCATTGCACTCTCAAATAATCCAGTACTTCATACTAGAACCAAGCACATGGAACTTGACATATTCTTTGTCAGGGAACGGGTTATGGCAAAAGAACTCATAGTCTCCCATGTACCAGCATCAAATCAAGTAGCTGACACACTAACTAAGGCCATCTCTCCCACTCATTTTGCAGATCTTTGAAGCAAACTCATGGTTATGGACTCAGCTTTGCCTCATCCTAACCCGAGTTTGAGGGGGTGTATTAGCACCATATGCTTTCTGTTTAATAATTGTTACTTGTGTATTGATCTACTGTGCATCTTCTGTATGTAGCAAATCCTTTACTATAGCTTGTTAGACTAGTAGTTTTTCCTAATCCTTCTTTCCCGAAAGGAAGAGTGTGAAATTCTTTTTCCTTTCCACAGGGACCGGGAGATTGGATCTAGCCCTTGGATAGATCGAGAGGGGGAGGGGGGGGGCAGAACTTTTGGTTTTTTCATGTTGTCAAAGAGTTGAACAATGAAAATAGATGGCGAGTGTCTGATCGAATTCTTTCTTTTCCATCACTTTAATATATATTAAAAAAAAATTGTGAAATTTCACTTCTTATAATATTTTCAAATCGATCATTTTTTATATAATGACAGTTATTAGCTGAAAGTTATTGCTACTGCTCTATAAATAGAGCACTCTGTAACTGTTCAGATTGATGTAATTCCGATACTCAGAATCAAATGGATTCTCTTCATTCTACTTTCCTGCATTTTCCTTCTCTTTCTCTCAAAACTCAAATATTAATCAATTATGATACAAAAATATAAGAGAATCCAATTCATCAAATGCTCAATCTAAATTATTTAGGATTGGTGATTTTAAAGTGATTTGTTAACTTCAGAAAAGTTGTTAAGAAATATATTATAGTATCAGCTGATTTCCTACTAAATGCATATGGCTGTCAACATAATGAATAACAAATATATTATAATATCACATACGCGGCACAAAATGTTAGTTAAATCTTCTTAATTCTTATATCTGCAAACAGAAATTGATGATCATATTTGTGCCAGACCATTTTTGCTAGATCCAAGGAGTTTGTAATGAAACCATTTGTTTTATCAGCAAATTTCCAACTAAATGCAGAGGGTAATTACCAGAATGAGTGACAAATACATTATAAATTTCGGATAAAATGTTATTTAAATATTCACATACCAGCAAATAAAAATTCATAATCACCATTTTTGTGCCACAACATTTTTGCATCACACAATCATACACGCATATGCAAAAAGACCTTGATGACTCCAAAAGGAGTTTATGACAATGAAGGACATAAGCTGATATCATAATAAGGGTAAGGAAGCATAAATTTGATAACCATAACACTGATCGGACATTATTTTATTTTATTTTTAAATAAAGAGACAGAAACGGTAGAGCATCAACTTCACTGAAATGCCAGGGAATGTAGCACGGACATCAGCTTAAATTTACAAGCATAAAATTGAATTGTTTGAGGCGCCGAGGCACTGTTTCTATTATTTCTTTCTGCCATATCTTTAATAGCAGGCTGGTTGCGTGCCCACACATTACAATTTACAAGTGGCATTCATCAAATTATGACTCTGGGCCAAAAACATCAATTACTTACCACAGACTTGCTGCAAAGAAGGCACTTATAGGGACCACACAAGTTGCATATCTGCAAATCAGACATTTTGTGTGAAGCCGTAAATATTAAATGAAATGTTAAACAAGATATCTATGTAGAACACTTACATATTAAATGTCATTTTAATAGGTGATACAACCTGCATCAATTGAAAAAATGGTAGAAAATATCATCTGGTTATGTCAGTAATATTTTTATGAAAAAGCTAATGTATATTAAAGGAATTGCATTAAGCAGTGAACAGAATAATAAAGTAGAGGAGTATTAGAAAAGAATAAAGAAAAAGCTAGTCTGAAACTGATGACATTACAAACTCCAACAGACTCTTACCTTCAGAACTCGGATAAGCAAAAAGGCCACCGCACCAGAAAAAGCCATATGGATCATAGTGAGTGTTATTGGAAATGGAAAATTAAAGTACAATGTGGAGAGAACCCACTGCAATAAACCAATGCCCAAAGAAGGAAAGAGATTGAGCAAAATATATTACAGTATAAGATCAATCACAAAACTTAAACAAAAGAACTTGTTGGCATATCTATGATCCCTTGCCTTGTTGTACAGAATAACCCCTGAAGAAAGTGAAATGTAAACAAGAAGGTAGATGTAGGTCAGCAGATGCTGTTTAGTCATCATTGTCGTAGTGACTGCCATATCTACCCTGCAAAACCCAATGCAATCCAACATGTGAAAGATCATACACCAGCTGTCTCTGTTTATTATCATTGTGGTGCAGTTAACTTCATTAAAACAGTCATTGTTCTTCAAAGACCCAGGTTAGTATCAATGGGAATAAGATTAAAATCAGGGACGAAACATGAGAAAGCAAGAAAACCAACTAACAAGTATTCCCAAGAATAATTAGATTTGAATTAGAGCTTTTTCTTTCAAAACTCCCTTCTACCAAATATTATTTATGAAATAGATAGGAATTGGAATTACTTACAGGCAGGTCAATATCAATAAGTATAATTATTTAGATAAAAAAGCATACACAATTCAGATAATCTTAATTAAAAAAAGTGTAAAGCAAGAATTAAAGTGATTTACTCAAACTATGAAAAGCACACTCCACATTGAGTCTTATATTAATATATTTGGAACTAATGTTTGTCTCAGAGCAAAGCCTCTTAGTCTTGCCAACATTGGTACGACCAATACATCGGAGAACTAGAAGGAGGGTACTGTTCGATTCGATATGTGCGTAGAAAGACATAATTCTGATTCAATGGTATAATACTACTGTATTCACATGACACAAACAATATCATTATTAAAAAATTTAACAATTACTGTGCGAATGCGAAATTCACTGAGATTCAGAGCGGGAATTAACGAGAGGAGATCAAACGAAAATCATATAAGGAAACATCAATAACTAAGACAAAGAGAGAAGAAAGAGAGATTTTACCAATGCTTAGATTGGAACACAAAATCAGAGTGACGCGAACAAAATTACAAGACCCAAAGGTCGAAACGAGAAATCCGAGATTTTGTCCTTCACTTCAAAAGCAAAGATTTTGATTTTGATTTTGATTAATATTTTAAAAATAATATTTTATTGAAGGGTATGCTATGCTCCATAGTCCATTGTTTCTATTTTTTATTAAGATTAAAAAAATAAATTTAAGAAGTTACTAAAAATTTGGTTTTTCTATAATTATTCTTCCTTTGTATTTTAGTCTTTAAATTTAATCATATAATTTCATTACGTATTTTTTTATTATTTATAAATTTAATTACATTTGAATGTTATTCTTGCTAAATTATTTAATATATCAACTAAAAATTAGAGAAGTCTAAAATTAATTAAACTAATAGTTGTATATATTTGAATTACTAAGTTATTAAAGTTTAGAGATGCTAAATAATTAGAGAAATGAAAGGTTATTCTTAAACAATCTTTTGGTAAAAATTATTTTAATATTTAAATTATTAAATTAATGGGATAGGATATTGTGACACCCAAGTTATGTTACACCCATGTGACACCCAGTCAATCTCACCGTTTGATCGCTTATGTTGATCTAACGGTTATATTTATTTCCATCTTTGTATGGTCATGATTTTCCAAATTTAAAGTGAAAGCATTAAATATGGGAAATCATAACCATACAAAGGTAGAAATTAATATTAAATATTAAATTTGGGAAATCATGACCATACAAAGATGGAAATAAATATAACCGTTGGATCAACATAAGCGATCAAACGGTGAGATTGACTGGGTGTCACATGGGTGTAACATAACTTGGGTGTCACAATATCTTATCCTTAAATGAATATAAAATCAAATAATTTACAAGAATAATTTAAAAGACATGCTAGGGATGTGCATGCTCAAATCACATATAAAAGGAAATAAAGTAACAGTGAGTTTATATAATGTCAAGTCACGCATCCCATTGAGGATTTGAATGCTCAGAGGCACACCTCATACGAGTCTCACGCAATCTTATTACACTCACAGGTCGGTTATTGACCGGTCGAGGTACTGGGTCACTGGTAGTAGGTCATTGGTTCAATTGCATGACCCGATAAGTATATGTAAATCTATAATTTATATTAAAAAAATTATAAATATATTTAAATACTTGTAAAAAAGTATACCAATTTCAAATATTTTAATATAAAAAAAATAAATTACACATCATTGTTCAACAAAAGATCAATCAAACATATAATATTTGAAAAAATAAATTGCATATTGCATAATCAAGATAATATTAGTGTTGTAAGTACATAATCTATGTAAGTTAATAAGCTACAAATCACTCAAATATTTCGAAAGAAAACAAATCGTTTGTGTTTGAGAAAAAAAAAACAAGACATTCATTTATGAAAATAAATTAGTTTTCTTTTTATAGACCGGGCTGGGTCCCCGATTGAACTGACCGGGTCACCGGTTTTTGCAAAAACCGGTTGGGTCGCACCGAGACATACCAATTCTGTAACATGACCGGTCTAAAATGAAAACCGGACCAGTTACATGACCGGGTCACTGGTTTTCGGGTCGACCCAGCTTGGTCGGTCCAGTTTTTATAACATTGGTCTCACGTCTCACAGCACATATCATGTGACTGACACTTTTATTTACCAAACGCACCCATATGTAATTTGAACACGCACCACCACATAAATATTTTGTTACATTATTCTGATAAAATATTTAACCTTAGTATTAATTCTATAAAATATTATAAATTGCATTAATTTTATTAAAAAAATTATATCAAAAATTCACTATTCAAGTAAAATACCCATCATATATAAAAAATGTTTTACAAAAGAAGGTACATACATGGTTAATACGCATTTGTGCTTACTAATTTTGATCTTATTTAATTTAAAAGTTATCAAAAATAATTTTTATATCTGATGATTGTAAAAAAAAAAATATTTTTTATATATAGTATTATCAAATCACCATACAAATTATTATTATTATTATTAAATTTCGTTATCATAGATTGTGACAACCCAACTCTGTCTTAATTTGAAACTGTTATTGTAGAAAAGTATCGTCCTATTTAATCTTTAAAAATAAAAATGTCCCTTCCCCCAAATTATCACCTAGCAACCCTTATACATTAATTCTTGGCCCACCCTATATTATATATATAGCATTCAAATGTATTTTGAACACACAAGAGACAAGAGTATGCATGTCCCATATGTGGCACCCAAGAACAAGACCACCACCCCTTGAGCAATGAGCATGCATGTGAGACTCTTGGTAAACTAGCTCACACATTGCATTCTCTCTCAATCTCTCGGCCAGCTTCCTTAGTCCAGGATTGACCAGCAAATTTCACATGCAAGCCGACGAATACAACAATCTTTCACCAGCAAACTATCTCTTCTACATTCTCTCAGCTCTCACCTTGCATTAAACATTTAAGCCATAACTTCTATTGCATGTCTGGAATATTCTCATCCAAAATCTCTCCTTAAACTTCTTTCCCTCGTACTATAGTGTGAAGCATCTCGAAGGAGAAGAAAAGATCGAGTTGGAGTTATCTCTAGGTTGAAGAAGCTAAGCCGGTGAGTTTTATGAAACTTTCTTCTTCCTTAGTGCTTCTCGAGTATATGGGTGAAGTGTGAGGATTTTCTGATTGTGACTCTAGTGCATGCATGTAAAGAAACAACCTAACTTTGTAATCTATCGGCCTTGTTCTACGCGACTAGTATGTGTAAGTGCTTGGGGATTTATTTTCGGTTTGGGGTAGATGTTTAAGAGTTGAATCTTGTTGTTGATTGTTTACCTTAGCTGAACCACTTGAAAAGGGGGCTGTTAGAACACTAAGTCAGTTCATGCATGGTAATATTTGATAAAGTGTTCTATAGACTCGTTGATAAGGAAAATTGGGCTATAGCCTTTAATGCTTGTTTAAATGTGATTAAATCACCATAAACTAATTAGGTAGAAGTGCTTAATCAAGGGTATCTTGTAGTGTATGAGTGATCCTTGTAGCTGAAATTCACATCATGTTGATGTTTAAGGTGGAGTTGGTGACCACAAGGAGTACCGAAGGAAAAATTAATTGCCTATAGAAAGTTCAGCATTCAAGGTAAGTATGTAGCTTCCTTTAATTGCGTTGAATGACTTGCAAGACCTTGTGTGTAAAATGCCATGTGTATATACTGTTGCGGGAATGATTGGTATGGGTTGAGTGATTTCCCATGGCTGAATACGGGTTGAGAAATTTCCCGTGATTAAATATATGGGTTGAGATTGATTCCCCATGATTGAAAATATGGGTTGAGTGATTTCTCATGACTGAATACGGGTTGAGTAATTTCCCGTAGGGGTTGAGTGATTCCTCGCGATTAAAGATATGGGTTGAGATTGATTCCCCATTATTTTATGTGTATACATTGATGTATTTTATGCCTTGTTGTTGTGCTGGACTTTAATGTAAGAAAAGAAATGTTGCCACTTATTGAGTTCATCTCACCTTTTATTGGGCTACTATTTTGCAGGTTTATATGAGTTGAGCAGTGCTGGCTTAAGGACTGTTATGTTGACTGATTTATGTCTAGAGAAATGAACATGTATATGTTGTTAAATTGCTAAGGAATTCTATTTTGAGAACAGTAATTTTAGTAGATATGGTAGCCAATCTAATATGTATGTCTATGTTGTGTAAAGATTATGATTATGTGAAATCATGTAGAAACTTTGGTATTGAGGTTGAATGCACAATGATTGTATATGTAAATGAGAAGTCCTGTGATTGTCAATATTTTAAATTCTGTATCCGTTTTTAAGAGAGTTCTATGTGCTCAAAAACTGTAAAATATATGCCATTTTAAAGATATGGATGTCTAGTTTACTTGGTAAAAATTTCAAGGTCATTGAATGTAGGAATTGGTACAGTTTAATGATGGGGGGAAGGTAACTCAGTATAGCAGGATTGCTGTTAATAGAACTTACTAAATCTAGACAGCTTTAGTATAATGGTTACTATAAATTCCATAGACGTCCTCTTTTTATGAAACTTGTTGCAATTGAAAGATAAGGTCCTCATCTAGTACGCCTTAAAATCTCATAATTTTCAGAGTAACCTATGAATAACCATCCACCATTGAAGTTAAGAGGAATTTTAGTTAGTTCACTTTCATTTTTGGTCTTAAGCAGGTTAATTCTAAAATTCATAAGTTGGTCTATAGACCTTCGATTTGAGTGATTCCAAAGCTTCCTGAAAGCTTTGTTCCTCTAGTTACTGCCTATAAATTTTCAAACCAATCGGAGAACACACGAGTTCTTACGACAGACAAGAGTACATGGCCCTGTCTATTGTTGTTTTCTGACAGCAAAAATGAGAGTTATAACTAGGACTCTAGGTACTCAAATGATACTTTTCTCACATGTTAGGCTGCATATTATTTTATGATGCTAAACGGACCTTTAGGGACTATATTAAAAGGGAATAATGCCAGAAAGGTAAGATTTGCATATGTTTAAGGTTTCCGATTGTAAGCAATCTGCACTGTATATTTTATATTTGAACTGTAGATGCTTTTTATTCTCTAATTAAAGACTCGAATACGATTAATAGTAAAACTCTTAGGATGCATACAAGGGTTGTTACATAGCTCAACATACAAGTAACTAATTTATTAAACAGAGAGAACTGAGGTAATTATTGAATATACATTTGTAAAAGGATATTTTTGAAAACTCAAATTTACATAAACTAACCTGTCAGCCCAACCATATATGGATATTATACATATTTACCCACAAAATTCATAGTTTAGATGCACAAGTATACAAGATATATGGATAACTCTTTTACAGAAAATTACAAGTACTTAGGAGTATCAAAACACTTGGCAAATGTGCCCACATGCAAACTGTCTCACTCAATTCAAACATGGGTAAAAGGTGATTTTCCCCTTCAATTCTCATTTTACTTCCCAGCCCACCTCAACCTTTTTCTAATTCAATTTGCACATTTTCTGATTTGAAATTTTTTTTAATCACAAGTTCATAAATCATTATTCTCCCTAAATTTTATCGCTCTAAAATCAGAAGCACCGTGACATTCACATGGGAACACAATTTGCTCACGGAGCAGACCATGCAAGAATACCAACACTTTGTGAGGTGAAATTGATACAATACCGCCGTAGTAAAATTCTTTGCAAGGCAGGTCTCAGAAATATCATCCATCAAATTTTGGCTAAAAGCAACAAGGCCATAACATGATCCAAGCATATATTGTAGTCCAGAACCCTCCTAACTCTCCCCCCACCCCCCCAACTCACCGGGATAGAAAACTAAAAACTAAATCACAAATGGAACAACAGCCTCAACATAGAGGTGAGCAACTGTAAAAATTTTCATTTTCAAAACATTGGAATCGACAAAAGAAATGCTGCCTCTCATCCTGATAAAAGAGAAAAATTGCGCATAAAAATGTCTTAATAAAAAATTAAAGATTTAATCTTGCAAGAAGAGGTCTCGGTCATTCTAATTATGCTTCCAATGAAGAAATATTCCGATGACATGCTATTTGCGGTGAGCATTCTCTTGTCTATTTTTTGCAGTTTTTGCTAACATATTCAAGTACGATGGTAATAATCCAAGCAGGAAGGCACATAGAAGGAAAATAGAGCAAAGAAGTAGTAATAAAAAGAATAATTTCCACAAAAAAATAAAATAAAATAAAAGAAGGAAGTAAACCTCATGGATTATGAACAAAATGAATGCAGTGAAAACAATGGAATATATAACCATGTTCGAGCAATTTACCATCAGCTTCTGAAGCAGTCACTTATATTTTGAGTGCACACTGTGCACATACTCACAGATAAAGATAGAAAGAGATATAGACAGACTAGTTTGGTGTTTCACCAGCAGGTCCAGGTCTTGCATTCAACAAAGGTTGAAGAGCTTTGACTACAATGCTCATGTTTGGTCTGAAATCAGCTTCATATTGCACACACAGCGCAGCAACAGCAGCCATCTGTAATTACCCAAGTATCACACTTTTATACATTAATATTGGTCTTAATTATGCAAATAGTAGATCTCTAAGAACAGTTGTGCTGGGTGCCTGTGGTTCCTAAACAGGTCCATACATAAAAAGTGTATACTGTTTTTACAGCCAAGTATTTTCTCCTCTCATGTTATGATACCTGTTAATGGCTCTTAACTTTTGAAATTGAGAACAAAACTATACAGAGAAAGCCACTGCATTCCAAAGGTTCAACTAATTAATTTATTCAACAAATTTTCTCCCTAAAGGAAATGATACAACAAATTTCTAGGTTCAACTTTTGGTCTCAGGCATAGCATTTACTAACTAAACAAGATATAGGAGTTCTGCAGGTATCACTTGTAATGTAACCTTCAATTAGTTTGCTAATTCACAGGCATGTCTCAAAGCAATAACACACTTCCATAAACAGTCCACAACACCTCAGCAAGGAAAATGGCATAATAAAAAAAAGGAAGAAAACATATATCAGAACACAGTGAACACCTTAGCCACAGCTTTGGGCGGGTAATCTCCTCCTAGTCTTACATCTACACACTGTCTGACTTTATCCTCACTGAGTTTTGGTGTAGCCTGAAATACATCAGTTACTGTGATCAGCTATCTGGCCTACATTTGAGATTTTTCTAAAATGAGGAAATTAGATCACAATAATGAGGTTTGGATTTACCCAAGTAACCAGGCTCTGCTGCCCACGTGGTAGTGTATGATCAACAGGCTTCCTTCCAGTCAAAAGTTCAAGAAGGACAACACCAAAACTGTATACATCGCTCTTAGCATTCAATTGCCCAGTCATTGCATATCTGCATCCACAAGATTAGACAGATCATTGGATAATAGTCAAGGTAAATGATTTCTAGGACAATGACTAAATATAAAATAATAGTTTTATTTCTCCAAATTGATTCTTAGATAAAATTGGTAAAGAAACACACAAAGAAAGGTATGGGAATTGGCAATGCCATCTAGTCAATTATGGCAGAAGGAAAAATTTTACTACTCTTCCAATACTTCTTCAGCAATTATGCTCAACATCACGAGGTCTATGATAACCAATAAGGCTAAAATAAAGCATGCCATACAATATGTATCTTGAAAAAATTAATATGCATATCTTACTCTGGTGCATGATAACCAAAGGTTCCAAGGACACGGGTGGAATGAAGACGTGCTGCCATGTCAGGAGCCTGATTTGACAAATCAAAATCTGCAATTTTAGCAATATCGTCATCAAAGATTAGTACATTGCTTGACTTGATGTCCCGGTGGATAATGTGGGGATCAGCCCTCTCATGCAAGTACTCAAGCCCTTTTGCAGCCCCTACAGCAATTTTAACTCTCTGTGCCCACGTCAGAACAGGACCAGGCTGTGCTCCTTTAACACCTTTTCTGCCTGCATGTAAATGACAATGATAAGAACACTATATAATTAAAAATAAATAAATAAATAAATAAAATATATCTCTCAAGTTGCACCGTTGCCTATCATGGCACTAAAAATAAAACTAACCTTAAAATCCAAATTCTTCTAAATTTCTAATATAGAAAAAGAATTTGACAAATATTCATAGATGTCAATAGTTTTCTGAAGCAAAACCATATACCATGTAAAATATCATGTAGAGACCCATTAGACGCAAACTCATACACAAGAACTCGGGAGTTTCCATCAACACAATAACCAAGTAATTGAACAAAATTGTCATGCTTCAGCCGTGAAACCATTGAAACCTGAAAGTTCAAAAACCAAGTGATTTATGAAATCTGAATAAACCCAATGACTAGACAGTAAGCCTAGGTTGACATATACCTGGGCTAAAAATTCCTCATCGGGCTGTTTACTGGCATCTAATTTCTTGATTGCTGCAGCCTGCCCACTTTTAAGAACACCATGATATACTCTTCCGTAGGATCCCTCTCCAATCAGAGAACTTTCTCCAAAGCTATCTGTAATATCTTTTAGTTCATCCACCGGTATATCAGGAACTTCAATGGGCTGAATTTTAACAGTTTGAGCACCCTGCTTTGCAGTTTCTGACGCATGATAATTTCCATCATTTCCTGCACAATACAATTTATCACATTAATTGCATCAAACTCAGATTCAGGTAATATAATATCAAAGCAATCAACGCTATGAAGTATCATAATACTGCTCCCATACTATTGTTTCCATCCAATTGAAATGAAAATGTCACTTAAAGATGCATGATTAGAGTTGTGTCGTGAGTTGTGACTACTTTATATCATCCTCTATGCACTCCTCTGGCCCAAATTACCTGCTGAGTTTTTTACCACATTCTGTCCTCCACTTTCGGCACTCTTTGGGAATTCATCTTCTTCACAACAGCTGAAACAACTCATGATTCTTTCTGCTGATAAAAATTTGATAAGTCCATCAGTTCATAACGGTAAATAGTTCAACTTTTAAGCTTGAATATAAAGTCAAAATTTAAAATTTAAAGAAAAAAGAATCACTACTTCTCATGTAGATATTCACTGCTAATAGGAACATATATCATGGCAACATTTGCAATTTTCAACTATTCGAAAAGAAATAAAGAATGAAGGAAACTGATATGACTCCACAGCTTGAGGAACAGTTGGGCCAGGAGGCTGAAAGCATAGCCCAAGAAGAAGAAGAAGAAGACCAAAATGACGTAGTTGGACCAGAACAACAAGTTACCCCACGAGCCAGGTGGGCTAAACGTCAGAAGAATAAACCAAAATGGATGCGGGACTATCAGGTGGCTTAGGATGAGGGAGGCTGAATATTCTAGAATATTGCATTGCTGTAATAAGTTAGTTAGCGGATTTGACGCTGCATTGTTAAGCAGCTGGACGTGTTAGTTGTTCCTTTACATTCTGTTATAATTGTTGTAAGAGGTGTGATCACCTGAGCTGTGTATAAAGACACATAATCCTTCAATGAAAAGGTAGGCAATATTCAGTATTTTTCTTCTAGTTTTTCTCTGTGTTTGAAGGAGGCTCCTCACCCTCGAAGTGAGGATTTATCATCTGGTGCTTTCATTGAGAGCTACCACCTACTGCCATGGCAGGCACATCAAGTCCTAATGAAAATTTAGAGATCACTCTCAATCGCTTGCTTGAGGCCCATCTCTCAATGCAGACCGATTTGCAGAGTATTACACAAAGAATGGTAGCTTTGGAAAACAGACCCTTAGCTCTCACCCACGCAAACCAACACCTCCACGCTGAGGCAGGCATACCAGCGGCTGGGATCCGTACCACCATGAAACTGGATGTCCCTCGTTTTGATGGATCTGACCCAATAGGGTGGTCTTTCAAAATCTCCCAATTCTTTGAGTTTCACAGGACACCTGAAGAACAACGTTTACGGATTGCTTCTTTTTATATGGAGGGAGAAGCCCTGGGGTGGTACCAGTGGATGCATGCCAATGGTCAGCTCAACACTTGGGCCCAGTTCCTCCAATCTTTAGATCTACGATTTGCCCCTTCTCAGTATGAAGATCCTAGGGGAGCCTTGTTCAAACTGTGCCAGACCGCTTCCGTCCGAGAATACCAAGCTCAGTTCGAAGCCCTGGCTAACAGAATCGTCGGTCTTCCACCACCGTTTTTGTTGAGCTGCTTCATTTCGGGTTTAAGAGCTGACATTCGCAGGGAGCTCCAAGCCTTGACTCCAACGTCACTATCCCAAGCTATTGGTCTAGCACGACTACAAGAGGAAAAGGTGAACGATGTGGTTAAACCCATATCCCACAGTGTGCCCAAACAACCAATCACCACAGCCTCCACCACAAACGCGGCTCGGGGAAATACTGGATTCAAGCCAAATAACCAGTCCAGAGGGAGCCCATTGATCAAGCGGCTGTCACCGGATCAGATGGCAAAAAGACGCGAAAAAGGGCTTTGCTACAACTGTGACGAGAAATATCATCCAGGGCACAAATGCAAGCGACTATTCATGCTTCTAATTGCAGATCCAGATTTCGAATCCGAGTACCAGCAGTCTGGGTTGGAATTAACTGTTGAATCAGACACAGCAGAACCAGTGCACCTCGAGGAACCATCTGATGACACAGGCCAGATCAGCTACCATGCATTAGTTGGCCATAGTGTTCCTCAAACCCTTCGAGTTGCAGGACGAATTGCGAAAACAGAGATTTCTGTTCTCATAGACGGAGGGAGTACGCACAATTTTATTCAAGATCGTATAGCTAAGTTTCTGGGACTGACCACTCAGCAAACACAGGGATTCAAAGTGATAGTCGGCAACGGTGAAGAACTCGATTGTTCTCTGATGTGTAAGACTGTACCCGTGTGGTTTGGGCCCCATCGGTTCGTTGTGGACCTATTTATCTTGCCCATCAGTGGAGCAGATTTAGTACTTGGGGTCCAGTGGCTAAGGACCCTAGGGCCCGTGTTGACGGATTATGGGGATCTGACCATGAAATTTGTTAAAAATGGTGAGATTGTGTTGCTAACTGGATCCAAATCGGCTGGGCTTCAAGAAGTATCCTTGGCCCAAATCAGAAGGATGACCACAACCCAATCCATACTGGAACTCTTCCACTTGCAGGTTACCCCCTCTATTGCCACGTCTTCAGAAAACCTAGAAGGTTCTTTTCCTTTGTTGACCAACCTGATTGATGAGTATGCTCGGCTGTTTGACACGCCTAATGAACTTCCACCGTCAAGAGATACTGTCCATAAAATTCCTCTTACAGAAGGGTCTTCGCCAGTAAATGTCCGTCCCTACCGGTACCCGTTTTTCCAGAAGAGAGAAATCGAGAAGCAGGTTCATGAAATGTTGGCAACCGGAATTATACAAGGAAGCACCAGCTCATTTTCCTCTCCGGTGCTACTGGTTCGCAAGAAGGACGGCTCGTGGAGGTTCTGCGTCGACTACCGTGCGCTGAATGCCATAACCGTGAAGGATCGATTCCCAATCCCTACCATCGACGAGCTCTTGGACGAACTCCATGGTGCAAAATGGTTCTCGAAGTTGGACTTGCGCTCAGGTTACCATCAGATTCGCATGGATCCCTCGGACACAGACAAAACAGCGTTTCGAACGCACGATGGGCACTACGAGTTCCTGGTGATGCCTTTCGAACTCTGTAATGCACCGGCAACATTTCAGTCTACAATGAATAGGTTGTTTCGTCCCTTTCTTCGTAAATTTGTGATAGTTTTTTTCGATGACATTTTGGTTTACAGCAAAACAGAGGCTGATCATATGATTCACTTACGTCACACCTTTGAGTGCTTACTGCAGAACCAATTTTTTCTCAAAAGATCTAAGTGCTCCTTTGCACAATGTTCCATTGATTATTTGGGGCACATAATCTCCAACAGCGGCGTAGGCCCTGACCCGGAAAAGATTAGGGCCATGACAGAATGGCCATTGCCTACTACCTTGAAGCAGCTGCGCGGATTCTTGGGCCTAACGGGCTTCTATCGAAAATTCGTCCAGAATTATGCTGCCATTGCTGCCCCCCTTACTGACATGCTGAAGAAGGACGCCTTTGAATGGAATGATGACAACAGACAAGCGTTTATTAACCTTAAAGAGGCTATGACACAAGCACCCGTTCTACATCTCCCTGACTTTGAATCGGACTTTGTGCTGGAGACTGACGCGTCAGGATTGGGGATGGGTGCTGTTCTGTTACAAGCTGGGCATCCGATTTGTTTCTTCAGCAAGAAATTCTGCAATCGGTTAGCCGTAGCATCGACTTATGTCCGAGAGTTACATGCTATCACGGAAGCAGTGCGCAAATGGAGACCTTATTTACTGGGGCGACACTTCACAATACATACTGATCAACGGAGCCTGAGGGAACTCATGACACAGATCATCCAGACTCCGGAGCAGCAATACTACCTCTCCAAGTTATTAGGGTATGACTATACTATCGCATATAAGCCAGGAGCTTCCAACCGTGTGGCTGATGCTCTCTCTCGTGTGACCTTTCCGTCAGCGGAATTATTGGTTATCACTATTCCCCAATTCGAGTTCATTTCCAAGTTGAAAGATTCTTATCACAACGAACCTGACGTGCAAAGACTTTTGCAACAACTGGAAACTGATCCTCAGTCTCATCCGCATTTGCGAGTAGTGCAAGGGGTGCTATTGTTTAAAGACAATATTTTCATTCCTTCAGATTCACCACTTAGACAGCTACTCCTGCTGGAATTCCACGCTTCTCCCTTAGCTGGGCACTTCGGGGTCAGCAAGACCATGGGACGTTTGCAAGAAAATTTCTACTGGCAAGGTATGAAATCTGATGTAATTACCTTTGTTAAACAGTGCCTAGTTTGTCAACAGATAAAATCTTCCACTCAAGCTCCAATTGGATTGCTGCATCCAATTGAGATACCAACACGCGTATGGGAAGACGTGTCCCTCGATTTCATCGTTGGGCTCCCTTCTTTCCAAAACCACACAGTGATCTTAGTGGTGGTCGATCGTTTCTCTAAGGCAGCGCATTTTGGGATGCTGAGTACTCATTTTACAGCAACCAAGGTGGCTGATTTGTTTGCTCAGCTGATCTGCAAACTACATGGCATGCCCAAGAGCATGATTTCAGATCGGGATCCTCTATTCTTGAGCCGTTTTTGGCAAGAACTCTTCAAACTCAGTGGCACCAAGCTCCGATTGTCAACTGCGTATCACCCTCAAAGCGATGGGCAGACAGAGGTAGTTAATCGCACGTTGCAACAGTATCTGCGTTCCTTTGTTCATGAGCAACCTCGACTGTGGGGAAAGTTCCTTCATTGGGCGGAGTGGTGCTACAACACCGTTGTACACTCCTCGACTGGTATGACACCTTACCAGGTTGTATATGGGCGGATTCCCCCAACAATTCCTGCCTATGTTCTGGGTAGCAGTTCACTAGAAGCTGTCGAAGCTGAGCTCGAAACAAGGGAGATGGTAATGGCTAGGCTTAAACACCGCTTGATGAAAGCGCAAGAGAGCATGAAACAATCTGCTGATAAGCACCGTCGACATCATGAATTCAAAGAGGGGGATTGGGTTATGGTACGACTTAGGCCATATCGACAGACGTTAGTCACAGGCATTCATTCAAAAAAGCTGGCTAAACGTTTTTATGGCCCTTTCCAAATCGTGCGATGCATTAACCCCGTGGCCGTCGAATTGGGTCTACCTCCAGGGTCTCAAATTCATCCTGTTTTTCACACATCAATGCTCAAGCCGTTCCACAGTGCTACTGCAAGTGATCCTGATCAACCGTTATCTCTCCCAACTGATACAATTGACAATAAGCCCATAGTGCAGCCATTAACTGTGTTGGATGTACTACCAGGTGCTACACCTGCTGGGACTAAAGTCTTGATCCAGTGGCAAGGCCTCTATCCGGAAGATGCATCTTGGGAGCTGCTCTCTGAGGTGCAGAAAGCATACCCTGAGTTCCACCTTGAGGACAAGGTTGGTCTTGATGAGGTAGGGGATGATATGACTCCACAGCTTGAGGAACAGTTGGGCCAGGAGGCTGAAAGCATAGCCCAAGAAGAAGAAGAAGAAGACCAAAATGACGTAGTTGGACCAGAACAACAAGTTACCCCACGAGCCAGGTGGGCTAAACGTCAGAAGAATAAACCAAAATGGATGCAGGACTATCAGGTGGCTTAGGATGAGGGAGGCTGAATATTCTAGAATATTGCATTGCTGTAATAAGTTAGTTAGCGGATTTGACGCTGCATTGTTAAGCAGCTGGACGTGTTAGTTGTTCCTTTACATTCTGTTATAATTGTTGTAAGAGGTGTGATCACCTGAGCTGTGTATAAAGACACATAATCCTTCAATGAAAAGGTAGGCAATATTCAGTATTTTTCTTCTAGTTTTTCTCTGTGTTTGAAGGAGGCTCCTCACCCTCGAAGTGAGGATTTATCAGAAACAGTGTATTGTGTGTAATTCCTGTCCAATTACATTGATTAAAATTATTAATTCACCATAGGTTGATTTTCAACAACTAATTAAACCTCCATTTCATTCATATGATTCGTACTGTACATGGAAATTTTACAGCACGCATCAGTATTTCCGCCACAAAAATAAAAAAAGTTGTTTCGATTAGCAAATCAATCGGAAAGAATGAGTTTCCATCAACCAAAGCAAACTACAACTGATATCGAAGCCAACAGCTGTGGATCGGTCCAAAACAAAACCAATTATTAGACGTCGAAATCCATTTTTGTAAGAAAATGCTCATTCATTTGAAAAAAAAAACGTAAATTAAAAAAAAAAAAGTGAAATTTAAAAGGATAAAGTAAGTGAGGTTGAAGAGTGTATAATAGATCGAGGAGTACCTTAAATCCGATAGGAATATTGCGTAGTTGAGAAGTGAAAGCGCTGAGAACGTAGTTGTAGATCTCGGCTCCGAAACCGGTGAAATATGCGCAGGATAAGCAGAGAGGAGTGCGTAGGATAAAGCGGTCGAAGTTCTTGACTTGCTGGAATTGAAATGATGATTTGGTAATCGTATTATTACAGACAAGCATTTTAGTCCAACTAATCTTGTTTAAATGTGGAAACAATCATGTAAGAGTAAACCCCAAAAATTGTAGACTTTGGATTCGTTGGATAGGCTTTTTCTTTTCCAAAAGTTTTTTTTTTTTTTCTTGAAAAATATACTTCTCATTTTTGGTTCGTTTGAATATCTGTTCTTTTAAAAAAAGTATAAGTCATAAAAAAATTAAAAATTAACTTTTTTTCAGAAGCTAAAAATTTTAACTTCTAAAAAGAGCAAAAGTCAAAAGTCAAATATTTTTTTAAAAAAACTAAATATTTTTATAAAAATATAAATAAATTTAATTTTTGTAAAAAGTACTTCTAAAATAAGGAAGAAATAAAAATTATTTTTTTAAGAAGGCCAAACACACGGGCTCTTTATGGCATAAATTATTTGTATGTTTTATCTGTGCATATTTTTATGGGGTAGAATATTGTAATAATCAATTAGTGTTACTATCAATCAATTTCACCATTAAATCGATCGATTATTTTGATCCAACGGTTATATTTATTTCCATCTTTATATGGTTATGATTTCTCATATTTAATGTGAAAGCATTAAATATAGGAAATCATAACCATACAAAGGTGGAAATAAATATAAAGTATTAAATATTAAAAATCATAATTATACAAAGATGAAAATAAATATAACCGTTGGATTAACATAATCGATTTAACGGTAAACTTGATTGGTAGTAACACTAATTGATTGTTATAATATCTTTCCCCTAATTTTATTGAGGGGAAGGGTATCTCTAGTATCATTTTAGTTTTATTATTTTTATTATATAATTGGTAATTGTTGGATTAATTTGAAATTAAAGTTAATTAATTTTTTTATTTTTTAACTGTTGATTTCAAATTAATATAATGGTAACTAATCTGATAATAAGAATAACAAAATTAAATTAGTAGCAAATATAATTGTTTCTTTTTATTAAATATATTATGGAAAATATTATTCACCTTTCACATAAGATATCATCTTTCATTTTCTCTTATTTCGATTTCAGTACCCTACCTTTTTTTTTCCTTTTTTCTTGTAATGGTGGGACCCACTTATTTTCTCTCTACAACATAAGATAACTATCTTATGTTAAATGAGACTTATAAAATTCATATATTATATCATTTTAATATATTTTTTTATTTTTTTGATTATTTTGTATATTAAACTTAAAGATAAAAAGAGTTATTATTATTATTATATATTTGTTTAAGAATAATTTAATTTTTGAGTGCATTATTCTTTCTTACACGGCATATGATTTTCTTCTATTTTTTTTAAATGAATTAAGTTTAAGGGAAAATAATTTGTCATGTTACATGACACGAACTCAATTTTCCTACACACATATCCAAGCTGGGTCTCACCTTTAATTTTTTTTCTCACTTTACTATTTAGTGGACCCCACATATATTATGAGTGTGTAGAAAAATAGCCCCTTGTTATGTAACATGACAAAAACAAAACCCTAAGCTTAAATCTTCTTTCGATCTAATTATTTATATATTTTTTCAAGTAAAGGGTTATATTTACAACTTATTTTCGTTTGCAAACTCTTATAATCATATCTTAACAGTTGATTTCCTCCGATCAATGATTATTATTTTCGTAAATCAAACTCATTAATTAATTATTAATTCGCAATAAATGATAATCATTGAATGACAGAAATCAACGATTAAGATATGATTATAAAAAGTTATAAATGAAAATAGATTGTAAATATAATTTTTCTCTTTTTTCAACGTTAAACATATTTTCTTTCATTAGTATATTTTTTCAAATTTTAGTTAAATTGAAAAACTCATATGATCACAAAATAATCACTAATTTTAGTTCATCTCATTCTCGTTATTTTATAAAGGGAAAAATGTTTATCCTTTTAAATGACACAACTTATATCCTTTCACTCTCACAAAGAGGTGGGACCCATACCTTTATTTTTTTTGTCAACTCTCTCTCCTCTTTTATCTATCTCTTTTTCTCTCTTAAAATGACACAACTTTACATCCTTTAAAATGTCACACACTTTACCCTTTTATAAATTAGGTTAGACCAATCGATTTGACCAATAAACTGATTAGCCAATCAAACCATTAGTTTTGATAATGCAAAAATCAGGCCGATGAAAGAAACAGTAGAAAACCGATCAAACTAATCCAAAATCGGTGGTGGTGAAAATTTGGTTTGAACTGATTTTTCTTCTCTCTTCTTTTTGTTATTTTTTATTGAACCAAAAATATTTCTTAAGACAAAAAAAGACCTATATATGAATTACTATTATGTAGTCTTTTATTATTAATTTTTTATCTTGTAGTGCATAAAATATTATTTATATATAAATATTTTTATCTTTGACCCACTCCAACTCTGAATTAGTCTCATAGTCGACTAATCGAAGCTTGTGGAGATTCAAGAATGAGTCAACTCGTCTCAAAAAGATAATTAAAGTTAGGTTAATTCTAAAAAAAAAGTTTACTCAAATTATTTTTATGATTTCATTATTTAATATATTGTAAATACTAAAAATGTATATTTATTTATTATGGAATCACAATTCAATCATTATCAAATTAAGAAACCATGAATCACTTGTCACTACTTTTATCTGATCAATTAGTGGTCCAATTTTAAAAATAATCCTTACTTTAGCACCTGGATCACACAAATTTTATCATTATATATGCCGGCCATGATTGAAAAAGTGAATAGACATGGAATAAGATTCATGATGCCTTGAAAATTCATATTCTTTGCTGTTTTGTCAAATGAGCTCCATTATGATTGATAAGTAAAATGATATATAATTTATAATCACTTTATAAAACCCACTCACATAAATAAATTGATTGTGACTTGTGAGGCAAATGCCAAATACGGTTCTTTTTTCTTTCTTTTTTTGTTAACAAATGGTTGTATGTGCAACTAACGTGAAGTTTATAAGGTCTTGGGCACTCTCAGCTAGCTTTTGGGGTGGTGTATCCCAAGATTCTTTACATGGTATCAAAACTTGAGTGACTATAAGGTCACAAGTTCGATCCTCACCGCCTCCACTTTAAAGTAGAATTAAAATAAAAAGCACAAAAAATCAAAAATTGGGCTTGTGCAATTCCACGCTTCTTGTCCAAAGGGCTCTTGCGTGAGGGGGCGTGTTGAGATATATAATCTCACATTGATTATGTGAGCAACTAATGTGGCCTTTATAAAGCCTTGGGCACTCCCACCATTTGAGCTAGCTTTTGGGTGGTGTATCCCAAGGTTTTTTACGTGGTATCAGAGCCTCGTGTCCCGGGTTCAAACCTCGCCGCCCCCCACTTTCTCTTATGGCGTTTCTTAGCACAGGTAGGCTGAGTCTGTTGCATTGTCCACTCTTCAAGCCCAATGAGCTCTCGTGTGAGGAGACGTGTTGAGATATATAGTCCCACATTAGTTGTATGTGTCACTGATGTGGAGTTTATAAGGTCTTGAACACTTTCTACCCTTTGAGCTAGCGTTTGAAGTGATGTATACCAAGATTCTTTACACTTTTATTTCTGTGTACTTAGGTGTGTTGACTTGAAGGGAGGAAAATTCATTAACTAGGAATCATGATTCAGAGATTTACCTACCTTTTGAAACAGACTTAACATTCTAATTAAATTTTTAAGCTACCTCCGCTGGTGATTTTGGCATATAAAAATTGCCAACTGGTGTTATATACTCGAAAAACACAATCGATGCTAACCAACTATAAAATGTGTCTCTCTTTAGCGAAACTAATAACTACAGCAAATTGGTAATAAAAATTGAAAAGCTTCGGGTCATTGACTCATTGTACCCCACATGGACTTGTCACCTAACGTCCAAAAACAACTTCCAAAGAAACTGAGTTGGAGCGAACATCGACAAAAGTGTTATTTTTTGACAAATTTTTTATTTAAAAGCCACGTGAATAATATTTTTTATCAGATTGTTACGTGACGTAATTCGCTACGACTGATAGCGAATTACGTTCGCCAATAATTTTGTGACATGTGATAATTTTCGCAGAAAAAAGCTGACTGGACGTAATTCGCTATTAGTGATAGCGAATTTGATATGCAATATAGTCACGTATCATGAAATCAAATCATTGGCGAACGTAATTCGCTACCAATTGTAGCGAATTAGGTCGTGCGTCAGTTTGATAAAAAATACTATTCGCGTGATATTTGGATAAAAAATTTGTTAAACAATGACACTTTGATCACTATTCCGAGTTTGAGTCAAATAGACATACAAAATTGTCATCAAGTATTATATTGTTCAAACAGACGAGATTCTTCTTATATACTTAATTTTATAGACTTGTTGAGTGTGAAACGAACAGTATAAGTTAAAAAATATGTCAGCCTAACTCTTTGAGTTTGGCAAATGGTTTCCCTTAATTAGCTGCTAGACATACAATTTTTCAAGGAAAATTGAGATCTTGACTAAAGATAGGAATTGGGAAAGCGACTTATTGATTAGTCTATTTAACATTTGACTAGATCTGTTCAACAAAATGAAAAAGTTAAAAGTTATAATTTTTTAAAATATTCACTTAGTTAAATAAATGAAAAAAAATTATGCTGCCTTTTAATTTTCTTCTTTTAGCATCTGGTTCATTCGTTTCCTTGTAACAAACAGGGAATAGTCGTACTCCATCCAGTAAATTCATATAATTCTCATTTATAAATCTCCATAATTATTAATTATTAATTAATAAGCATTTTTCTTTCAAGATCGCATATAATTGTTGGCTTAACATTCCACAAGCATTAAGTTCGAAGTTTAAGGGATTCATCAAGAGCAACAAAACAGTGCTCGTGGAAGGTTATCAGTGAATCGATTTGACCGACAATGAATCTGCCGGTTGTTGTCATGCAATGTGAGCTATATCAACAATCACGAAATTAAGGTTTCGAGTTTCGATTCTTTGTGCTAGAAAACATGTTC